TATGGGCATAAATTTTTTATTAAAAGTTAGTTAATAATAATATTATAAATTGTAATAAATATGTGATTAATCTGTTCAGTAATATATCTGTAAAAAAATTTAATTAATGAAAAAAATATTTAAATAGGTTAAAAAAATAAAATATACACAAAACTTAAAGTACATAAAAAATCATAAAATGATTCTTCTTTATTCTTCATCTTTTCATTTTCTATTTTTTTATTTATATTTATTTCTATCTTATTTTAATTTTTCATCTTATTCTGCCATTTTTCGTCCCAATTCTAATTTTCAATTTTCACTATATAATTAGAATATATTAAAATATAATATAAATTTTTGTTTTATGTTTGTAATGGATCAAGATCAGATGATAATAAAAATTAAGCAATTCTTATTCCAAAAATTCGATTCTGCAAAATTTACACAAAAAAACATGAACTAGTAAAATTTTTGTAAAAAAAAATAAATATTTTACCTTAAAAAATACTTTAAAATAAGATTCCAAAAACTTTCGGTCAGAAAGCCGATTCCACAAATTTACTGCTAAAAATGTGAATAAATAACTTTTCCACCAAAAATATTACGTTAAAAATATGATTCCAAAAATATTTTATCAAAATTATAATATAGTGATTTCCCGTTAAAAAGTGAATTCATAAAAAAAAATATCGTCAAAAAATTTACATTGAAAATATGGTTCCAAAAATTACCAGTCAAAATTATAATTTTATGAATTTGCCGTCAAATAAGTGAAACCATAAATCTTCCACCAAAAAAGTTATTTTAATCCGTGAAAACCCGATTCCAGAATTTTTTTTTGAAAAAGTGATTTTGTAAATTTCCCATCAAAAGATTTATTTTAGAATATTTTAATTTGATTTTGTGATTTTTTGTCAAAAATTATGAATCCATAAATATTCTGTCAAATATGTGATATCAAAAACTTTCCAGCAAAATAGATTGCCACAAATTTCTCGCTATATACTTGAAATCCGTAATTTATTCGACAAATTTTTTTGTGTCAAAAGATTTATTTTAGAGTATTTTAATCTTCCGCCAAAAAATTATTTTAAAATATAATTTTAAACTTGACCAAAAAAAATATAATTTTAAAAAAATCTGTGAAGATCCGATTCCAGATTTGTTTTTGAAAAAACGTGAATTTGTAATTTTCCCACCAAAAGATTTATTATAGAGTATTTTAATTTGATTTTGTGATTTTTTTGTCAAAAAATGGTGAATCCATAAATATTCTGTCAAATATGTGATATCAAAAACTTTCTAACAAAATAGGTTGCCACAAATTTCTCATTATCAAAAATTTCACTTTTCAAAATTTCTGCCAAAAACTATTTAAATTTTGTATTAAAATTTTAACGTTAAATATTATTTATAAATTAAATAATATCATATTATAAACTACATGTACTAAAAATTAACATGTCACAATTACATCATCAGTACACATCATCGTTTTCATGTCATATTTAAAATGTTCAAACTAAACATATTAAGTAATAAAATTAAAACTAGTCAACTTTTTTCAGTAAACTACATTTTCAATTGATATATAAAAGATATATTATTTTATTTTGTTTGGAAATTGCTTATTTAAAATCAAATAAAAAAACTGTAGTACTTCTACTTATATATAAGAAAAAAATACTTATATTGCTTTATTTTTACAAGACATAGTCGACTTCGGCCTCACTCTCCCTTAATTTGGGACTTTTTTTTTTCTGAACAATTAATTTGAAACTTTTTGGAAGGAAAATTTTACGTAACCAAAAAGGATAATATTAGCTCAAAATTCTCTAGTTGACAAAAAGAAAAACAAAATGTCAGAGTATTAACAAAAAATTAACAATACTTAATTATCTTCTATAATAGACTTTTTGTCGATGCTAAACGTAACAATCTTAAACTTTAAACTGATCCTCTTATAGAACTATACTCATTTTCAAGAGTCTTTAGATTGGCTCTATCGGTTTATATATCCAAAAAAAAATATCTTAACCATAAATTATTTATTATTATTTAAATAATTAATTAAATTTAATTTTAAATATAATAATTGAGTTATTAATAGGATGACAATTGTGTAAAACCGTATTTCAAGTTATTTTTAAAAAACATATCTCAACTTCTCTCCTCTCTCTTACTTTTTAATTTGTTTGATTCATTTATTGTTTAGGTACACTTATAAAAATTTTATATTGAAAGTACTCTTAGCAATTTCTAAATCACTAAAAACAGCATTGATAATTGATATATGAAACACCAATATTTTTAATATTACATATTATCAGCTGATTTTTCAGTCATTAGTTAAATAATATAATTTACTTAATAATAAAAAAGATTGATATCGCCGGAAAATATATTAGGGTTTCAAAACACCGCAATGCCAATTATTTACAAAAAATTTAAGGAACCATTGTCTAAAAATATTTCTCAAAAGCTAAGTTTCTTAGCCATTAAAGCTTTTTTAACAAATAGATTTCCTGAATTATATGGAAACTAGTTTTCCATGGTGCAATCATAAGCTTATTAAAGAAAATTATGAAATAAAACAATGCATTTTTATTAGTAATTTTATATTATTAAATATAAAATTTTAACATATATATATATGAAATAAATCTATGTATATTTTTACATATGTCTTGGTATTACTTATTATTTTCATAAATAATAGTATTTGTGTATATAACTAAATTGTATATATTTATTTTATAAACTTTAAATACAGAAACTAAAAAAAACCTAAAACCATATCTTATAATTAAGTCTATTTTATATTAAAAATATCCAAAAACTAAATAAGTCACCATTCAAGTTTTTTGTAAAACTAAAATGTACAACAAAATCAAAAACCAAAAATTCAAAATCCAAAATCCAAAATTAGAAACTACAAACCACTCAAACATTCATGGCCTGAATCTTAATTTTATAGAAGATGAAATATATAATTTCATAATGTTAAAATGAAAATTTAGATTGATAATACAATTTTATATATATTCTTCTTTTCTGTCAACATTGAAATTTATATATTTTGATTTCTTACGTAAACTACAAATGGGTTATATAATAATTAGCCCAGTAAAAAAATTAAAGGCTATGCGTCTTAATCGGTCTGACCGGCCCAAATATGTTGGGCTTATATTGTGTGTAATAAGGTTATTAGCGAATGGTCTTATGTATTTTTTTCCAAAGAGGCTCAAAGTTACTGCTATCTTCAATAAATAATCTAGGCACATAAATTCAACATGCCAATATGCCATTACATTTACGGTTTCTGTAAAATGAAACCTTATAAACCAAACCGACCTAACCCTAACCCATTTTTTTCGCTTTTGGACCAAAATAGAAAAGGATTCTCAGCTACCCAAACTTTCGACAATCAGTTTATACAGCTTTTGTTTCGCTATACGTCTATAACGATGTTTTCGTCTTTTTCTTGTTTTTTTTTTGTTTAAAAGGGCTAAATATATTTCATCCAAAAATATTATTACGCTTTACAGAGGGCAGTGAAAATGGAGCTCAGAATAGGAAAAACAAATCGAAAATATAGTCTAGCTATATTTTGTTACGTTTATTTAAAAAAACTATTGGTTATTTTACAACTATGTAATGTAGAAACATTTTTTTGAAAAGTAATTCTTTATAAGTAATTTAAGCGGTAAGTTTGTATATACAAAATGAGGAATTATATTTTTAAAAATATTACAATATTAATGAAAGGAATATCCACCAAACTAAAGAAAGGAAAAGACACCTGCTATTGCTAAGGTTGGGGGAAAACTAGAATAAATGTTTGGCGAAAAAGAAACCTTGCAATTTAATTAAATAGAAAAAACATATAAACTGTAATTTCAGGAACAAAAGAAAATTGAAAATGAAATGATGAGTGTTCTCTGCCGAATATGGGCACTTGAGCTTGACCAATGAGGCATAGAAGAGAATTTTACCAACTTAGCCAATAAACCATCTATCCTTTATGTGTTATAACTTTTATTTTTGCTTCTAAATAGACACTGGGTGCAAGTGCTCCCACCACCTTGCATGTGGATCCGCCTGCATTTGATTCTTAAGTCGAGCTTATCCCACTTGAAGGAGATGCTTGTGGACTTGTGGTTAGCTTACAACAGTGTAACATTCGAATAATGCATGAGGGAGCTGATCCCTACAAGAATAGCAGAACACTACTCATAGACAATTTGTTGAGGTATTTACATGTATGCAAAACTTCAAAACATCAATATAATAAATAAACGGCCCGGGTTTCAGGTCTATATTGAACTTTGTATCACTAATTGATCACGTTGTTAAATTAATAGAGTCCAATGTCATGATTCCACAAAATGAAAGTTTGATAAATCACAATCATCTTCATCTAAGAAAAGCAAAGTATATAAAATTTCTGCTAAGAAATGAATATTTTTAATTTTTCTAAAAATTCGAAGTTAAGACACCCTGTAAATTTGTAGTCCGCCAAATTCCCTTTTTCTAAGTGTAATTTATAAATATTATTTATGATACGTTAGATAGATAATCCTAATTTGAAAGCAACTGCTTTTACTTGGCTATTTTTTAAGTCCTAAAAGAAACAACTACTCTCTTCCACCAAGAAATTAAGTATCATATTAATAGACCCAATTCAAAAATTAAATTGTTTTCGTTGTGACCAAAAAAAAAATCATAGATATTCCCAAATATCGCCTCCAACTCAGCATATATTATCTATATAAATATACCCACCTAGTCTCTGCTTCACTCATCAAACAAGTTATTAAAGACGAGACAGCAAAAGAAGCAAGAGAGCGAGAGAGTGAGAGGGAGTGTGAGAGAGAGAGAGAGAGTTTGATTATTAAGTTATTAACAAATAGTTAATTAACTTACTAATCATGGGTTATATCGATGGAAAATGGGCACCAATGATCACGATTACCGTGATTAACATTATTAATGGGATGGTTAACGCTTTGATTAAGAAAGTTCTTGATGGAGGAATTAATCATATGGTTATTGCTACATATCGTTTGGGTATTTCCAGCATTTTTCTTTTTCCAATCGCTTATTTTTGGGAACGGTACGTAAGTCTTTTTAATATCATTAAAATTATTCTGTTTTTTAGTTTTCAATTTTTATATTTCTCAACTCCTTAAAGACCTAAACAAAATTCTAAAGTTAATCTTAGTTTCAAAGCTTAATTTACTTATAATTTGGGTTTTTATTCAATTCTTGACTTTTACATTTTATGTTGTGTTCTTATACGGTCCGGTTTAAAAACCTAATGAATATCAGTATTTGCACACACACAAAAAAACATTTCATGTTGTGTTATAAACTAATTAAAGAAAAAAAAGTTAAGTTAAGACCATGTTTTCTGAAATTGAATTTTGTTTACTTTGTTGTGAAAAGTTTTCTTTCTAAAAAAAACAAATTAAACGTTTGATGTGCTAAAACTGTTTAATCGTCGTTTCATTAACGTTTACGTGTATAGCATCAGAATTTTGTGTTCCGGACAAAATAAATATTCGATTTGATGATCTGGTTAGGAAAACAAGGCCGAAGCTAACTACAAGCATCTTGTGTCAGCTTTTCGTCAGTGCCCTTTTTGGGTAAATTTCATTTTTAATCCCTTAACTCATGATGTTATATACAGTTCAATCCTTTTATTTTGTGGAGATTTAATATCTTATTAACAATTCTCTTTGGCAGGGCGAGTTTGATGCAATATTTCTACTTGCTTGGGATGAGTTACACTTCTGCCACGTTGGCATCGGCTTTCATGGGCACAATTCCTGCCCTCACTTTCATCATGGCTTTAATATTTGGGTACATTTGTTATTAAACATTTCAAATTATTCCTACATGCATGTTATAATTTCAAGTGTAATCTTACACTTTTTAATGTTAAATTCTTTTTTAAAAAACTCAGATTTGAAAAGCTAAATATGAAAACAAAATTTGGATACGGCGTCATTCTTGGAGCTATGATAAGTTTAGCAGGAGCTTTAATGCTTACAATGTACCAAGGCATTCCATTATCGAACTCTCAAGAACAAGCAACGATTTCAAACATCCAGACAGCAGAAGTACATGTGCATTGGATCAAAGGCTGTTTTCTTTTATTCACAGGAATTACACTCTTCAGTTCTTGGATGCTTATACAAGCCAAGATCAACGCGAGTTACCCTTGTCCATACTCGAGTACCGTTATTTTATCTGTCTTTGGTACGCTTCAATGCGCTATTCTTAGCTTAATCAAGACTAGACATGTCGAAGATTGGATCCTCAGAGACAAACTCACCATCATGACCGTCATTATAGCGGTATAGATGCATATATACATATATATATATAATCGTGAAACTAATCACGAGAATCAAATATTGATCTATTGTGTGTATATATATGTTACAGGGTGCGGTTGGACAAGGACTGTGCACGGTGGGAATATCTTGGTGTATCAAACAACGAGGACCTGTCTTTACATCAGCATTCTTTCCTGTCGTACTTATGTCCGCAACTGTGTTCGACTTCGTGATACTTCATCGTATGGTTTATTTAGGAAGGTAAATTAAAAATTATGCAAATTCAATATTATTATTAAAGATCTCAAATTAGAAAAGAGTATATTTAATTTAACATATGCATACGAAACACTTGAAAAATGTTTCATGTAATTTTTAACTGATTTTAATACTGAACTCTAATATTATGTACATGTTACGAATTGATTTTTTTTTTGTTGTTGTTGTTACTGCAGCGTTATTGGATCTGTGGTGGTTGTGATGGGTTTATACATATTTTTATGGAGCAAGAGCAAACAAACAGTTGACTGTAAGATCATCAAGTTACCTACAAATACGGTGGAAGTAGAAAAGGAAGAGGAAGACCATACAAATGCTTACAAATTAGGCCGTCTTTTGGTTATCCCCATGACTCCTTGACCTACTTCCCTAAACCATTTTGTTCAACCAGAAAGACCGACATGTCCTACGAATTAAAGAAGAAGAAGAGAAGAAAATGCTCATTTCATCGTTTATCGGACTACTACATCACTTATGTTGCATATTTAACATTTTTGAATTTTACTTTCCAATGATGTAGATTGGATATTGTAATTTGTTTATATATAAAAATAAACAGTATCGAAAATGAATTTAATTGGCTGAACGAATGACTCATTCTGACTCTTTTTACATAAACAACATTTTCTAAGAAAAATAAAATGCAGTTGCTGGAGCAAACGAGATATTTTTGGAACAAGAAGAAATCGATGATGTCCGATAAGCAACCGCCACATGAAGATATGTTCAAATAATAAGAAAGAAATTATTCTGAAGAAGATTTGAGGTGTCCATATCAAGAAACAAAACCTAAAAGATCCACTTGCAAGAAGAGAAAGGGTTGACGTGCCTTCTGCTAGGTTTAGCCATTCCAAGAAGAAAAAGTGAAATTATGCTTTTTCTTTTTATAGAGTAGTGTTTACTCTGTTTAGAATAGCAAGAATAGCTAAGCTTGTTTCGATTAAAAATCGTTTTGGTAACAAGCTAGCTAAGTCTGTTTTAGGTGTTGTGTAAAACCAATTAAGAGAGTTTAATTTATTTTACATTATATATTTTTTTAAAAAAAATCGGTGTATTGTATTTTTGTTTTTATCTTTGCTTTTTTTTTATACAGTATTGATCCTCTATTTTTTTCTTTCAAAATCAAACAACTAGATTTCAACATATTTGTGCTGAATTATCTATTATCGACGTACTTCTTGTGGGTTATGTGAAACAACTGTCCAATAATTTTTTTTTGTTTACACGACGGTCAAATCCTATAACAAAAAAAAAAGGTTTACACGCCGGTCAATACCCACAAGTTATAGTATTTTTATAAAAAAATACTCACAAGTTATGATGTCTTATTATGGAAAATATTTCTAAAACAATCATATATATGCATGCTTTGCTTATTTGCTTCTTTAAAGGCAATGATAAATTAGGCTGCCCCCTATCACTGTGCCTTCTTCTTTTCCTTTATTCATGTTATATAATTAATACTTTATTAAATACATATTTTACAAACAAAAAGATGTTGCTGTTTTGCTTTGCTTTTTCTTTACAATACTGCTGAGAAATGGCACACGAAAGAATTGAAAGCCCAAGCACTTCAAAAAGTTTTTTAGGATCAAAACAAGTGAAAAATCTGTATCGAAAATATAAATAATAGTAACTAATCTGATACAGATTTTACAACGATATATTAATCTGTACAACGATATATTAATCTGCTATCTAGACAACTTTCCTACAAGTTCTTTAATTAGGCTAAACATGGTTTAATGGTTATTGGAAAAGTTGTAAAAGTACTTGTCTCTTTATTTCATAACATTGTCACTATACAGTTTTTTACACATATTACAAAAACTGTTAAAAAAACTACTTGTCTTTCTATTGATATAATAAATATATTAATAAAAAAATTAAAATTTGGTTCCATCGGTTTAGAGTTATAAATATATTTATGAAAAAAAAAATTCTAATAAATACACTAAAATAACAATAATAATTAGGGGATACATGAATGAAATCTAAGTTTCCTACTATATCATTAATAATACCCACAACTACACTTTAGAATGTGCAATCATTACTAAGTTCTTTTTCACGTCATTCACATTTTAAATAATAAATTCCCATTTCTATACTTTTTTAAAGTCGAATTTTTGTACCACGTTGTCAAATTTTGACTATATTATCATTTCATTAAATATTTTATATCAATTCACATTAACTTTTAACAAGAAAGATTCACGTTATAGTTTATAGACTACCATTTTTTACATGAAATTTACGGTGAGAGTCCGTGACTAGAAAAATATGTATTCTATCATAAAATTAGAGATAAAAAAAACCTAATAATAACATCAGTGAAGTAGAATTGTATGACTCGTCAAGGAATCGGAATACAATAATATTATATTGTCCAAAATGTATAACAGTAAGTTATAAATCGGAAAACTATCCAAATAGCTGGTTATTAATGGTCAAAAATAAAAATTACAACATAGACAATATTTTGAGAGAAATAAAATATGTTTACTTCGTGGGTGTGTGTTGTTGTTTTTATTTTTCGGTGGACTGATAGGCTCTAAAAGTTTTGGATGTACCCTCATCTCCATAAATGAATTCTACTCTTAATAAATAAAATATACACGAAAGGGGCGAAACATCTCGAACTAGCGTGGGGAGAGACATCTCTCAAAGGGGTTTCGTGAGTGCATTTGCTACATATTTATTTTATGGTATTGCTTTTTGCATGGCGAACCCCGCAAGAGTTTCTTATCCTTTAGAAATAAAAAGCCATAACACATGTCACATAGAGTCTGATTTCGATATCCATTAAAATTCATTCAGCATCACAAATCAAAGCAATTAAAGTCGAAAATGCATTATGTATACTCTTATTTAATATATAGTATAAAGAAACACGTAAAAAGCGTGGTAGTTATACATTGAATCTCTTTATTGACTAACGACTCTTAATAACGTGACTGATCACTCATCATTCATCAATGACATCAAAATAATTGACAGCATAATTATTGAATCTACAAGATCAGCATTTCATGCAGCTATTGTTTATATATGTTCTCTTTTTGAAAAATATCTCTTTAATTTTCGTTCATATCACTATCATCACAAAATCAATATAGACGTAGCTAATGACGCAACAAAGTCCCGAAGAGCTAACATGCCATATTTGCCACATACAAATCGACCCATCAATATATAGATTAGAATAGAGTTTTCGGAGGGTCAAAATCAAAATTTTTTGGGGGGTCTTATAATATGAATCAAGAGTTAAAATTACTAAAAGTTTGTGGATGATAAGATATCTCCGGAAATCACGTTAAAAAATAACTTCGAAAAAAGCTTAATAAATTAACAGTTATTTTTTCTTCTATCATTTGACTTCTAATTAAAATCTATCATATGTTTCTAAATATTTAATATATCCATATTTCTATTAAAATTATGTTTATTTTTATTATCTAACTATTTAACTGTTTAATTTTTGAATTTTTATTATACTATAAAATATTAAACTACAAACTTCACGTATACATATAAAGTCAAAAATTTAATAAATAATGCAATTGCAAGCCCAAGTTAGTGGATATAGAAAGTATTTGCAAGTGCACAAGATCGAAAACATATATTTCATGAAAAGAGAAATAAATCATTAGTCTATGAACGAAATGCGTCAAAAGCTTGGCGATATAGGATCGTTTTTGGTCGTTCATGTTGAAAGAGACAAGTCTCGGAACTTTGCTACATATAATTAATTATTATTTAAATTTGGGGCAATAATAAGAAGCATTACCGATTTGTAACACGAAACAAAAACGCATGACGTAACTATAAATAATATCAATTAATTAAAAGGGAAAGATGGAATTAGATTTAAAATTGACTGATTAGAAAGCCATAAATAAAGTAGCTTTGGCATAATTGAACCAATAATTTACTATAAATAAGATAAATACCAATCGTTGGGTTAATGGACAAGGCACCAAGTGCAGTTACTGTATATATATTTGTAGCATTTATAACTTTAACATTTATGTGGAATTTTTTCTCTTTTCTATATTGATTTATCCTAGCTTAGCGGAATAGATAAAGTTTTAAAATAGACAAATTTTGTGATATTCTAATATTTGAAAAACTGGTGATGTATGCTATAATATGTAATACTAACTGAAACGTTATAAATTCAGTAACAAGGTGGAAAGATTTTATGATAGATCATGAGAGTAGAAAGTAGAAACGTTATAAATTTACATATCAATACTGAAAGAGATATGTTTTTTCGGATGACTCTACTTGGAAGTTATTTGTCGTCGTTGTATATAGTCTTTAAATAATTTAAAATGTAAATGTACATGACATGAGTATGCCTTCTATGGTTTTTTACCAGACTACTTATAATTATATATATTTCTTCCTCCGAAATTTTTTCTTTCATAGACCACTATCAAATCCTGTTATCTTAGTATTATGTCTAACGTGTTAATGTTAAACTCAGTTTCCCTCAAGATTTGGTTCTGAAGTCCATATTTTCGTTAGTAATAATTTCTGTTTAAGATTGAGACTTTTTTCTTGAAAACAAAATCCGAATCTTAAACATTGGAATTTTCCATCAAGTTCTTAACATAATTTCTGCTAGGATGTGAACTAACGTGTAATATCTAATAAATATGGGATTCTTGCAAAAATGACCTAAAATTTGATTTGAATTGCAAATCTAACCTACAAAAATCATATTCCCAATATTTGCCATTTTGTGTCCAAACAATATTTCATAGTTTCAGTTATTCACGAAATTGCCATTATTTTTAATTAATTTCTTTTATTTTCAGAAATCCAAATGACCAACTAATTTTCATCTTCCTCACTTATTTACGAAAATGCTCCGAAAGTAGACTTCTCTTGGTCCGAATGAAGTCTACTAGTCAACGCCCAGGTTAGTTTTGCAATTAACCGCATGAAAAAGTAGACTTCTTTTGGTCCGAATGAAGTCTACTCCATTTCCTTTTCATTTGATAACAAAAAAAATAAAGTAGACTTCTCGAATAGACTTCTTTAGAAGCAGGTCATTTTTGCAACTGACCAACATTTGACTTTGTAGAGTAGACTTCTCTACTCAGTAGACTTCTCCGAGAAGTCTACTTTCGTAAGTAGACTTCTCGCAGGTCATTTTTGCAATTGACCAAAAAGTCAAATATTTTGCAATTGCAAAAATGACCTGCGAGAAGTCTACTTACGAAAGTAGACTTCTCGGAGAAGTCTACTTTTCATAGAGAAGTCTACTAATATTTTGGCAATTGCAAAATTAACCTGCTAGAAGTCTACTTTTCTTGTTTTTTTTAAAAAAAATCATTTTTATACAATATATAACGAATTTTTAAGATTTTCGCGATCCTAAACTTATGTTATTAAATTTTCTTGCTTATGTATAAGTTTTGCATGTTTATATTTTATAGGTATAATCGAATGAGTTTTCATGTTTTATATGATACTTAGCTTATTAAGAGTAGACTTCTTAGTCTACTCTAGAAGTCTACTATGTAGACTTCATCCAACTTTCAGAGAAGTCTACTTATGCAATTTTGATATCTAATGTGGTTTGGATTTTGTTCTTTTTCACAGAGAATGGCTCACATATCCGCTGTTTATGGAGAATGGGTTAAGAGTGAATCAGTGTGGCAGTTCGAGGTGGATAATAGCATAGGAGGGCAAATGTTGTTCTTAAGAGATGGTTGCACACATGGTGAGCTTTTTGGTGAATGTTGGCAAAGGAGGGCGAATAGCAAAGGAGGGCGAATAGCAAAGGAGGGCGAATGTTGTCACCTTTAAGTTATGTAAAATTAATGTCTTTAAGAAGTCTACTCGAGACAATAAGAAGTCTACTTCAGAAGTCTACTCGAGACAAGAGAAGTCTACTCGGTTGACAAGTTATATGATATAAATGAGAGAAATGTCCCTCTGAATCACTTTTAAGTTATGTAAAATTAATGTCTTTTAGAAGTCTACTCGAGACATGAGAAGTCTACTCGAGACAGGAGAAGTCTACTCGAGACAAGAGAAGTCTACTCGGTTGACAAGTTATATGATATAAATGGGAGAAATGTCTCTCTGAATCACTTATAATATGTAAAGTTAATGTCTTTAAGAAGTCTACTCGAGACAGGAGAAGTTTATTTTGTAGAATAGATAAACATAGATAATTTAGGAATTTGATACAAAACATTCAATGCAATTCAACATTACATAGAAAATAACTCTCTAAACAAACAAACATTTAAGGATCACTAGTTATAAATCTTAAAACTGACATAAAAAATTACTAGTAAACTAAAATCTCTGAAAATTATGTATGCAACTGAAGTCTGCTTGAGAAGTCTGCTTAAGATCGAGAAGTCTACTCGAGAAGTCTGCTCGAGATCGAGAAGTCTACATTCAGATCTGCAGAAAAAAATCAACAAAATTCAGCTATGTAACAATAACGAAAAATTTAGATCTAGAACAAAATCTAATAAATTTATACAACAATAAACTCAGATCTACAAATATAAACTTAGATCTACAACAATAAGCTCAAATCTAAACTAATAAGCTCGGATCTATAATAATAATCTACTATATTTATAACATTCAGATCTGTACAAAAATCAACAAAATTCAGCTTTGCAATAATAACAAAAAATTAACAAAATCTACAAAATTTATACAACAATAAATTCATATCTACAAAAATAAACTTAGATCTACAACAATAAGCTCAAATCTATAATAATAAGCTCAGATTTGCAATATGAACACAAAGCAAACAAAAAGAGGAACATAAAAGCTCAGATTTGCTTACCACTACCATAACCTGCAAGTGAGAGGAGGTTGAATGCAAGATAGAGAAGATGGAGAGGATATTGATAGCAAGAGAGGAAGGAGAAGAAATTCATGGCCAGAGAGAAGGGAGAAGAGAGAGAGGCGGTTTTTTAGATAGAGAGAGACTTTATTGTTAATACAATTAAGTTAAACTCTCCTTATATATGTAAAAAAAAATTCGTGTGAGTAGACTCCAAAAAGTCTACTCGAGAAGTTTTTTAGTATTGATTTTTATCATAATTTATCTATGATGATTTAAATTGATTATTTTCTGTCAAATTTTATTTTTAATAGGTGTAAAAAGTATATATTTGTTGTTATGTATCTAATTTTTTTATCAAATTATCTTTTAAGATTTTTAAAATTAATTGTAAACATAGTATTAAAGAGTAGACTTCTCTGAGATAAAATAGTAATTGAGGTTGACGTTTTTTTGTTTAGTCATAAGGGTTAAAGTTGTAATTTCACTACTCCTGTGAGTTATTTTTGTCAAACATGCAATAAGAGGTCTAGTTTTGCATTTCAACTCAAGTTTTGAGTCATATTCAACAATTCTCCCAATAAATATTTTAGTTTTCTTAAAGTTTGCAGTGAAGTAGTAGTGTTATAGCTAAAAACAAAAATAAGAAACGGCGAAAGAAAATAACATAAAAAGAACCAAAAATAATAATTGGATTATGCGGGATATGTTATGTGCTTGTGTTTTATATAGAGTTCGCATGAAGAATCCCTTTAAATAACCAAGAGAAAAATGTTTCGAGAAAAGATACTAAAAACAAAATTTAGAGGTTTAATAATCGAATTCCACTCAACTAGAACAAAATTATATAACATGCTATGGTCTTGGTCCTCTTGGATCTTCTGATCATAAAGAATGAAATTATATAATATATGGGTTTTGATGCAAAACTTATCATAAAGAACAAGGAATAAATGAAAGAAAAAATAGTTGGGTGTGTACGCATCATTAAGAAACTATAGATAATTAGTTACGAAATGTTAGCCACCTTAACTGATCATCATATTGAATGTTAAATTTCAGCAACCTTATACGTACTGGAAAGTTTTTGAATTAGGGATGTTTTTTCTAATCCACTTGATGACTGGAACATTATTTCCTTCTCTTTAGTATTATTATTATCTTTGCAAATTGGTAAATAATTTACTATAGATTTGGCATGAAGGTGGGGGAAAGAGAGTGCACGATTTATATATATGAAACAAACAAAACAAATGGTTATTGCTTTACGAAATATCTTTATTTTTTTATTATATTTATTCATAACAAATGGTTTGTTACTTTTCTTTATCGTCATTATCCACTAATCCTCTGGGAAATAAGAAGCAATCCCTTATTCGATTGCAATTATTGGGCTTTTGAAGTTTAGAAAAAAGCCCAATAACTATGTCGGTTTCTTATGGGATCCCTAAAAAATAATGTGTTGGGGTGTTTCTGGGATAAAGAGATTTTATTTTCTTATACTCATTCATTCTGATTTACTAACTTTCTCCTGCATCGAATCTCTTGTTTTCATCGAATTTCATTCACGATTCAAACATAAACCCTAATTTGGCGAATCACACTTTATCATAAATGGTTAATATTAACTTCCATGTCACGTCTTCCTGATTGTGGTTAATTTGATAGATTCCAAAGAATGGAGGACGTCATGATGAATGAGGTTGCAAAAGACAGTGAGAGCTCCAGTGTTAGGGTAAAATAATGGATTTCCTTTTCAAATGTGGATTGAACCGGTCTCTTTCGAGATTTGCATTATTAAACCGTGATATCATTTGTGAAAGGCACTCGCTGTGGCTCTACCATCGCCGGGAAATGAAAGCTCTGCACCAACTGACCCGCCTCATGAACCATGGCCAGTCTATAACCCAACTTACGTTTCACACGACTGTGGAGCACTTTACGCCAACACGTCACCATGTTATTATGACTTTGTACCATCGGCGCGGCCGAAATCAGAAGGACGTTGCGATGCTCCTTCTTTCTCGCCGACAACACCAAATTACGCTCCCCCTCCCCCCGGCCGCATCGACCCCGCTGTTGCCACTATGTTCTATGGTCCTATTGGTGAACAAAATCCGGTAATCATTTTATTCGTTTAAACCATTTTTTTATGTTTTTTTTTTAGTTCTTTGACTCACTCTCGCAAGCAGAGGGAGGTTTGGCATGGGGAGATGGGCATTTTTGGTAGAATTGGGCTTGATTGCTACAATCTGCAAAAGGTATGTTTGCCCACTAATCAACTCTTTTGCTTCCGTTCTACTATATATATATTATTGGTTTGTAGTAAATCGCATAAGTTGTGTGTAGTCAAAGCTTGTTCTGTTTGCCTTGTTGTAGGGGACAAACTTACAATATTTGGGTCTACATGATTCAATGTTTACCGGAGTATTTGCTCACCATATAACAGCGGCGGCAAAGGATCCAATACGCAATTCCAATTGCAAGGTTGAAACAAATGTCTGGTTTAGAAAGAAGAAAGATTGCTTCACTCTACATACAAACCGCTGCAGAATGGTTCCGCCAGCTCCAGGTAAATACGTACAATGTCAAATGCACGCTTTTGTACGTCTCTCGTTATATATATGTGATTGTTGTTGCATCATTAATTAGCGTGTTTCCACCATATTTACTACAGCTGATGACTACATGGGTGACTATGATGAAGGCAACCATGAAGCAGAACTTGGGATGCCCGACAAGTGGTTGCCTGAGGATGCGCTAACGGGCAGTAATAAGCTGCAATACTACGAGGTGAGCCCTGAGCCCTCTTCTTTTAAGTCTTAAATAAGCGTTTTGACACAAGAAGATGATGTGAGGATGATGATGTTGTTGTTGACAGATGAAAGAGTCAGAGGTGGAACAAGAGAAAGAACGGCTTCTTCTGTACGCGGGTTTCGCCTTGTTCGCCGACTACCTACAGTACACGGTGAGGAAAAGGACTTCAACGACTTGAGGGTATATTTGTTAATTAGGTTAATCATCTCTAATTGGTGTTGTGTTGCAGGGAAAGGTCCTTGAGCTGGGAAAGGTGATTGTGCAAACCAGTGAAGCTGTCGAGTCGAAGGTGAAGGCGAAGAATGCAATCTTCTATGTAAGCTTCAACATTGCCGGCTATGATCTAGTAACGTTCAATGGTATCGTAAGGAGAGGAACGGATGGAGGGCCAGATCGTTTTACCTATGAAGCCAAGTGTTTCATGGACGCAAGGCAGTATCGTTGAGTCCCTATAATATGTATCAAGAAGTATATTATCGAACCTATGGCTACGTCTTATTTGCTTAATCTTTTAATTAATTTCTTACTGAGACAATGAGAGTTTTAAGGTAAGTAACGTTTGACGTGAGAGAGACTCCCCACTCCCCATATATATTAGTATGTATCTCTCAGATGGTGGCTACGTCTTATTTGCGTAATGTTTTACTAAGTTTTAAACCGGTCTTTTTTCATAGGCTCTTTAGCTCTTATTTGCTTGATGTTTTGCTGAGATAATGAGAGTTTTAAACCGGTCGATAGATTGATGATATGTGAAATAAATTGAATGATAACATTGTTTTTATTCCAGTTGACGTGTCAATTTCTAATATGAGCCCTTTATATTAATTTGCCAGCCATGAATTGTTTCGTGATACATTTTTATTTATTTTTATCGTAGTTTGATTTTTTGTTCTCTCTCTTGGTTAAAATGTCGTAGTTTGATTTGGACATTCACTTATATCATATGCATATATACATACATATGTATATGTATGCATCGGTGTATGTACACGCATACGGCATACAATGGACAAAGGAGCATTATGCAAGTTGCGACGACCTTTTGTATTATGTGATTATAACAGTTAGAAATATCCTAGCAAATCTGGTTTGAGCCTGAAATTTATTATTTATCATAATCTTTTTTTTTATGCTTATGATACCGATCTTTACTATTGTACAAATTCTTGAGGAAATGAGTGAATTTTCACAGAATTTAACAGTGGGTATAAGAAAAAGTATAATTGCCAAAACTTAGGGAATTAATTTTCAGAAAAGGCAAATGAATAAAATATTAAAAGGACCAGTGATAGAATAACCTTTTTTAATTAATAACAATACATTAAAGTGGTAGAATAATTCAAAACAATATAGTAATAAAATTAGTGTTTTCATGTAACGATCGACTCATCTATGATCAGTCCACAATTGACTCGTCTATGATCAATCATCACGGCTAAAGATCACGAACGTCCTGACTCTTAAGTTACTTTCTCAGATTCCCACATGACACAAATGTATAAGTAATATAGTATCTATATTCTTTTCAGAGCATGTCATTAATTTTGTTTGGTATTTAAAAACTGAAGACCATAAATCGATATGCGACTTGCTCACGTGCTGAAGCCTGTCTTCTTGGATCTCAAGATCTACCTCCAAATTCTCTCATAAAGTCAAACTAGCTATATTTATTTGTACAAGTCAAATAGCTATATTAACAGCATTTGATAACAAAATCAATTAAATTTTTTTATGTTATGAAAAAAAAAAGAATTCTACTATGTCAGTCGAGTTCTAAATATATTTTTCCTCCACCATTCGCCGCTTGATTTGTGAATAGCCACATATAGGACTTAATTTTTTTTTTGTCTGTATCGTCCAATACAGGGATAGGTTTTGTTAACGTTTCACGTATTATTTTTCTGACTACCTAATCATGCACAAGTTTATAGTGGTTGACAAAAAAAATCTAATCATTCAGAAATAGGCAATACAGTGATAGATTCTCATGGAATACACAAAGTTCTTTTCTTCCGAATATTATTGAACATCGAGTAAAAACAGACACATAATCGATTTGGAAAGACTATATATGTAGTTATATACTCAGCAGTTTTGATGGTTAATTGTCTATATCATGTTTTGCCCCCAATAAAAAAAAATTGTATATCTCATGTTGGAAATAATCCTCAGTATAATCCATCTTTTCTTTTAGAAAAGGTTGTTAGTTGAATTGGTTAGTTAATGTATCATGTTTGTTGACTATAAAAAATATGACCAAGGAAAAACATATTAGGCTAAAAAATCAACGACTATCAAAACTAGCCTAATTTGATGGAATTGCATACAAGTCAATTGCAATTAATGGAGAACAAAAAAAACATAATTTGATTTGATCAATGATCAAGGGATCAGTTTAATATTTGTAGTCAGGCTTCAAATACTTGAACTTGATATCGACTCGTTAGACTAGATTTGACCCTTTAGCTGGCCACATCCTAATTCCTAAGTACGTTTATGCTATGTACGTTTCAAATTGACATTTAGATGTCTGCATGACTGTATTTATTGTCTCTCGTAATCTCTTAGATATATACGTCGCATCACCAAAAATATGTATACCGATCTATCACTTGTTTGGTTTGTATATTCCGCTTATGCGAACGTGCATGTGACGTAGGCGGTAGTCACGTAGCGGCTTTTGGTTTGTTTGTTCACTAAATAAAATATTTTTCTAGTATCTAAAATGAAACCATACCAAAAAATAAAAATAAAAAAAAACCCAAACCAACAAAATAAATAGATTTCTGCAAAAAAAATATGAAGCAAAAAATAATAACTAAATAAACCGAAACCGAACCCAAAATTGGATTTAAAAACCGCTCTCGAGATACTTTTTATTATACTGAATCACTGATGTCTAATTATATTATTATTTTCTGCATTATGTTATTACAAATTCAGCTACTTTAAGTATCAAATTCATGGAAGGAACAAAAAATGTTAAATTGAGGAACTTTTTGACGATTTCTTTTTATGAACAATAAAGTGTTTTGGTGAAAATTAACTTGGAATCTGTTTTTGGTTGTTCCTACGGAGACATCCAGTTCTATTTCCATTTTAAGTTGCTTTTGGAAATATCACACGTATCGTTTCTTTTTAATCCTCTGAATATTTTCCTTATATATAATATTATATACCAACGTTATGAACAAAAATGTGTGAGATGAATCAAAAGTCCAAAACTCTCATCAGAAGAACGTAAATTATAATTTAATAATAACGAATATTGCACCACTTGCACATCGACTTTAGATCAGAAATGTATATATACCACTTGTACATGGACTTTATTAAACATATATATACACATTAGAAAGTGGTGTCTTTGACAGTACATATGAAGTTGACAAATACGAAAAGCTAAGTTTGGTGAAGTTCTAATAAGTAATTACACTATACATTCGTGTTGATGATCATGACTCTATGTCGGTCCACATATATTAGGTACAATGGAACAACGAAGCTGCTTGGTCGTTAAAAAAAAAAGGGTTGGTTCTGAGAAGTCAAATTACAACTCCTTTGGGAATACATATATAATTACAAAAATTTCCATTTTTGGAGAGACCAGTCACCATAATTCAGTTTTCATTAGATCTCAATTTTTTTTCCCCAACTGTAAGTGGTTTGTAATACAGTATGGTGGTTTTCTCTTTTCTTTTTTTTGGGGGTTAAAATGGGTTGGTCTTCTTGATCGGTGAAATATGAAAAATACAAATTCCACATCTTGTAATTACGTTGTTTTTGTTTATTCACAATTTTCAATACTTGAAAACTTCAAATTATAATGACTAAATCCCCGAGATTTGTTTAAGCTCCGTCTCATTAGTAGCTCTACAAAAATTGGTATATAAGTTAGAAAATTTGATGTGAATGCTATGACTTAATCAATGTGAGCAACATTAAACACCTTTACTCATACAGAAAAAAAATGAAGATTATAATAAGCAATTTGTACACGAACGTATGGTATCGTATTCGTATATGTATATATAGTTGTGTATATATTTATATATAAATGTATACTAGCTAGAAATGAGTCAAAAAAGCAATCGACGTCAAGAAAAAGGTAGCAATCATGTTCACCGTATTTTCATTGAGGATCAAGGATAATGATATTCTTACTTATTGTCACACATGCGTGACCGACCTCAAAAAAACTCATAACCTAAGAAACAAATAACTATTATTAATCATTAAAATTATATTAAAAACTATGATATTGTTGATGTCAAAAAAAAAAACTATGATATTGTTATCCGGGAGAAAAGAGATACTAACATTTATCAATGTTCAAAACTTTAGGCGTATAGCATTTAGGGAGGGATCAATGCCGCCTAATCAATTAATAGAAGAAATTTATATTTCATATTGTTTGAATATTGAAGTTATTATTTTTAATTAGTTAATAAAAAAGCTAAAATTTTGATGTTAAGTATATATTTTCCCCATTTTCTCTAATTTTCAAATAAATAAAAATTACCCGCCTTTTTCATAATTATTATTATTTGTTATATATATGGATTTAAAATGGAGCTTTTCTGGTATAATGTTCGGCTAAAGTCCATTAAAATGTAGAAAATTAAGATAACAGAGAGACTATAATATATGCAAAAGGTGGCAAATTGCTGCAAAGTTCAACTACGTATCTATGCAAATTGCAAAGTCAAACCGTCGCTTGTCCGAAACATTTGTATAAATGTTTTTATACTCCTAAAACGTTCAATAACTCATTCTCTACTCAAATCTTTCTTCCTTTTCTTTGGATTCGTAGATTCTTTTTACTTCAGTTTTGCATTATACACGGAGAATCTGCACTACAATATATAAAATATATTGTGGATCGATTGTTCGAGAAGAAAAGGCTTGAGATTCTCACAATACGATCGATCATGTACACAAAGGTAATATACTTTTATGCATCTTCTTCTCGATTAGGCTGCATAAAATATTTAAATTCTCATATGTAATAATATCAATGATGGAGTACTACATCATATTGGTTAAGCTTTTGAACAATTTTAAGTTTCGTGGATGCAAAAAGTGATATACTGAATTAACTTCAACAAAAAGTATTATGTTCATTCATTTATTTCTCAAGTAGCAAAGCGATATGAGTGAATATGAATTTGCAAAATAAAAAACATCGCATATGGAAGTGTCTAATGCAAAGGTATCCCTTTTATACGCCAATGAACCCGGCTTTTTCCCGTTGAGTGTTGTCCTAATTTAATTATCTTTTTTTTTAAATCATAGTTTCTTGAATCATAAAACAGCTTAACAAGTTACAAAATCTAACGGTATCGCGTAACCTTTGTTTATATATTCAACTAACAAAAATAATAAAATCTTGTTATTTTAATATCAGCACTTTACTTTATTCTTAATGAACGTTTACCCCATGTGAATCCTCCTTATGTAATGCTTCTTCACCCACAAATCTCACTTTATATATATGTTTGTGTAACTGTGTTTATGTCTTGTTCATCTATATATATACATTGTAACAAACAGTTTACAGGGAGAAAAAAAATACATCAACCTCACATTCTTTTATCTCTTTTGTTTTTCAATTTCATAATTAGGCGTTGGGTTCTGAGAAAATGGGTTTTATCCGACCACCGGCGGTGAGAAGCGGCGGCGATTATATAGAGAGCATCTTTGGAGAATACTCGGCCGGAAAACCAAAGCCTAGCCGGAAACTCAACTCCGCCAAGTTCGTCACGGCGCTGACATTTCTTCAGTTTGCATTTGCCGTCTACGCCACCGGACTTCTCTACTACATGAGTCCTTCCATTGACTTACGGGCCAAACCAGACTTCACTTGGGCCACCAAATGGGCTCATAATATGCGTAATTACATTGTTACCCCTCACGTCGTCAGCCATCTCCAAGACTCTGCCTCCTTTCTCAAATCGGAGGATAATTTCCCGGCGATGGTTTCTCCGGCGGAGGTTTGCGAGTACGAGAAGATCGACTTCTCTCAGAAGAAATCGAACGACGAGAAAATGATCAAGATGAAGAGGGAGCTATACGACGACGTCTTGGGGTTCCAGAGGAAGAATCTTGGGTCTGAGAGTTTAGAAGAGCTGATGAAGATGAAGTCTAAATGGGCTTTAAACGGGCCGAGAAAACCCAAAGTGACAGTGATACTAAACCATTTCAAGAGAAAAACACTCTGTGCTCAGCTTGATTCTCTTCTCCACCAAACGCTGCCGTTTCACCATGTCTGGGTTTTGGCCTTCGGGAGCCCCAACGAAGCTTCTCTCCGGCGAATCGCTGGAAGCTACAACGATTCTCGAATCAGCTTCATCAGCTCGAACTACGACTTCAAATACTATGGAAGGTTCCAGATCGCGCTTCAGACGGAGGCGGATCTGGTTTACATCCTCGACGACGACATGATTCCTGGGAAGAAGATGCTTCAGATGCTCTCGCACGTCGCCGGAACGGAGAAGTACGAGAACTCAGTTCTGGGAAGCATCGGGCGGATTCTTCCTTTCCGGCAGAAGGATTTCACGTTTCCGAGCTACAGGAAGTTCAGATCCAAGGAAGCGGGGCTATACTTGCCTGATCCGGCGTACGACATCACACTAGATCGAATCCTACAGGTTGATTTCTTATCCAGCTCTTGGTTCTTATCGGCGGAGCTCGTTAAAGCGTTGTTCATCGAAAAGCCATTCACATTCGCCACCGGCGAAGATCTTCACCTGAGGTTAGTTCTCATTTTCACATGTTTCGTCGATTCTGAAAATTTCTAGGGAAAATGAATTTTTGAGTGCACAATAAGGCAGTGTTCTAATTGCTTGAATTACAGGAAATTTGAATCAGTACTTTTTCTCATTTCTTTAATCACACAGAAACAGAATGAGAAAATATAATATAATAATTGTAAAAAAGTTGAGTAGTCTCATACAATCTCGCATTGATACGTAATCTCTTGCAGTAACGTCCAAAGAGGACGATGATCATCGTGAGAGTAATAGAATCACATGTTTAGACACTTGTTTTGTTTCAATTTTTCTGATGAAAGTAAGAAAACAAAAACTTTGTTCTAAAGTAATAATAATTGGGATTTGCGCTTTGGCAGCTATCAGCTTCAGAAATACAGAAACGCAGGGTCTTTTGTTCTTCCTGTGGATCCAAACGACAAGGAGACATGGGGAGATAGTGAACACAGGCTAGCTTACGTGTCTGAGACCACAGTGATCTTCAAGAACATTGTCGAAGTGAGAGACAACCAATGGTGGAAAGCGCTTTCAACGGGTTACATAACCCAATGGGCTGCAATGCATCCTCAGAAGATCGACGCTCTGTTTTACGCGCATTCGATCGACGAAGTCAAAGCACTTGGTCCTCTGCTCGAGAAGTTCAGAACCACTGTTGGCAAAAAGGCTTACATCGCTGTGTCGGGAGGGAAGTTCTGTCCGTGCGAGGATGCTGCCTCGGCTTTGAAATGGCCTAAGGTGGTTTGCAACGAAAGGAGGTTCAAGATTTTCGATTTGGAAGTTGGGGCTATCTTGGGTGTGTCGAACTCAGAGGTTCCTGTGTTTCAAGCTGTGTATTCGAGCATGAAGGGGCTTATCAAGATCCATAACCCTAGCGTGGTGATTACGGTAGCTGATGCTGATCCTAATGTCATGAAAGCTTTGAAAATGGCTACTGAGACAAACCTAAATGGCACCGCTCTTGTTCTTCTTCCCAGAGCTTCTATCTCCAAGGTTCTATGGATGGCTGATTTAAGATCAACAGCATTGCCAAGTAAGAATCATTTACCTTTTTTGCTCTTTTTTTGTCTTTGATTCTGCTTTTGCAAACTCGCTTACGGGGGAATTGACTATTTGATTGCAGACTGGAATAAGATGAGAATCTCAGTGAACATCATCACTCAAAACCGAGCTCAGTCTTTGCTAAGATTGCTTAGGTCTTTGAGCAACGCATACTATCTAGGCGACGAAATATCAATCAGCTTCAACATGGATAGCAAAGTGGATGAAGAGACGATCAAAGTAGTGAGCACATTCGATTGGCCTCACGGATCAAAGACATTAAGAAGAAGAATCATCCAAGGAGGACTAATCCGAGCTGTGAGCGAGAGTTGGTATCCAGCTTCTGATGATGACTTTGGTCTCTTGCTTGAAGACGACATCGAAGTCTCTCCTTACTACTACCTCTGGATCAAATACGCTCTCCTCGCTTACCACTACGACCCTCAAGTCTCTTTCCCTGAACTCGCCTCCATCTCTCTGTACACTCCCAAAATCGTCGAAGTGGTTAAAGAGAGACCCAAATGGAACCCAACAGATTTCTTCAAGCAGATCCATCCACACACTCCTTACCTTCACCAGTTACCTTGCAGCTGGGGAGCTGTGTTCTTCCCGAAGCAGTGGAGAGAGTTCTACGTCTACATGAACATGAGGTTCACGGAGAACGCGAAAGAAAACCCGGTTCAGATTCCGAAATCAAGAACCAACGGTTGGCAAGCTTCTTGGAAGAAGTTCTTGATCGATATGATGTACCTTAGAGGGTACGTTAGCCTCTACCCGAACTTCCCTAACCAACAAAGTTTCTCAACCAACCACATGGAACCAGGAGCTCACATCGCAGCGAAAGACAATGTTGTGAAACACGACAAAACCGATTTCGAAGTTCCTTTGCTCATGGATGACTTCAGAAACTTTTTACCGAACCAGAAACTCCCTCCGGCTTTGAAGCTTCCGTCGCTCAATCTCTTTAACATTCCGGTTTCTCTTAAAGGTCTTAAAGCTGCAGGAGCTAAGCTTGGTCAAGATGTTCTCCGTTGCAATAACGTCTCTGAGATTGTCGCCGTCAATCATCAGACTGGTTTACCGGCTAGATGCATGAAATTCTGAAGACCCATCCTTTCATTTTAACGGCCGGTCAAAAATTGTATTCGGCTGTAAATTTTTCTTTTCTTGATTCTTTGTATTTTCTTGAAATAGTTATATTACGGTACGGATAAAAGATGGCACATCATCCTCTTTATATAAATATAGATTTTGTAAAGAGTCTCCCTTTTTTGTTTCCTCACTTAAATAAAAACACAAAGAAAAGCGAGAAACATTTGATCAAAACAGAGACAAAGACACCTACACAACCAAACAAAAATGAGTTGTCTAAATGTAAAAATTTGATTAGCCCTTTCCTAATACCCTCACAATAGAGTAAATAACAAAAATTACACAAACGACCAGTTCACAAAGGAGAAAGCAAGACAATGCAAATTGTTATTACTGTCGTCGTTGTTGTTATCGGAAGCAGCAAACACTTTCCAAGCAACAGCTTGTTCATAAGTCACATGTCTTCCCATCGTCGACAAACAGATTCCTGAAGGCAAGCACGCAAATCCCTGTAGAGACGAAGACAAATTCTTAACACAATTAAATATAAAAAAAAAACATTATTTAAAGAGTTTATTATGTTCTTCTTTTGTTACCTGTTGCATAAGCTTGGCGAAATCGGAGCAAAGAGCCTTTCGACCGGATTCATCGAAGATCTTTTCGAGTGTTATGTCTTGTAAGGCTACAAGTGTTGTCTCTAGCATGTCTAGACCAGCTTGGTTCGCAAACATGAACACTGGTTGCGGCTGCAACATAACCAGACCATATTTAAACCGAGAGGTCTTCAATTCAAAACCGATTTTGTCTGGTTTAGGAAACGCACCTTTAAAGAGCAACACAAGATGGCATCTTGATGATCCCATAGAAGTTTCAATACGGAGTCGTTGCTTCCAAGTGAGTCAATCGCCAGCAACTCTGAGCCTAAGTGATGACTGGAACAAAAACAAAACATATTAGACATTACGACATTATCGACTGGAGAAATAATTTTTAAGTAAAACATTGAAATAAAAAAAACTCACGTGTAGCTTTGGGAGATCCACTGAGCAAGGGTAACAGCTTCAGGAGATCCCGGGGACAATTTGGAGCCTAGACTCGGGCTTATACCAGACGGTGAGATGGCCATTGCGACGCGTTGAACCGATGAGATCACGCTACGCACGTACTGACAAGCCATACCGGCAACATTTTCTTGCAAGTTGTTCTCGAAAGGGAACTGAAACGCGATGGTGAGGATACACCTCGAGCTTGAGGTAGAAGAAGAGTTTCCAGAAGCGTTTTCCGGTGATGGACCAACTTCAAGGCTAGAAGTTAAGTCTAATGTACGGTGGTGGTTCGCGGTTAACACATCTTGCGCATCTCCCTATATTGAGTGTGAGCATTTTTTTTTTAGACTAATTAAACCATCTCTACGTAAGAAAAGAATTAACCAGTAATGGACAAAAGACAAGTACCGTTTTAGCATCAATGGGTATGACTCGGAAGCCAGATGGAACAAGTGGAGCATCATCCGGGAACATCTCGTTGATCGGAGCGAATATCAGCTCGGAACAAGCTCCGACAGCATTTTCATCAATCCCGGTACAAATCTGCCATACACATAATATAAGGTCATTTTAGGTCAACATTTTCAAGATCCATCAAGTAAGAAAAATGATGTAAATACCTGAAGAAGATGGACATCCCGGGACATGAACGCATCTTCTTGTGCAAGAGAATGACCTTCTAATCTAACAACTTCAAGCATCTGAAGCATAAAAAAAACACCAAATACATTAGGAGAAGGATACAGAACACAAAAAAAAACTGATTATGTTTTCTCATTGGATAATAAAGACTAGCAAGCCTTACTTCTTCGTGTTCGATGGTGTGCCCTAGTGGCATTATGATTTGGCTCCCGGTGAACCTCGTTGGCCTCATTCCCGGATAAGCAAAGGTTCCGGCTTTAAGCGTCGCAGCAGAATATGCGTCAACGTTGAAATCAGCCCACTCGGATCGATGCTCTCTTAAAAACCGGATCAAAACCGCAGGAGGAACATTCTACAGAAAAGACATTAAAGAAGACAAAAGTCTTCAGCCATTGAAAAGGGTCAAAAGCCACCACACAAAGTACACAAACAAACTTACTTGGAGAAGCATAGAAGCCTTGGCACAAAGCACGCCTCCAAGAAACGAAAGAGAGTTGGAGATGTTATTCAAATGCTTGGTAGAGTTAATAGCAACGACAATGTCTTCAGCGCCATCACAATGCATCGTAGACCACCCGTCGTCCCCAAAACCGTTAACCGCGTCGTTGAAACCTCTGCAAGAAAAACCAACAAAAATCAAAACAGAGAGCAAAGAAGAAAATTGATTTTTTTCAGGAGCTCGTGATCGAGTTTACCTGCTTAATCTCTGGCTAAAGGTTCTAAGAACAGCGGGCTGCCTTCCTAATCCATACACTAATTCACCATTAGACTCCTGAGCTAATTGTCTGATATACCGCAACGCCTGAAAACACGAACTCAACCGTTAGATAATGAATTGATCATGTCTCATGGCTTTGGTTGTTTTTGTATATATATATACACACTTACGGAAATGGTCATTTTTTGAGCGACGACTTTGGATGACTCATAAAGGGGTCGAAGCACATCCGGAACACTCCAAGCCTACAACGCAAGTAAACAGGTTTTTAAGAGTCATTTCTTTTTCAAAAAATCCAATGAAGCAATTACAAAAGTGTCTTTCTCTATTTACCTCGAGATTAAGGTGATCGACGATGTGAATAATTGAACCGCCACCATCACAAGGTCTTATTAAATAACCACTAGAAAGCATTTCTGCTCTCACGAACTGAGAAGCTGAAGCAGCATTAGGACCAGCTCCAGATCCAGAAAGTGACCTCTCACAAACCTTTTAAAAGACACACAAAAAAAACATATGTTGTTTTTTAGTTGTAACAGTTTTGTTATGTAAAACACTAGACATGCTGCATTATGAGAGTTGCTTACTACAAAACTGCCGTTGTCGAGGCTCGTTGTATATCTCAAAGTCCAGAAATCGCGGGCAGGAGCCAGAGTCGTTGGTGCATATGTCTGAACCAAAAGTCATTTTTCTCAAAACTTTATTTAGAGTTATCATATAGGTAACTTAAAACCAAAAGAGAACAAGAATCACCTGCATATACACGAGCTCGATTGTGCCGCCATTACCGGCCGGGAACATAGTGAAAACTTCAAGGCTCCTACAGTCACGGAACCAAGATGGCCGGTCTTTGAGAATCTCTGCAATCTGCAAGAAAACAGTAAAACCTCAAAAGGTTGAAACTGAAAGCATTTTGAATCTCAAGATGTGGCCTTTCTCTTACCTTCATAGGTTCTAAACTAACAAGACCACAGGCTCGAGCTGCCACTCCACTGCATCTTTGCGAAATAGCAAAGATGCCAACCGAATCCGGACCAGGCTAAACACACACACACACACACACACACACACAAGATCAGATTTCACATTTCAATATTACACATGAGTAATGATGAAAGGAGGAGACAAGTATTAGAACCTTCATCCCAGGCATCTGAACCCAATCAACAGCAGTTCCTGTAGCCTTGGATAGGAACTCTGCCAAGGTCTCCTCTGCGATCGAGAGCAATCTAAGAACAAAGATCAAAGTCATTAAGCCAAGAGAACAAAAAGCTGCATGAGAGGTCACTACAAATTCTAATATATGATGAAACTTTTACCCAGCAGGACTATTCGCGTCTCTGAGCGAATGCTGAGGAGGTGTGACCACAGAGTCGCAGCTCGCATCAGTCACCTGAGATTACAAGCATCAAAGACAATATAAATAACTCACGCGAACACATTTCAAACAGAGAGATTTTGAGTTTACGTACAACAGTTGTTAGCTGCTGCTTCATGTATCCATTTTCACAGACAAGCTGAGAAACTTGCTTCTGCAGCCTATCATTCTCCTCCATCAACAGTTTGTTCATAGCCGAAAGCTTCCGGTTTACGCTCTGTAGCCTCGACGCCTCTTTCCTCTGCTTATCTCGACACCTTAAACCGCACAAAACCAAAGATTAGAGTCAGAAGAAGAACAGTTTATATGATACAGAGGAATCCAAATCAAAACTACTAGACAGATTCAGAGAAACCCTTTTGGAAAAAAACAGGAACTTGTGTCGGAGAAACGAATCACGGACCAATATCTTCTTCTAAGAGTAAAAACCAAACTACAAGACAAAAGAATACTCCAAAGAGTGTGGTCCTTCTTCATTTCCGTTGAGTATTAACACTGATTCTAAATTTCACAAAATCAAATTCCAAATCCCTAACTCTAAAATTACAGATTTTTCTTTTTCTTTTTTTTCGAAAGTGAGAAGAAGCAACGAAAAAGAATATATATATATGTGCAGTATATACCTCCGGTTCTGAAACCAGACCTTGATCTGCTTAGGCTCGATATTGGCCAAAATTGAACATTCACGGATCAATTGCTGTCGCCGGAGCGAGCTTGGCTTGGGACACTCGGCGTAGACTCGCTCGAGAGCCTCCACTTGCTCCGCCGTGTACCTAACGTACTTGCCGCTACTGTCTAAATGTCTATTCATGCTATCACTGCTTCTCTCTCGGTGATTAGCCACCGCCATCTCCATTTTTTTTGCTCGACCACAAAACTCCAAAAGTCTCAATCAAACTTCCTTCTTCTTCTTTACTTCTCTTTTTTCTTTGTTATTCTTCGGAAAGTCCGTCGTTTCTTAAGAGAAACGTAAATTGTAATTCTTTTGTTTTTCAGACAAAGAAGATTCTACGGTCGTGGCTTGTAGCGAAAGACCAACGACATGTGGAAACTGAGAATTAGGAAATAAAGGAACAAAAAAATAAAGAAAGCGAAGAATTTTATATAAAAAAAAAAAAGTTTGTAAAAACAGAGAAAAGAGAGAGATTCAGAAGATCTAAGAATTTTGAAGATTCTCCCAGGAAATCAGAATAACACTCAAAGACCCAATTACAGAGTTGAAGAGAAGAACGCGACAAAGTGATGTGAACCCTCTCAAAGAAGAGAGACACCAATCACTCGAAGCATTATCAGAATTCAGTACACAGAAACCTTCTGAGCAGCAGTGATGGAAAAGAAGAAGAAGAAACCCAGAACATCATTTGGTACAATTGAAGGTGAAAAGTTATCAAAGCTCAAAATGAAAAAAAAAAGGAGAGAGTGGTTATGTGAGATATTGAAGAAGCGAAGGAGAGAGAAAGAGTAAGTGATGTGTGTCCGCTCTCTGAACTAAGAACAGAGAGGGAGGAATAAAAGAGAAGAGAGAGAGAGAAAGAGAAAATGTGAAACAGAGGATTTGCACGCAAACCGACAAGCTGTGCATAAGCGGAAAAAGAAAAGTGGTGCGTTATTTTTTATTTTCTTGTTTTTTGTATTTATTAAATAATACGGCCATCATTTACCAACTTGTCCCTCTTCTTTTTGTGAAATGACAATTTAGGAATCCCCCATTTTTTTTACCCTTTTACTTTGGATAATAATAACATTCGGTTCATATTCGAATTTAATAACCGATTTTATTTTGTTATAGTAATAGGAGGTCCATTCGAGAATCGAAGAGGAAGGCAAAATAAAATGCGAATGATCGAAAACTGCTTTAAATTTCAATAAAATAATATACAAATTTATACTTATATATAATTTATCTAGAGAATTTTATTTTAATTTGGAGGAACAAATTATCTTCCTTCGCTGAAAGTTTTAATCATTGAAAAAGATAAAGGAAGATTTAATTATACTATTAAAGTTATGATCTTGAGTCTTGAGGTGAAGTTGTGCTTGTAAGTTGTAACAAGACTTTTGATCAACTTTCTACTTACTATTAAGAGACATATACATGATAATTCAAACTACATTAGCGAAAATTCGAGTTGCAAAATTAAAGAATATATATTCGACATTATTGGACGCCAGAAAGAAAAGAAAACGTTATTAGAAGAAGAAAAAAGCCTATGATCGCTCTGTCTCTGACATAATTATTTTAACACATCAAACAATCAAAGTATGTTTTGTTAGAGCATCTCCAATCTATTGCTATTTTTTCTCTACTTTTAGATGAAAAAATAGAGGTGTCATTTTTGTTCTCCAATCCACCTCTATTTTAGAAGAAAAAATAGAAATGCTACTTTTTCCTCCAAATATAGAGAAAAAAAATAGGTTTCTTTATATTTTCCTCTAAAATAGAGGTATTCCTCTAAAATAGAGGTGGATTGGAGAGAAATCTACTTCTATTTTAGAATTCCTCTATATTAGAGGAAAAAATAGCAAAATAGATTGGAGATGGTCTTACAAACCACATTCTCTCACTCTCCCTTTGTGGTAGTGTTTATTTGTTAGCATGTCTTATCTTCATTTATTATAAACTGTTTAGGTATATATATGTAAACAAGTTTTCACTTCAAGGATTCGATAGTTAGGTGTTTAATTGAAAAAAAAAATAACGCCATTTTATAATATAATTAAAAAAAACAATTACGACAACAATATAGTGCTGCTGCTGCAAGAGGCTGAGAGGCTAAGAAGAGCTAAAACCGCTATCAACACGTGGATTTAAATGTCTTCACTGGAGTTATTTAAAGACTAAATTGGCTAGTACTATTAAACTAGTCATTTACAGACTGATTAAAGCAGCGACTAGTTTAATTTGTATTCACAATTTTAAAATTGGAAAAAAAAAGAATCAGAAGAGAAGACAGTGATCGGTCAAACACAGTGATACGACTAAACAACCTCTTTGACATCTTTTACATATCATAGTGCCTTTTCTTTCATCTGTAAGTGTAATTGCTTTCTGTAATAAAACTTTTTTTACTTTCTTTTCGTTCCAAAATTAACCTTTTTCCTTTCTGGTTTTCTTCTTTTAAGTAGATAGTAATTTTACATGTGGATTGAAAATTTTGTGTCCATCATCTATACGAAACATATATAGCTTATTTTTTTTGACATCATGAAACATATCTACATAACCAAAAACGTGAATAAACGACGATATAGTCAAACTTTGTGTTATAGCTTCTTTTTTTTTTTACATCATGAAACATATGTAGCTACATAACCAAAAACGTGTGAATAAACGACGATACAGTCAAACTTGGTGTTTTTTTTTTTCTTTTATAACTTTTACAGTCAAACTTTGTTTCTCAATGGAATTTACTACTTTACTGGCTAAGTAAGTTTATGGTTCAAATCAAGTAATTGAAGATTCAAATACGTAGAGCATGCTCTCGCGACCAAACTGACATTGCTCAAAGGTGAACTAACTGCACCAAGGCTTATCACGCACGCATCACGCCCGTCGAAAGGCCGGATCGCATATAATCCTATGACTAGAGTGATCTAATCCTATAGATATATATCTGTTTTTTACTAACTCAAGTGAAAAGGAATATAAGAAGACAACAGAAATATACCTGAGAAATCATAAAATCTAACTTCCTTTACGGTCACATACATACCTCCTCACTCTAAAACATGTGATATGATCTTACGAAGGAGATTACACATTTCTTTCATTCACTTCTTAAAATTTATGATTGGGAAGCAGCTAGTCTAATCACTCCGCTTCCTATAACATTCCAACACCATTTTGAGAAAATTGCTTCTTTGATTAAACCCTTTTCTAAGCTTACTAAACAATAAACATAGAATTGGTTCTTGAATTACTTAACATACTTTTTCTCTTGCTTTTTTCGGCCCTTGGTCATAAAAGCAAAATAAAAAAATATATATATATATATTAGTAAAAATTGGGAAAACATATACCATAATGATTAATGAAATTAAAAGAAGGAGAAAATACAAAATGGAAAATAATAATGGTTCCTTAATTCCAGACAATCTGCGTCTCTCTTATGGCGCGGTCAGGTGGGCCCCGCTCTCTCTTTAGACTTCAATTATCCGTCACACATCGCCGCACTATTTCTTTTATTTTCCTTTTGTTTTCATTTTCTTCCCCTGTTTTTTTCTTGCCTTAGTTATTAAAACAATTTATTATGTTTAAATTAAAACTGACAAAACACTATAAAAAAATATTAACGGCACAAATTATTTATGAGTTTTGGGATTAAAACCCCGATTATAACATATATTAAATACATTTGCCATATTTTTACTGCCCAACCATGACAAACATTGTTACATATACCATTTATGCACGTTGATTTGATCATATAAATTTTAAGTTTTTAACTTGTGGAAGAAAATTCATTTTAATATTTGATTTACTTTTCATCCGAGACCATTTCAGTTTAAAATATAAAATGAAAAGTGTTGACGATGTGGTATTTTCCATCAGCTTTTCGCATGCGTCAAAAGTAACTCTCACGTGCTGACCACACATTTACAACCACTTATCTCTTTAATTTATTTTTAATATTTATAGTATAATTTTAATAATTCACACTTTGCCTATATATTTTTGAATATTTGTTATTATGATCTGTTGTCCAAAAATTATCCTTAGATTATTCTTATGATTTTAATTAGTAATCTGATCTAATGGCTTTCCGAATTATGAATTCTTTAACGACTATAACTTTTAAGAGCAATAAATTGCTGGCTCAAGTATTTTACAGTTTTATAAATTTAGTGAGAAAAAATGTAAATATTTATGTCCTATAGCTTTTACTAAAAGATCAGTGAAGTGGTACTAACTATTTATTTTATAGAAAGTAGAAATATGATCGGTTTGGTTTATGTAAAAATCTGTTGATTTTATATGGGTTTTCTTCTGTCACGGTTTTCTAGCTTAATTTGAGACTCTTGTCGTTAGTTGTGTGACTCATAATGATAATGCACAATTACACATATATAGTACTAGTAGTATATATTTGACCATGTGCTTGATTGTTTCACAAGCGACAAATTAAACAGTTAACAAAGAATTCAATAAAAAATGGTTATATGATCAACTTCTTCTTTTTAACTTCCGGTTGAAATTACTCTTTTTGGTTACAATGATTGCCTTAATTTATTTCATAGTGTCAAGTGCTGAAACCATGATCTATTCTTTCAAAAAAAATTTAAAAAAATATGCGTTATATTCTATAGCTATAGTATGTTCCAACAATAAAATATTTTATCTATATATATGCATGACGACAAAAAAACTTAAACATAAAGAAGCTGAAACATTATGAAACTATTAAATACGAATAATTAGCTAATTAGTTTATAAGTGATCATTGTCTTACTGCTTCGAAACGGAATACTATATTTTCCAAATTCGACTATCTTTGTGAAAATAGAGTAAGAAAATCCCTCTAAGACATATCAGCAAATTTATACATTTGCTTTAAGAAAAGACATATCGGCACGAGCATGTGTACAAATCCTAAGCAAGTAAGCATATCATTTATATATATTATATATATGCATAGCACTTAGAAATTCGACTTAATTACATCATCATAATCATAACTACATCTTACAAAATAACGATTTACAATCTATATATCAAACATTTTTAATAAAAGATATCAGTACACAAATATAACCTGCAACATAGACAAACAGCTCAACTTTCAGCAAGTTTTTTTTTTTGGTATTAAACTTTCAGCAAGTTAAATTTTGAAAATTTTATATACGAAATCTACGTAAAATTGCATATTGCAGATTTAAACTCTAAAAATAGTAAGAAACACAGTTTAAAATTTTAATTTTAAATAGAAGGTAAAAAAGACAGGCTTGAGAGGCGAAGAGGGATGTCTCCAAATCTAAGTGGTTGCGACAAGTCTTAATTTGACTATGCACGGAGATAAAGAAGTGTCCCCATTAATTTCAAATTATAGTACAAACTCAATTATACACATCATTTATTATTCATCTTGAGATAAACCATTCGGAAGCCAAAACAAATCCAAATTTATATATAGAAAAAGTCAAAATGTCACACTCTTACTTGCTTTTCTTTTCTTTTTGTTTTAAATATTATCTTTTGCTTTTTTTATTTGTCATATATAATATATATATACTTTTTTGTTGATGTTGTTGGTCTTGATGGGATATTAATATTCCTCCACTTTGTCCCCTCCTAACTTCCCCACCCAAATTTAACATTTTCCTCTTCTATTTATTGTCCATTTTACTTACCTCCCAATATAACGTGTGGCTTTAATGTACTATGAATGAATATACATATGACATGTACAGATCAAGATCACAATACATGTCGCATAACATGAATCATCGGGTATCCTCCATCTAAATATCGCCCATATCCGAGTATATTTTCTTTTTTAGATATTGAAAGAGGTGTTTATATCAAGGAAAAACGAGGCTAGTTCTTAAACATTTTCTAGAAAATATGTATATGAGGCTCTTAATTTTACTTGTCAACGAAAATTTACTGACAAATATTTTTCTTACAGATTAAAAGCGCATAGTCTTACAAAACGGTGAAAACACCAAATAAAAAGATAAAAGCATGTGGGTAAAAGAATTCTTAAAATAGTGATGATGACAAAAAAATAGTACGGAGTAAGTAGAATAAATATCGAAATATAGTATACTTGTACAAAAAAATGTTTTGATCGACACATCATACATGCGTGGTAAAAAGAAAAGTATTTCAGTGGTGATAATCATCAATATACATTTATGGCGATTGTGCTGTTTATACCACAGCAGCAAACACAGTCAAACAATTCAAATCAAGAGAAAAAATGTCAATGGCGATTGTACAAAGTGAATCTGCCATAATATACAAAGTCTTGGAGCGTTTAAATTGAAGTATACTCGTAGCTTATTTTTCAATCTTGTATGTACAATACAGAATTGATGAGCCCATTTCATGTATTGTAGGGGAAAGAGAACAATGTGGAAAATGGTACATTGTTCCAATAACCCAAATATTTTGGGCCCATAAAAGATCCAATCATATGGACCCACATTTGTCTCTGTGAAGGGCCCCATCGATACTTTTAAGGGTAGCTGTCTTCTGTTGTTCGAATGTGGAGACCTGACCTAACGGGGACCCAGCATTCAGATCCCTTCATTATTCCTTTTGTCTTTCGCCTAAATTCCTTTCTTAACAAATATTAATGATTATCAATTTTATTCACATCACATCTCGAAATCTTGATGATGTCTCTCTGCCATCTCCTCTTTTCTTTAAGGACACTGCCCTTATCCTCTTTTGCTTTGCTTTCGCATCGTACAGCCTCTAAATTGTTTTTATAAACGCAATTTTTACATCTGTATTTGGCGTTTACGTCTACATTGTCTAAGGTTATTGATTTGGACTTATAAATCTGCACTATATAAAAGAAACATACGTTGGCAGAAACAAACCTTAATACATATTTGGATACGTTAGCGGAGAAACTGTATCTATAACATTTTAACCGTATATTGTAAATAGTTTTACCTCTGTCACCACTACAAATGTGTGTTTAAACTGTTCAAAACTCATCTAGGAGAAACGGAGGATTGGTCCTGGCATCTGATAACGACAACTCGAAGAGTATTGCTAGTTAAGGCTAAGCTAATTAATGAAGTTGACCGAAACTGATATGCTGTTACCACTTTTACCATTTTTATATAAACGTCCGTGGCACGTTTGTTCATGATTCTTCTTCCTGTTTTCTACTCAACTTTTTGCTTTCTTTCTCTGTAACAAAGTCAAACAAATTTGCGGAACATACAAGATTTTTTTCAAATATTTTAACGTCTATAGTAATCAATTATGATTGACATTTGCAAATAAGAAAACTTTTAAAGAAAATTTGACCAGTACTACACCACCACTAGATGAAAACCATGAACAGACAAAAAAAAACGAGAAAAAAATGAACAATTGCTCGCTTGTATATCGAATATTGCTGACTCGCTAATTACGTGTACATTTTATGATAGATTTTGGATATTTGTTTTTGCTTATTCAAATTCAAAGAAGACAAAATTTGGTGTAGCAGATGCATATTCATACCAGAAAATGTACATGATATAGTTGAGAAACAAAAATTCTGCATGACTGAGACTGAACTAACATCACCTATATTATCACTCAGGTTCACTGATTCTGATTCACATATTTATGAACAGAGCTCCAAAAAAACGAGAAAATCTTTATCAAAAAATTAAACTAGAATATTACAAAATTTCTCAGCGTTAACATTATATTACATGTTTATATATGAGTTACGATTGCTTTAAGAAAGCAAAACAAATATCAACACACACAGAAAAACAAATCTAAACTATATTATACACAAATCAACGGGCTTGAAGTCTTGAAACGCCTTGTAGGCTTTGAGTCTTTGACCCCCAAAAAAGAAAGAAAGATGAAGAAAACATAGGCTAGAAGCCCATAAGTAATGAAAAATATACTATAATGTCATATTTATTCAATTGTCTAGTACGAGGAGGACGTAACTACATGTCCCAAAAATGATAATTACAGAAGTTTTCCAAAAAAAATACTTGCCTTAAAGATTAAAAGAGGTGGACACAGTTTCTCAGTTTCTCTTCCATATATGTGTATATTATATGTTTAAACGGGAAATAAAACATTTTTTTAATACAAGAAAACAAACACCCACTTGTTAATGGAGGGGGATGTGCCTGGATTTGATATACTAGCTACTTTAGTCTTTAGCGTAATTAGAGCACTAATCAGTATTATTTTACAAAATAAATCGTTCTGACACTGACAGAATGCTGACATATGCATTACTCCACAATTGAACATGGGTTTTAGGGTTTCCTTTTTGGCTAATGCTTTTTGGTGAAATTAAATGCATTTGTTATGAACATGGGTTTATACGTCAACATGCTATAGCTATACGATGCTGTACGTCTTTAAAACATTAATTATGAGCTTAATAACTTTTGTAAAAAAGGCTACTACATATTTTTTGTAAAACAAACCACAAACCTTTGTTTTAGCACCATAGATACAGTACTTTTTTAATGAAACTGATTAAAAGCTAAACTTTCTCTTTCTCGGCTTATCTCCTCCGCTATCTTTACCATCTCCAGTCTCGACTACAATAACCCTTAGCGTTTTATCAGAGGACAGAGGCCCAAGTGTTCTTTTCTTTTTGCTGATGTTCTCTTTTTCCATATCTCCCAGTAATTTTATTGTAAAAGCCCACAAAGATAAAAACCTAAATTAAATAAATATGCTTAAAGCTATAATGGACTTGGGCTTTACATTCGTGGGCCATTTAGTTTTATGGTGGAATGATGTGTATACATCCATATTAATTAATAAAAATGATGTCATCTTACATCTTGAATTAAAAAAAGACATCATGATGATTGATGACTATAACAGATGTGGACTGTTCATCTAACTTGTATGATTTTTTAAAAAAATTAAACAATTGTAGGGAGATGTCATTTACAAACCAAACTCAGGTTACTTGTAGTTTAAAACTTTAAAGTATTCATCCTTTTTCTTTTAATCATAATTTGTATCCAAAAGATTCTCTTTGCAAGATATTGTCATGATGTAATGAAACAACAAATTAATTATAACTATTAATGTTTCCCTTGTAATTGTTGTAGATTTGTTGTAAGTATGAATCTATGATGGTTGTCAGAGATACGGCCTCTTATTTTCAATAATCTAGTAGTATAGAACTTGAACAGAAGGAAAATGATCTACATTGTGTAAACAATAAAAACAAAATTAAATTGTGTTCTTATTATTAATTTATTATATAGTCAGATATGACATATGTGTCCTCATAATCATATTGAGTGAGGTCCACATCTGGGCCAAAACGGTTGGCGTTTGATCAGAAAACGACACCCAACTTGAGAACTTCATTACTCATTTTAGGGGCCTAATTCACATTATATTGCAATTTTTCAATGGTACTCTCTATTTATTCGTGAAATTCATGATTTCTCTCTTTCTGTTTTTTTTTTTTTTTTTTTGTTACAAAATAAAGGCTATATTTCAAATAAGTTGAAGATAATTATTAATTCTTACTTTCTTAAGATGATTGCTTAACTTGAATGATATATTCGTAGAATGTACCTTTTAGTTTTATATGTAGAATGTAATTTACACAAACCTTTAGTTACTGCAATTCTAGGAAATTCCAAATTTAGTTTTCCTTTAGTTTTGTCCGACGATGTGTTTGGATAATAACAAAATTATACAGTGGGGAAAGCATTACTCTCGAAATCACATGAATTACATGTCCCTTATAATCCCTAACACGAAAACCATTCACGTAATCGTTTGCTGGTTTTAATAAACTACCCATTTTAATTTTGGATAAGAAAAACTTAAGCTACCATTTACTTTTAGAAAAGTTTCGACATCTCTTGATTCTTCAAGGGCAGAAGAATTTGATTGAAAATCAAACAATTTGTAGACTAAAACTTTAAAACCATAGTTTTATAAAATTATAAAGAATTAAGAGAATAATTCTCAAGCAACTATGTCACTTTCATGTATTCGTAGCCTCTGCTTTTCTTACCCACCACATCAAACACCCAAAATCCCACCAATAATTAACACTTTTTGACCCCACTTTTCTGTTTTATCCATTTTTCTCCCCTAATTTACTTTTAACGTTGGAAATTTCCAAAATCTTGATTTGTTTGCTCGAAAATGAAATTAACGAAGAGAGACTTTGTTTTAATTCCAAAAACAGTATCCATTACTCAATACTCATACGCAAAATGTGATAAAATCTAAAAGTAAAAAAAAATACATAGGTAAGATTATCGGAATAGACGATATATCGAGGGCATTTCTAGAAATATTACATGCTCTCTCTCTCTCTGTCACGAGAGTTACTTGTAAACAAGAGGAAAATGATTGAAGTAAACCAAAAATAAGGGGACCTCGAAAACTTTCCAAATATTAATCCTGGAACCCAATTTTCTCAAAAATTGCATTTCTGACCCTACTCAGATCTCTTCCTTTCAATGTCCTCCCAACTCCTTCGTGAACCGAGAAGGACGCCATTCTCGTCCTCGCCAGAAACTCGTGCGGCGGCAATCTTCCGCCGCTAGCATCCAACCAATCGCCTCCGTCTTCGTGATCGTCCTCCTCGATGCTTCTCCGGCGATTACCGCGGGGCTCCTCCCGGAGAATCTTCGACCAGTCAGGTACGTTAACCGGGAGCGAAGACGCCGTTACGGCGGAGGAAGCGGCGCAGGAGGACGGCCGATTTGACGGAGTTTTCCCGGATCTGCCTGATGAAGAGACTTTCCGGCGAAAATCATGCGAATCGGAATGGACGAAACCGGCTGACGAGTAGAGATCGGATTCATCGAACTCGAATCCTGAATCGGTGGCGGCGAAGTACGACTGATCGGTGCCGAGGAAGCGATGGCTAGGCCGAGCGTAGTAGCTTTTTCCCGTCGCCATTGAAGAAGAAGAAGAAGAAGAATCGAAACTTAAGGATTTAAAATATTAATTTTCGTTTTATAGATTTTGAATTTTGGTTTTGGTATGAGAAGAATTAGTCTTGAGGGAGTCTTTGGTTTTATACAGGTTTCGGGTTGGATAAAATGGATAAGGGACCCTCTCTCTCTCTTAACTTCCAGTTTCCGTCAATGAATAGACATAAATACCCTTACTGTCCTTTACTGAAATTTAAGTGAAGTATCGGAAAAGTGACACGAACGCGGAGATTTTAGTGGCTACCTTTCGTGGAGAGAATATTACATGTGTCGTCTTGGCATATTCTTACCACTTTTTTTAGTTTTTTTTTTAATATATCCAAAAAGAAGTATTCGTCTTTAATGCATTATATCTATATTTTTGGTTCACTTGATTACAAATTTTGCAATATATATATATAATCTAAACTGATTTTCTAATTTTTTAAAATAATTTTTGTGTGAATAAAAATCGTGTTTTTTTGTTGGTAAGCAAAAAATCATGTTTTTTATTGAATGAATAAATAAAAAGCGTATATTCTTTTGAATAAGTATATCTGAAACCAAAATTAGGGTATATACTAATTTCAGACAATTACAGAAATAAAAATTAACTACAATTAAATTTAGTACACATAAATTTCCTTCTTTTTTTCTGGCTGTTGTCAACAATACAAAGAGAAATAAAATAAGAATGATCATAAAATATTATGGAATATAATATACCAATAATAATAATAATACTCGACCATTTGGAAACTTACGAGGTTGGTCGGTGTGAGCAGCGCGGAGAACCAGAACCGTCGAAGATTACATCATCACTCGTAAAATTTAGCCGTTCCTCAGTCGAATTTTAATCAATAATTTTATATTTCTCTACCCAATGAAAACACTCTGCACAAAGCTTTCCACTCGTGTTTCTCTTTCCTATCATATGATTATTTTATGTATTAAACTACTACTAAAATATGTGGACTATTAGTTTTGGATTATGGTCGCCTCACTCGATTTTCTCAAGTTTTTTTTATAGATTCTGGTACGAACAATAGACTCCACAGTTCACACTAAACTACATTGTTAATTACGTGAAAGAGTGGTTGTCACGAGAAAATGTCATCCTATAATATAAAACGAAGAAGATATAATTTTGTGGCCATTTTGTATTTTTTTTTGTTTCCTTTTATTCTCTCAGCTATTCTGCATTAAAGAAAAAAAACATTATCATAAAACTATCGGATCATGCTGGTACGAGTCTCTTGTTTCTTCTGTCACCAAAATCAAAAACAGGGGAATATTAGGTCGCTTCAAAGAAACAAAAAAAAAGATCTTTAAAAGTTAGAGAAAAAGGACTAAAAAATCTCAATACAATTTTTTCAAAAAGAATTATAACAATTATAATTTTGGTACGATATGAATTTAAATATAATAAAACAAAGAGGATATATATCTATATTTTCTTTACTCTCACAGATAAGATAATTCATTTTGGAATTTTAATAATGGGATATAGAGATTCTCTTCAAGCCTCTTAAAATATCCTTTTTCACAAACCAAAACTTAGTTCCAATTTTTGTCGTGACTCGGGTTGGACTGGTTCTCTTTCTCCCTCCCCCAGTTCTAAAGAGAGACAAAGCATAGTCTCTACGATCAAGACACGTGTCATAATAATACGATCTTATTACACGTGCTGGTATTAAGCTTAGATGGACGCCACGTGAAGATAGGACCCACTTACTCGGATCTAACACGCTTATCTCTCGCCAGCTGGATTTCAGGTTTGTAATTGTAAGTGCTTTCGTTTTCTTCTCTCTCCTTTTTCGATGTCCTCCCACGCGCGACAGACTCATACCATCTCGATAAATATAATATCTTGATATTTCCTTAATTCCTTCTCTCTTTGACACTGATCTCTGCGCGTGGAGAGTCTGACAGATATAACTTGCGAGTGGGGGTATTTTTCTTTATTTTTCACGAGATTCGTTGAACGTTGCACTTTTGTAGGTCCCACTTAGCTTATTTAAGTGTTTTGTTCAAAATAGACCTTCTTTATTTATTTTTTTCCTTTATAAGGGTTTATCGTCTATATCCACATCTACGCATTTTAATTTATAGATCTATTTGTTACATCGAGTCGACGTAGATTTTTGAATATAATTGAAAAATATTACATGGTCAAGATTATTCTAGGTGTCATCTTCCATACTGTATGAATAATTAACTCAGAAAAATGGTTAGAACAAAACTGAAAAATCCTAATTCAAAGTTTTTAAAATTGTTGATATATGGTTTCATATGATCGTATCAAAAAATATTTAAGTTTTAAATTTCATTACATTTTTTACGAAGTTAAGTAGTTTTCTGATGGATGGTCGTTTGTTTGTCATTGGAAACAAATTGATAACAGTACTTAAGATTAGAGACCATTTCAATCAAGTCGAAATGTTATTCACTAAAGATCGGATAAAAGCAATCGACACAACAATTAACACAACAATAACACTAAAGTTTCTTCATGGTTTAACACTTCAATTTTTTTAAGCTTTATAAACATGACACATCAGTAAAAATAATCATCAATCAAAACATTTTATTAATACATCTCATCTACTTATTTTAATTTTTAAACTTAAACCCATTAAAAACTCAAATATTTTTTCTATTAATTTTTGTTTTACTTTTTACCAAACCCAAACCCAAACCCAAATAACTAATAACAGCAAATAAAAAATATTATTTTATTTTTTACCAAATCCAAACAATAAATAAATAACAAATAAAAAAATAAATCATAGTTTTTTTTTTTTGCCAAAACCAAATCCAAATAATAAATAACAACAAATAAAAAAAAAATATATAACTATCTGTTTGTTTGACATAGACGTATATAATTGAAAAAAATGTAGGCTCGGCATCAACTATGTTTTCATGACAACAACACAAAAAGCCTTATGTTATAAAAAGCTCACACATCACCAAAAATTTGAATCGATAAAAATATAACTATTTCTTAGTTTTTGCAGGAAAACACAATTTCACGGAAGATAATGTAATTTTTGGTTTTCGCGGGAAATTGTAGCTTATTTGTTTTTGTAGGAAAGCGTGATTCTGGGCTTGACAAGAAAATGATTTTTTTTTTTGCAGAAATAGACGATTTCTCAGTTTTTGCAGGAAAAATAAATTTTTCGATTTTGGCAGAAAAATACAATTTTGTTTTTTTTTGGTTTTTGCAGAAAGATGAAATTTTTTGGTTTTTGTGAAAAAACGTAATTTCTCGGCATTGGTGGAAAACCACAGGTTCTCGCGGGAAAATGAAATTTTAGGTTTTAGGTTTGACGAGAAAATGAATTTTTTGGTTTTGGCGGGAATAGCCGATTTCTCAGTTTAATAGGAAAATGAAGCTTTTTTTGTTTTGACGGGAAATACGATTTTTCGATTTTTGTAAAAAGATGAAATTTCTATGTGCTAAATTTCCAAGTTAAAGTATGTTTACAGTAACCAAAATTTAATTATTTAACTTTAACTAAAACGGTATTTTAAGAGTTCAAACATAATTTTCTATTTAGTTCTAAAGCAATGACAATTATTTTGATATGAATTTTATTGATTATAGTTTGGTAGTTTTAGAAATATATGTTATAATAAAATATTTGATAAATAAATAAATTTTATAATTTAAAATAATCATATTAATTAATAATTTTTTTTAAATGACATTTTGCTTTATATAGTTACAAAGAAGGATCATGTGGCAATTTATTGGAAAAAATATATTACATTTGCCATTTGCATGAAAGTACTAAAGATGTATTACTTTATTCTTATATATTTTATTTCTATATATATATTTATAATTAGTTAGCTAACTAAATTTAATAGTAAATTATAATTTTAAAAAAATAAAAAAAAATATAATGTTTATTCAGATTTAAAAAATATAAATACATAACTTAAGCTAATAAAAATAAATATAATACTCATTTATATTATAAAAATAATTTTATTATATAAAAAATATATACAAAATTTAGAAAAATATCTCGTAACATAACGCGGTTAAATATCTAGTTTCTATAATATTTGCAGGTGTCGAGTGTCGACATAGTGGAACACTGGAGTATTATTTAATTATTAGCCGAAAGATATTACAAAAATGAAAAGTTAAAATACTGCGCTGTGATGATGATGATAAAGTGACTTTACTATGCAAAAACAAATAAAATAAATGCTTCGTCCAATCATGTTATCCTTTCCAGAAAGTTACGAGGTGAAACCATAACACAATAAATGAATGATAACCTAAAATCGTTTTAAATTGATACAGCCAGTCACAAGGCTCAGGGAAAAGTGAGAATATGATTATTTATACAATTTTATAAAGTTAGTGGTGAATCATTGGACTATTTTATATACTAGTAGTATTTGTTATGGGGAGTCTTTTTAAGTGACTAATCGATTAGATTCCTGTCATATAATACAGTTGGTCCATGAAAGATCAACGATGTCACAGATAAGAATTATGCAAATAAGTTTGTAACAGGTATGCAAAGATATGCAAATAACACATTGTTAGAAATTTAATTAATAATCTAAATATCTAATGAAATTATTTACGATATTGTTAAGAACCATTGTGTATGGAAGGAAGATAATCGAAGAGTATATAAATAATGTTATTACGCAAGTTAACATAAATAATGTTATTTCTTAGTGGAAAAACTTTAAAAATTGTCATAACACGTTGAAGATATATAAAATGATAAATTTTTAATCATTGTTATTATCATGTAACAATTTATTTTTACATTTTGTTTGCAACATATATATCAACGTACACTTCGATCAGTCCATCTATCACCCAGTGTGGCAATGTGAAATCTCTCAAATTTCCTTATTGTCAAAATTCAAAAACATGTTCTCGACCGCGACGACTGGAATAATTTATACGTCAAAACACTTAATGAGAGTATTCCTAACATATATAGGGATATCACATATGACTATGCATGAGTCAATGTTTTGAAATAATCTGCTTGAGGAATGAGGATCAATGAGACCGTTATGCAAATAAATTTGAATTGAATATACAAATACGCATGCATGTACATCAGCAAACTCATTAATGTATCCAAAAAAAATTTTATACAGAAATGCCTAAATGCTTGATCTCTTGTATGGGTCTTTGGCATTATATCTTTCGAATTCGTACATCCTTTGAACTTTAATCAATTTCTTAGCTCGCAGTACATATGTATATTTATTTATGTATGTATGTACATCTGTACATACCCATTCCTCTTTAAATTTTCTTTTTCTATCACAATGCAAAGAACAAATCCGGAAGCATATACAAGTATATTCCTTATCTCAAAATTAAATAAAAATTATTCAGTCCAACTACTTGCAAAAAAATTCGGGACATGCCATTATTGACCAGTGACATATACGATTGGCTTGCACATATAGGTCGATGAAGAAGAAAATAGAGAAGTTGAACTTTTTGTATTCAGTATTCTTATTGAATCAGTTTCCCTTTAAAGATTTAAAAGCACACTTATAGAGCTTATAAGCGAATATATCCTACCACAACCCTAAAGCAGAAATTACTAATTGGTCACCTAATGCATTTTCATTGGTATGTGACATATAAAGAAGACTTCTGAGAGTATGGCTTCCACAAGCATATAGTCTTAGAGATTAGTGAATGAAATAACATATAAGTGTCAGCCGATTCTGCATGAAGGGGATAGTCGTTACTCATTATTCATTACTAATTGTAGTATGAAAATAAAACCATCAAGTTTCTTTAGTGGAGAAGATCCGAGACGAGACCCACCAGCTCTTGAAAATCTTGACATAACAGCAATAGATGCAATCGAAAAGAAACAATTTAAGTACTGATCACTAGTAGGCCGTAAAGATTGGGCCTTTTCAGACTTAGTGAGACCGTGTCCAACAACACATAATATAACACAAAACAAAGTCCATTAAATTTGTTGATAAAATCAGCCCCATAAAACCATGGAAATTGCTTTATATTAGTAAAATATAAACTCCTTTTCTCAAATCACCCTATTATAAATTTGCACAAAAATTGAACCCAACCGATACAGAAAAAATCCGAAATCAAACCATTTTATTTTTGTTTTGTATTCGTGGCAGGGAAAAAGTTCCTAATAAAAACCAACCAATCAATTTTGGTTTTAATTGAACCGGTAGCACTCTGCTTGCAATTTCGGTTTAAGATAACCAAACCCACATCAACAAAAAAAACCCTAGCAACTGAGGCGCTTTATAAGCGAGAAGACAAAACCCTAGGAGCTGACTGAGAGTGTGATAAAGAAGATTAGGAGAAAATGCCGCCGAAATTGGACCCATCTCAAATCGTCGACGTCTACGTCCGCGTCACCGGAGGTGAGGTCGGGGCAGCGAGTTCACTCGCTCCCAAGATCGGTCCTCTAGGTCTAGCGCCGAAGAAGATCGGAGAAGACATCGCCAAGGAGACGGCGAAAGAATGGAAAGGCCTGAGAGTCACCGTGAAGCTGACAGTCCAGAATCGTCAGGCTAAGGTCACCGTGGTTCCTTCCGCGGCGGCTCTGGTCATCAAGGCGCTCAAGGAGCCGGAGAGAGACCGTAAGAAGGTGAAGAACATCAAACACAACGGGAACATCTCTTTCGACGACGTTATCGAGATTGCCAAAATCATGCGTCCAAGATCCATCGCCAAGGAATTGAGCGGAACGGTGAGGGAAATCTTAGGAACCTGCGTCTCCGTTGGCTGCACGGTCGATGGCAGAGACCCCAAGGATCTTCAGGAAGAAATCGTTAATGGAGACATTGCTGTTCCTAACGAGTAAAGGTTTTTACTTTGAGTTATCTCTCTATCGCTTCTCCTTTTTTTTTGTATTTGATTCCGAGGATTTGTGTTTTAGTATACTATATTTCGGTATTGAGATTCGGAAAAAGACGATTTTTGGATTCTGCACATTGGTATCCTTTCTTGGGATGAATTAGAATGTTTCATTTCTACAAATATATCTAACTTTGGTTTGATAAGAATCTGCTAGTGAACTTGGGATGAATCTGATAGTGAAATGAAGACATTCATAGATAAGTTTAGATGGTAATCCGAGTTTATATGTTTGTGTAACGGCATTGATCTTTGGGTCACAAAGGTTAAGCGGTTTAATGTCTCGTCGAAGTTGCTGTCTTAATAGTAAACATTTTCTTTCCCCTTCGATGATGATAAGTTCGTAACAACAGCCATTCATAAGTCTTTCAAGTTTAGATGGAAATGTGATAAGGTCGGGGTCGTTGTAAGTTAGACCATTAGTTGTCTTCTTTATTGTGTCAAATGTCAATAGATCTTTTATTTCATACTAGGTTGGTATGACAGAAGTGGCTTTTGTTGTTTTGAACGCAAATTTATGTTAGGGATTGGTACACTGTTATTGCGTCTCGTTTATCAGATGATCTTGTTTCTCTCGTTTTTGACTGTTAGTCTATTGTTCATCTAGGCATTTTAATTTGCCTAAAAAAGAATTTGTTTTGAAAGAATAAGTATGTTAAATCTCATTAAAGTAAATGGAAAGAAACTAGTTTGTATGTTTGCCAAGAAGTCAAAATTCGTTTAGTCATTGCATGATTTGCATTATACCACACATCCATGGCCACAACAACTTTCTTGTGGCTCTCTATCTCTGCACCAACTAGTTAATTACCGTACTACTAACTAAAGAAATTTAAATACATCTAAAATCTTTTTGTTAATAAGCCTGAGATTTAAGTATTTAGCACAAAAATACAAAGACGATATACTTTGACACTTTCATCTTCATGCTGTCAAACTCTAACCAAATTGCATAAGCATGGTCACGACTCACATGCCTCGTGTTCATGTATGCAGCATATATATTTATATGTCGTCTCACACATATTCTAATATATATGTGTAATTAGATATATTATATTTGCATGCTTGACATCAAGCATGTAAGTCCAACTTTAATTGAATAATTGGAAAGATTAGGAAAGCAATGGGACATAATGTTACTTGTACAGAAGAATTCGTCTGGCAAAGATAACATATAATAACAGCTTCAACGTTGGTTGTTCGGGTCTTGCATGTCATGGATCTCATTCTTATCATCTCCTCCTTGTTATTATTGGTGGGTCAATTTGACTTTTAATTAACTCTTCATATTCGAATACTGCCACTAGTTCTTTTTCTTTATCGTTCACAATATTTCAATCAAATTACAGATCAGAAATCTTTTGCTAAACCATTTTTATAACTACATATGATTGTTACCACTGTATATCAGTTCTTTTTAAGTAGTCGTTTTCTATATAGTTCACAGTAAGTTCCATCAATGTTCACAGTAAGTTCCATCAATGTTTACTAAGTTCCATCCATTCTAACCAAAATTCGATTTGAAAACCAGAATGAATAGAGATATAGAACTCTTGGCAAACAAAATTATGATATTTATGAATTCTCAAAACACCGTGGGGTCGTCCATATTTGCACATGAAATCTTTAAAATCGTTAACACGAAAATACTTTATATAAGAGAAATTTTATATGTGGGTGGAGGAGAATTTGCTTCTTCACTGAACAAAACATTAATTGCAGAAAATTCTTGCACGCTAAAATGTAATTCCCAAAAGGGCATCTTTCTCCATGTGCGCTAATTAGTTACACAACCTTTACAAGATTTCTATTTCCTCATAGTTTTTCTGTGGAACTTTGTGTTTTATATGTATATAGTGCTAATATTACTATAAAGTAGCTTTATCCCCGTTAATGATGATTAATATAACGTTAAAATGTTTAATTGTAATTGTAACGAGTGACAACGTTTGATATGGACTTGTTCCGAAATAATTTTACGGGATAAAAAACATCAGCAGATAAGTATATCTTTAACTTGTTCCTAGTTGAGCTGCATTAGTTAACATTTTGGCTTATCTATATATTAAAAAAAACTCGTATACAACATATATAATGGGTGAGTTAATATTACAAAAAAGGTATGGATTGGTTCAGCCAGAATATATAGTACTTCATCTTTTTAAACCGTAACTCAAAATATTTCTATAATTTCATTTAGTCTAGCAGGTTGGAATAGTTAGAACATAAAATTACATCGAAAGAATTGTAATCTGCATAAAGAAAAATAGTAAGGAGATGAAATTAGACGCCGCGACAACAATTGGAAAATAGTATTATATAAAGGAAGACAAGAATGTCTAAATCGACGGTTGGTTGGACGGCTTAAAACAAGCTTATCTTCCACTAATCATTCAAATTTAAGACAGCTCTGAACCTTAATTATGCTATTAGTAAAATGTACGCATAATATACAAAATATAATGTTGAATTGAAGAAACAGCTTACTCGACATAGGTTAATGGAGACTCTGGAGAGAGAGGATTGGCTATACGGATGTGTTGTACATCCTGAACTATTTTGCTTTAGCTTGCATTCTGCTTTGCGAGGACTTTGTTCCATTACTCTATAGACTACAACAGTAATAAAATTAGAAGTTAAGAAAACGAAAACATAAGGCAAAAGAAATTTTGCAATTTATATTATAGTTTATGGGTTGATTTGCGAGTGACGTATAGCATAGTGGGTAACAGTAACAGGGTAAGTCAATATGTTATTATACTAAGGTTTTTAAGATATTATGGAAATCTGAAAAAAAAAATTATGATACTATATAGAAAAACTTTTAACCTTGGAAAATAGAAAGAATGTGATGAGGACAATGTATTTCGTGTGAGGAAGAGAAACAATAACAAAAAAGAAAAGGAACCGAAGATATTGGATGTCACCGTGTCAGATGAAGGGGTAGACTGTAGAGAGAATGATCAAAAAATAAAATAAACTACTCGTGTAGATTGTTATTTATGTAATGTTCGGTAATGATTTTCGGCATTCACATGTTATCTATTGCTTTTTCAAATCGTTGAGATGAATTGTAAATATTGAAGAGTAAGTAAATTCTGCATCCATAAATCACACAGTTAGGATAGCTTAAAATATCGGTGTGGTAGTTGTACCTTATCAGGATCACGCGATGCTCAAATCAGAATACGTCTAAACGAGTTTATGATTAATTATTGAGTGATTTAGTTAATTAAGTGTCATTCTTGCTCTGTTTCGTGTATTAATTCTTCTTTTCTCTACATTTTGATCAATTTCCATTATTTTAAAACGCAGAACATATTTATTGAGTTTGTTTTTTTACAAAGGTCTCATCCGTGGATCCTCAGTGAAAAGCTAAAATAACGTTAATACGTTTTGTGATTCATCTAAGTTTTAACTGAACATATCTAATAACATAATCTCAATCTTTAAAAATGTATATCAGTTTAACCAAGTCATAGAAAACTTTCATCTATTTTTCTCTATCAAAAGAATATGTTTCTTTTTTTTTTCTTACATCAAAAAGAAGTAAGAATATGTTTCTAATTTGCAGTTAAGGGATTCAAATAATATTATGCATAATTTTATCTGACCCATCCGTAAATTTGAACAGACTAAAAGTTAAATCCAACATACCCCTAAAACCAATAGAAAAATACTGAAAAGTAAAAACAGAAAATGCAAATCATTTATTCCTTCATAGTATTGACAGACTTATATAATAACAAAATGGAGATGTTTCTCACCAGCTCATTTGAGGCATAAAGATTAGATAAGATTCCATCATAATTATTAACTTCAAAAAAATATATTTCTTATTAACTGTCCAAATAATTAATAACCATAAAATTACCTGTCTTATAATGTACTTATACCAAACCTTTGCACAGTCTCTGTGTATATATATATACACACAACTACACAAAAGAGCTACAAATCTCAACAAACAACAAAACTCATCTCTCTCATCATCGTCTTTAGCCATGGCAAAGGACTTGGATGTGCAAGAGGGCGGAGCAACGGCGGCAAGAGACTACACAGATCCGCCTCCAGCCCCATTGTTCGACATGGAGGAGCTTCGGAAGTGGTCGCTCTATAGAGCCGTCATAGCTGAGTTCGTGGCGACACTTCTCTTCCTTTACGTCTCAATCCTCACCGTTATCGGCTACAAAGCTCAGACCGATGCAACCGCCGGAGGTGTTGATTGCGGCGGCGTCGGGATATTGGGGATTGCGTGGGCTTTCGGTGGAATGATCTTTGTTCTCGTTTACTGTACCGCCGGTGTCTCCGGTAAGTTTATACAAAACGTTCGAACCACGGTACACATAGATTTTCACGTGACAATAAAGTTATAGATATTGTATAGTTTAGGAAAAAAAAAACAAAATCAAAATCAAAATAAATAGAGATGGTGAATTCAAAATAAAGTAACACAAAATTTGCTATAGTTCTTCTATGTGGTACCATTTTTCATATCGATTTGAATCGAATATATGTATTTGTCATTAAAAGATTTTTTTTTTCTATAATAAAGGTGGTCATATAAATCCGGCTGTGACGGTGGGACTATTCTTGGCTCGAAAAGTGTCATTGGTCCGGACAGTTTTATACATTGTGGCTCAGTGCCTTGGTGCCATCTGCGGTTGCGGTCTCGTCAAAGCACTCCAAAGTTCTTACTACGACAGGTATACCATTTTGTCACAAAACTCTTTATAATTCGGATAAAATCGAACTGATAAGATATTAACCAAACCAAAACTAAAAATTATGTTCCTTGGGAAAACTGAAATAAGCTTTAATATGGATAAAATGATAACATGTTAATTATGTTTCGAAACATGCCTAAACCAAACCGAAAAAGGGAAAGAAAACCATATAAAGAATATACTATTTGTTTAAAACTCTGAAAAATCTAAAAACACCTAATAATCCAAACCAAAATCCAGATAAAACACTCGCAATTCTAATAGACCTAGATTTTATTTCTATTTTGGTTTTCATAGGTCTAGCTAATATATGATTATACAGTTTTGTTATAACTAGAAAAGGTGCTAATATAATAATATTTATTAGATATGGAGGTGGAGCCAACGTGCTCGCCGACGGCTACAACATAGGCACCGGACTCGGAGCGGAGATCATCGGAACATTTGTCCTCGTCTACACCGTTTTCTCGGCCACCGATCCCAAGCGCAGTGCACGTGACTCTCACATTCCAGTTTTGGCGCCACTCCCCATTGGTTTTGCCGTCTTCATGGTTCACTTAGCCACCATTCCCATCACCGGAACCGGAATCAACCCGGCCCGTAGCTTTGGAGCCGCAGTTATCTACAACCAAGAAAAAGCCTGGGACGACCAAGTACGTCGTTATTTTTCATATGAACACATTTTTTTCAATTATTTATAAAGAAATAATGTCTAATTATAAGTATATTTCTGAATCATTTTGAGCAGTGGATTTTTTGGGTGGGACCGATGATTGGAGCAGCAGGTGCTGCGTTATACCATCAGTTTGTTCTAAGAGCAGCTGGGATTAAAACTCTTGGCTCCTTTAGGAGCTCTGCTTAGTTTGAATTGTTTAAATTAAGCCACAAGTTAATCTTTTCACTACCACTATTAAGCGGAAAGTTACCTGTATCTTTTATTTTATATGTTATGTTTTTAAAAATTTCATGGAATTTCCCATTCCTGTAAATGTGGTTTTAATTATTAATGTTGCTTTAAGCTAAGCCTCGATTTCACCTTTTATCTTTTCGTAGAGTTAACGTTAATTTTGCTTTGATTCTATTTCTCATGGGAATCAACAGATGTCATGTCACGTATGTTTTATTTATTGTTTTACTCTTGTTGTAAAAGAAGAACTCACTTTTATCTCTCTGCTTTATTTGTTTTGACGAGTTTGTTAAGTTTCTTTTTTTCCTTTCCGGCACCATAAATGATTATGGACTACAATAGAATCATATACTGCTGTTGTCAAGAACCAATGACATTACTTTTTAGCTTTTCTTCACTCACATATATAATGGAAAAGTGAACCGGATTAAAATTTATCTTGGGTTAGATTTAAGTCTTACTCTTTAGTAATCCAAAACAATACTAGTCGAATCAAACATGAATCAAGTGACGGCTATTAGTTTTGTTTCATTTTATTTCGTACGGTTTCACATAGATTTGCTAAAACGAAATGTTTTAAGATGACAAAAGAAGAGAAAATCGAAAATGAATATAATGCAAACCTTAAAGCGTGGACCCGGTTAACAAATTTCATCATTCTGGTGTTTTATTTTCCATTGCGGTTCCTTAAAGCTAACAAACTCTTCATGCATTCTTTGCCACCAATCTTACCCCTAAAATAATGAAACTCTCGAACAAATCTTATGGCCCTATTCTTAAATCATTTGAACAAATAGAAACAAATTGAAATACAAAGGGTAAAAACCAATATATTACAGCTGTTTGGTAACAAAACAAAAAATAAAAAATAAACAAAAAGCTGCATCAACCAAAATGGTTTTCATGACTTCTCTTCACTCATTCAAAAGACCTTTTTTCTTCTTTTTGTTATTGTACAATCATACAAATTTGAACTTCAAGCAACAACTATCTCCTCGATAAACCAATCCTATAAAACCACCAAACAACACACACTATAGAAGAAAATCAAACATTTACAAAGATTTTATAAAAGAAGAAACAACATGACATACCTAACTCACTCTTTGCTCTTCTTCTTCACTTGCTTGTCTTTGCTTCTTCGTGTCTCCATTGCCGGAAGCAGACCTGTTCATGGTCCAGCTTATTCACACCCATCTGCTTTCTCTCCAGAAGCTTACGATTTCTTTCACCCAAAATCATCACTACCTGACAATAATCCACCAAGAAACTCGCCTTCTTCGCCGCCACCGTTTTCACCTTCACCTTCACCTTCACTTTCAAAGTCATCTAATCTAGAAGCAGATACACAAGGAAGTAAAGTTTCATCAGACGAGCACACACGCGAGAGTAATAGAGAAGAAGGACGAGGAGAAACCGTTGGAATAGTGTTAGGCATATCTTTCGCAGCATTTCTCTCTATGGGAATCTACTTTGTGATCAAGAAACGACGTGCTAATGTAATCCGGACGATTGTTATCCATTCTGATGCTTGAAGTATCCAAAACGTACCTTTATTCAGTTTTATTCTCAAGAAAGTTATTGAGTTTGTAACTTTGTATGCAGAATGTAAGCGAATTCGCAAACTATAAAGTAGGAGAAGCTAAAAAATGAGAAATATTTGACATGAATCAGCTTAGCTTCAATTTCGAAGATATATACATTTTATAGATCATTTTATACGTTCATTCATTTCAATCTCAAGGGAATGAAGGAGACGAGATGGAAATAACGGTTTAAGATTGACCATAGATGATAATAACATACTATCATTCGTTTTGAGTCTTTGGACATACCATGATGGAGTGTGATGGGAGGTTAATAAAAATTGATATAATAATGTTATTAACGCTTTTAATAATTACGGTTGACATCTATCTAGATTAGTTCCTAAACTAGATTAGGTACACATATGAAGAAGATATTCACATAATAATTACGATCTCTCTTCTAAATGATTGATTCTAACGGGGTGTATTCAAAATAGAATTTAGAGTGATTTGTATTAAAATCACAAATCCTTTGTTATTGAAACATATATTTTAAAAAGTTATTTAAAATTTAATGTTATTGAACTAATGATTTGAAAATGTAACTTCAAATTCACTGTTATTGGAAATAATTTAAGTAGTGGATTTTAAGAAACTTGGAGTAACTTTAAGATGTTTTGATGAAATTTCTTAGTTAAAATTATAAGAATCCAAATCTCATGATTTTAGGTGGAGTTTGATAGAATTTTGATATCAAATCATAACAATTTCCAAAATTCAAGCAAATCATCTAAAAACTCATTAAAACTCAAATCCTTTCAAATAATTTCAAATATTAAGTTAAATCTTTCTCTAAAAACTATTTCAAATCAATCTTGGTTTTATTCTTGTATATGTTTACAAATTACAATAATTAAACTTATAAAGGTTTGATTCTTTTTTTGGTTTAACTTGAAACATTTTGGTTTGATTGGATTTTGTTTTCTTTTCAGTTACCAGATTTTTGGTCATATTTTAGCCAATGCAATATTATATTCCTTTTTGAGCAAAATAATAATTATATCCCTAATTAAATGAGAGTAGTATGAAAACGACGACGTTCTGGGTAATTACGAACATGTGTAGAAAGAAACCTGTTTGTTTTGTACTTCTTTGAAGTTAGTTGTTAGATCTCAAAAAACATCTCAAGAGTCTCCAATTTTCCAGTCACACTAAAATGGCGTTCCGCGTTTTCCTCCTCATCTCTCTCTCCGCTCTTCTCATTTTCTCCGCCGTTTCTCCCTCTTTCTCCGCCCCTTCCTCCGACGTCGACGATGAGGATCTCAGCTTCCTCGAAGATCTCAAGGACGAAGACGAGGGTACCTCTGAGCCACTCACCCCCACTGGGCTTGACGAGCTCGACGGAGGGGAAGACGACGATTCCGAGATGTACGAAGATGAGGAAGATGGCGAAGATCTCTCCGATCTAGGCAATCCAGACTCCGAAGATCCGTTCCCGGCGCCGGAAGTCGACGAGAAAGACGTGGTGGTCATCAAGGAGCGTAACTTCACCGACGTGATCGAGAACAACCAATACGTCATGGTCGAGTTCTACGCCCCGTGGTGCGGCCATTGCCAGTCTCTTGCTCCCGAGTACGCGGCAGCCGCGACGGAGCTGAAGGCCGACGGTATCGTTTTGGCTAAAATCGACGCGACGGAGGAGAACGAGCTTGCTCATCAGTACAGCGTTCAGGGATTCCCCACCATTCTCTTCTTCGTAGATGGCGATCACAAGCCTTACACCGGAGGGAGGACCAAGTAAGCAAAACATCGATATTAAAATTTCAATTTTTTTTTCCACTGTAAATTGGGATTTTGTTTGATCTGATTGGAGAAAGTTCTTGAATTGGTGAATCAGAGAAACAATTGTGACATGGGTGAAGAAGAAGATAGGTCCTGGTGTGTATAACCTAACCACATTAGATGATGCTGAGAAAGTGTTGACTTCTGGGAGCAAAGTCGTCTTGGGTTACTTGAACTCTTTGGTGGTATGCTTCCTCTTTATCCACTTGGTATCGTTGTTGTTCCCTTCACCGTTTATTGAGATAAACCAAAAAAAAATTGCTGAATTCATTCACAGGGTGTTGAGCACGATGAACTTACTGCTGCTTCAAAAGCTGAAGACGATGTGAGCTTCTATCAAACAGTGAGTCCTGATGTTGCCAAGATGTTTCACATTGATCCCGAGTCTAAAAGGCCTGCTTTGGTCCTAGTTAAGAGCGAAGAGGAGAAGATTAGCCATTTTGGTTTGTTCTGTTAATCTTTTACTATGACTTGATTTTGACGATCTTGTTCGTGTTGCTTTTTTTGCTTATTTTTTTTTGTTTTTGTTTTGGGGTTATGAATCTGCAGATGGGGAGTTTGTGAAGTCTGCTCTAGTTAGTTTTGTGTCTGCCAACAAGCTTCCTTTGGTCTCCGTTTTCACCAGAGAGACTGCTCCTGAAATTTTCGAGAGTGCAATCAAGAAGCAGGTGTGTCAAATGTTTTTTTTTCTTTTCTCTGTTGGTCTTCAGACTCAGATACGAAGTTGGTTTTAGGTCGGTTTTACTAACGTGAGTTTCTTTGCAGTTGTTGTTGTTCGCAACCAAAAATGACTCGGAAAAGGTTCTTCCGGAATTTGAAGAAGCAGCAAAATCATTTAAAGGAAAGGTATAAGGGAAAAACTCTTGATTTATTTGAAAGGTCTTTTGTTTCCGTATCATGTGGCTAAGGTTAGTTATAAGAAGCCTTTGTTTCTTGCTACAGCTTATCTTTGTATCTGTGGATCTGGATAACGAGGATTATGGGAAGCCAGTTGCTGATTACTTTGGTGTTTCTGGAAACGGTCCTAAGGTTAGTCCTCTTTCTGGCTCTAGTTTTTGAAAGAGTTTTTCACATTTATAAAAATATTTTCGTCTAAAAATAAATCTCGAATGTTTTGTCTTTGTCTAGCTTATTGCTTACACAGGAAACGAAGATCCTAAAAAGCACTTCTTCGATGGCGAGATCAAGTCTGATAAGATTAAGGTATCTTTTTGAAGTTTTTTATTTTACTCGTAAAATTTGACTTCACCGGTTAGGTTGTTTGTTAAAAAATGTAATATCACTTGCAGACGTTCGGGGAAGAGTTCTTGAGCGACAAGCTAAAGCCTTTCTATAAGTCAGACCCCATTCCTGAAAAGGTAAAGCCGTCTCTTTCTTATCAGTCATTCTCATCTCTGTTTCGTCTTCGTCTCTTCATGTAACACCGGAGTTGATTTTTCTGTGGCTAACAGAACGATGGACATGTGAAAATAGTGGTCGGAGATAACTTTGATGACATTGTTCTGGACGAGTCCAAGGATGTTCTTCTCGAGGTACTATTGTATAATAGTCCCTTAACAAACCGATATGGTTTTCATGTTTTTTCTCATATTCCTTTTATTTAACACGAAACTCAGGTCTACGCACCATGGTGTGGCCATTGCCAAGCTCTTGAGCCAATGTATAACAAGCTTGCCAAACATTTACAAAGCATTGATTCTCTTGTCATAGCCAAGATGGATGGAACAACCAATGAACATCCCAAGGCAAAGGTAAACAAAACTGTAACGAATGTATTAAAGCCTTCTTTGTTCAAAGCCTTCTCTGTTCAAAACTTCAAGAGTTAATTTTTCTGGTTTGTGGCCTAAAATACTTTGCAGGCCGAAGGATTCCCTACAATTCTCTTCTTCCCTGCAGGCAACAAGACCTCAGAACCGGTAAGTTTCTGTTTCTTGGCTGCAACGGTTTTGTATTCTTTAAACTCCCTCAAAAACAGAGAATTGACTTGTTTTGTTGTGTGTGGAGCAGATAACGGTAGATACAGACCGCACTGTGGTTGCATTTTACAAGTTTTTGAGGAAACACGCAACGATTCCCTTCAAACTGGAGAAACCTGCATCAGCTGAATCTCCTAAAACTGTGGAGTCCACACCGAAAGTAGAATCTACGGAGACCAAAGGAAAAGATGATAGCACCATAAAGAGTTCCGAAACGGAATCGAAGGACGAATTGTGATCTGACCCTAAGAAAAGGGTATGAGTTATAGAAATACGTCTCGTTAAGTTATATTGTATGATCAGAATTGTCTCACCACGAGTCTGTACTAGAGAAAGATGATAAAAACTTATTTTAGTTTTCGAGAAAGATAATTTCAACTCTTATGATTTGGGTTTCAAGGGCCAACTTGTAGTACTGCCACATACTGAAATAAGTAACACAGTGAAATCAATTAAATTCTTACCGTGTACCTTTTCAGCAGTCTTAAAAGTTTCTAACTCTATCTTGCAATGCCGAATTTCATGGGTCCTACTCCTACTAAACCAGAGTGGAAGTGCTACACTAACCGGTTTATTCTAAATCATCTCACCCATAATTGCATCAAGGAAGGCAAGGAGGAAGATGCACTGTGGATGTGTGGATTAAGACACACTCGTGAGTAAGTTCTATCACAAAAAGTACACTAACAAGTTGAAAAAAGTGAGTTTTGTCTATTGAGAGATCCACAAAATGTACTGTATTGAAAAACAAAGAGAAACTAAAAGAGCACGTAGGCATGAGTTTTATTTTAATGGAAATAAAGAACAAAATGAGAAATAAAGCCAAACTTAATCTTTACATACACTTCTCTTCCAATCTAGCCAAGATCGACTCTGCGAAACTCTGTTGCCTGTGAATTCAAAGAAAGACAAACCAGCATCAAGTCTTGTGAGGAATTCGAACACACACAACATGCACGAACGTAAACTGCAAATACTTGGTATTGATTCAAGGATCAGAGTACAATTGAGCCCTTAAAACTTATGCAAGTTCCAAGTCTAGATAAGTGGAAAGTGTCGGCTTTTTATACCATCATAAAACCCACGACAAGTAAACTTAGCCACGAGATTATATTAAACTAATCAGCTAACACTAACAGATTACCATTTAAACTAGTTCTTAAGAGATTCAACTAGTTCCACAGGCTAATAATGACAGCAGAATGTCTAGACAAAAAAAAAAACATGGTGGACATACTTGCGTTCACTATGCTTGGAGCTTGGTCTTGAATACTTCAAGTATCCATCCCAAGGGACCTTTTTTAGACCTGCCCGAAGTGATATCATGTCTCTGACCCTGTAAAAAGTAAATAGAGTGGAGCTCATAAATGTTACACCAACTACTAGACGGAAAAGAATGTCATGCCGACTATTCTTACAATTCTTACTTACTAAATGCCTTCTATGTAGGCCCAAGAGAAGAGTGTTTTACCTCTCTGCAAACTCAATTGCTGTTTCTCCAGGCCTTATAGTTTGGGGTTCCAAGTACCACACTTCACACACAACAGCCCATGACGTCATGAGTTGCAGCAAATGCATCGTGAATGATTGTCTGCAAAGACCATTCAAGATCTTTTGTTACCAGAAGAAAACTCATTTCAATCGCAAAGGTATAAAAAAAACACAATAGTAATGTAGTTTAGCTGGACATGCTTCTTTATCCTTTTCAAAAATACTTCAGAAATTCAAAATTATCTGCCCAGGTGAAAATGCCCTTACTTTCTGCTGTTCCAGAAGGCGTCAACAAAAATCTTGTTGTATTTGATTGCAATTGGACAAACAGTGCAGTCCAATTCAAAAGCACCCTGAACATTGCCATTAAGCGAATCAGAAACTAAAATATAGATTAGGAGGGAAAATCACATAATAATTAGGTCCAAAATACCTTCTTAAACATTACTGTATAATTATTATTTACACACGTCCCCTCGGGGAATATGAGAAGAGGATTATTGTCAGCTCCTTGGACATGGTTCCTTAACCTGAAATTACATGGTTCATGTTCCCATCATTAATATGAATAGATTACGTAACGACACTTTAAAAAGGGGATTAAGAATCATGCATACTTTCTCGCTACAATTTCACGATCCTTTGCCTCGGAACGATTGAACCAGATACATCCTACGCTTTCCAATATTGTGCTTTGCAGAAGCCCTTCATATTCAAAGCAACAAAACTCAATCATGGCTTTCAAAATCATGCACGAAAGGCAAAAGCCTATTGAAAAAAATGAACAACCATAAAGGTCATAAAACAGACTTCCTTGAGACTTACCAACCCAACCAGGATGCTTCTGCATTATAACAGCAAATGCAGTCATCTGCTCCAAGACGATGAAATCAATCATTGAAGTATGGTTGGCAACATAGACCTGAGTAAACCCAATCATACAATAAGCATATGTGTATACAAGTATCAAGGATTATACAAATTTGAAACTGAAACTAAAAGCAAAAGATGACCTGCTTAGGACGGATGCTAGGGCGTGGCCCGTGGTATTTGACAACTCCTGTCCAAGAGGCGACAAAAAAGCTGCATATCATTTCCACCAAGACCCTCTAGTAATACAATAAAAGACAGAACAAAGTTCAGCATCAAGATATCAATCGTTACGCTCCAAGGAAGGATAATATGAACAAAGCAGAAGATAAACAATAAAACTTTCCCAAAATAATCTAAGTGAAACTGAAACTTATAAGACAAACGAGAAACAGATAATCGAACTCACCTCTATGTTTTTCCTCAACTTATCATGACCTTTCAGCAGCGAATGTACGGGGATGAATGTTGAAAGGAAAATAATCCACCCAAAAGCTAAAGTGAAGCACCTGCAGGTTTTCAAAACAATGAACTGGTCAATTCCAAAACACACACGAGGCTGCAAAATGTTGAATTTGAGCTACGAACAAGAACACAATACTCGATACATGCATTGAATAGAGATCATAAAAAGGAAGGAACAGACCTCAAGGGGAAGAGAAGGCAGTATCTAACAACAACCCCAAAGCACCAGAGTGGAAATAAGTAAATGTTCCAATTCCAAGGTTCTGGAGGATTCGACTTGAAACATCTTGTGAACGAATCCTGCAACAATCACAGAAAAAGACGATTTTTTTTTTTAACAAACAATTCTTGAACCGTATTCCGACTACAGCTACAGATATCAAATCAAGCATAATCTACAGCTACAAAGATCATATAAGTGATATCATAAGATCTCTATCCTTTCGCTAATAAATTTGAAGTCTTTGACAAGAGTAATCGTGCGGCAGATTTGGGTGGGAACAAAGAGAGAAAAATCATTTGGGAAACTCGAAATATCTTACATCAACAATGGCACCAGCAGCTTCAGTGAGAGTGGGGGAAATGTCGAGTAGATCACGCCTGCAATCACGACGAACGGTGAGAGTTAAATCAGCCGATCAAAGAAAAATTCAAATTCATAGAGATTCTGACATGCGGGGGATGATGATTACTTACAGGCTGAGCTTGCCGCGAGGCTCACTGATGGAGGAACCAGAAGGAAGGTAATCTTCGATGTTAGGGTGATCCAAGTCAAGCTCGGATCTCGAAGTCACGAGCTTCCCTGCCGTGCTGCTCATTGTTCGGAAACTTTCCGATCGCCGGTAAATTGTTTGTGATGATGATGTTGCGGAAGAAACAGAATTCACATTAAGAATGCAACAAGCCCATTAATATAAACAGGCCCAAAACAATTATAAATTTTGAGCCCATAAACCCCAATTCGACACACGAGGGCATCTTTATGTGTGTCACACGACTGTCACTATTGCTTATTCACTCTGACTCTGAGATTTTTTTTTTTTTTTTGTAAGTGATGACTCTGAGATTGTTAATCCAATTTCCTAACTCTTTAACTGTTATCAGTAATTACATTGCTTCTTTCGTGGAGTTGTCAAACCTTATAAATTAGTTTAAAGTCAACCATTAAAAGCAATTTTTTAAAAAACTTTGCTCCGTTTTTCACTAATTGTTTCAAGTCCCCAAAGCGTTGACCGTTAGGTGCCAAAGCAATTCTTTAGTGTCACTCATATGAACTTTAAGTGGAAAATGAGTCTCCGATCTGATGATTCGCTCTGTATCTGGTTTCCATACACCTCTGACGTGGCGAATCTCAATTCGTCAGGCGCACCCTATATATTCTCTCCATCTTCTTCTTCAAGAGAGAAGAAACAGAGAGAGAGAGAGAGAGAGGTTGAATGTTCGAAATGATGAAGGTCGGTTTCATAATTGTAGCTCTGTTGATGGTAGGAACTATATCCGGTGAGATTTCAACTATAGAAGTTTCACCGGCCCCGTCTCCGATCGAGCATTCGTCTCACTCTCCGTCGCAATCAGAAACCGAAATGTCGTCTACTCCGTCTCCTTCACCATCGAACTCCGAATCGAGACCTCCTGATGACATTTACCCGCCTCCGTCAAAATCTCCGGAAGCCGGTGATCTTCTCAACTACACCGAAGTTAGCGGAACGGAAGGCGAGAAATCCTCCGGGGGCGGAAAGAAAGGCCGGAATCGCGGTTGGAGCAATTGCAGCGGCGAGTATGGTCGGCGTCGGTGGATACGTGTTGAAGAAACGGCGAGAGAACCTTCGTCGATCGCGTTATGAATACGCCGCCACTGAGATCTTCTGAAGATGTTGAAACCGCCGTGGATCATCTCTGATTTTTGTTTTTGTTTGCTCTTGTATATCTTTAGAAATTTAATTTGTTCTTACTTGCTTGATTCTCAAGGTTTTACTAGTTAGTTCATTAGTGGTTATTTTCATGGGTCCCATAAGATAAATCATCACTAAATATTAACACGAGTTGTAATGTTTGATAACATTGCGATATTTGAAAATAGTTTTTTGTTTTGTTTTGTTTTGTTTATACAGTATTTGCCTTAAAACTGGCGTTAATGGCTTCCATTATTTAGTTGTTATGGACCGGCCGGCATATTCATAAAATCAAATATTTGTCCATCAGTCCATGTTCATATCGTGGACGTGTTGCATCGGATGTGTTTGCATTGATTTTGCATGCAGACGCGTATAGAGAGGTTCTTGATTTTTTCAAATAATCAAAGTTAGTAACTTTTATCATAGTATCTATTCTTTCTTAGGGCACCTCATCGGTTGAGATACCATAGTATCTAACCATTATATTTAATCAAAAAAATTAAAAAAGCAGTGAAAAGAAAGACAGGTTAGGAGAACTGGTTCCTATTTAGTTCTAAATTCTGGTTCTAAAAAATAAAAAAAATCAATAAAAGTTTTAAATTGAGGTTCTCAGAAATAAAAAAAATTAAAAAAAATTAAAAAAGAAGAGAGATATAGGAGAACCGATTCCTATTTCAGAGTTTTTAGACACAATTTCTAGCCATTTGGTATGATCAAATTAATTTACCTTTTAAAAATAAAATAAAATTTAATTAGATAATTTTTTCCTCTAATTAGATAATAGTATTAAATTAAATATAAGAACTCCATTTTTAGAGATTCACTATGATGATGCTCTTATACTTCATATGTTCCGTATTGTATGTTGTTTTGGATAAAAACACAAAAGATCAAAAAGTTAACTTTTAATTTTAAAAATATCAATTAACAAAGAAATTAAATATTCTTCAACCAATTATAAAATAAATTGTATAATATCATTAGCTACACAGTATTTAATAACATTAAAAGTAACATTGAAAAGTGAAAACGGCTTACATTTTGATACAAAATTATACCCTTTACATTGTAAAACAGAAAGAGTATGAGATATCCAACCAATTTTTTTAAGACATGTATCCTTATATAAATAGCTCAAATACTTTTATATTTAAAATTTATTATATTAATACATTATATATATTCTAATATATATGATAATAGGGATGCTTTTAAAGCACTTTTATCAGTGGAGTTCTAAACAACAAATATAATCATTAAAATATTAAAAATAATAATAAATAAAGAAAATAAGAGAAATAATAGTAAAAGAAAAGAGAGAGAGATACGATATTTCATTTTAAATACCTTTTTCAGTGGCTCTCTAAGTAAAGTATTTGAACATAAAAAAATGAAAAATAATAGTAAAGCAAAAAAAGAAGAAAGGAAGAAAGAGAGAGAGAAAAAGTCTCTCTAAAGAACATATTTCTACAACCATATCTAGCTTAAATAAATATGTGTCATTATTTAATTAGTTTAGAATTTTTACATTTTAAATTTTTATTCTGTTATTAAATTATATCGATATAAAATTGTTAGAGATTTAAGTTGAAATACTCAACTGATGTTAGATCATCAACATCAATTGGTATGTAAACAAATGTATTTTAATGATAAAATGATATATTTTAACATAACATAAAATATAATTAAACCCACTACATATTATTTGAGAAGTACAGTAGAACCTCTATAAATTAATACTCGATAAATTAATAATCACTATAAATTAATAATTTTTGCCGGTCCCAAATCGGGTCAGTGTAAAAATTAGCAAATTTCGATAAGATAATAAGATAATATTTTTTTTGAAACTCCTATGTAAAAATATAGTCCCAATAATTAGATAAATTAATAATTATATATTTAAAAATATATAAATAATATAATATAGTAAAATATAATTATATTATTGTTTCAAGTTTATAAAAATTGTTTGACTTATTTTTCAAATTTACTGAAATGATATTTTCTGAACAAATTTTATATTATTGATTTTTTTGTTTTGTTTTTTGACAAATATTTTGAATTGGAACTCAAATATCTCTCTATAAATAAATAAAATATTAATTTTTCGATAAATTAATAATTATTAATTTATCGATAATTAATAACTCTATAAATTAATAAATTTTTGAGGTCTTAACATTATTAATTTATAGAGGTTTTACTGTAACATTATTGAAAATTGCTTACTTGTCAACACTACAATCAAAGTTAGTGCTTTTAATTGATGACATGTAAATGTAACATGTCAAACTTCCTAAAATAAACGAAATGTTTTGATTGGTTGAATTGAAATTATAGAAATTGTGGAATTAAAACATAAATAAAATAAATCCACTACATATTATTTGAGAAGTAACATTATTAAAAATAGCTGATTTGTCAACACTAGAGCCAAAGTTAGTGCTTTTAATTGATGACATGTAAATGTGACATGTCAAACTTCCTAAAATAAACGAAAAGTTTTGATTGGTTGAATTAAAATTATAGAAATTATGAAATTAAAACATAAATAAACTAGATTATATTTATAACACTAAAATTAACAAATTTAAATTAACAGATAATAAAAGCTATTATAATTTTAACTTTTTACAAATATTCATAATTTCATAAAAATAATTACAAAATTTTTTCAACAATATAAATATATATATTATAATTTCATATAAAAATAAAAAAATAATATTAAATTATCCAATAGAATAGTAAAAATTCTATTTATTAATAATACTAAATATGATATATTTTTATTTCAGAAAGTTATTAATTAAGTCTAAAAAAGTTTTAAATAAATAATTTATTAAATAATACAATTTTAAATAAAATACAATCATGATAAAATAATTTAAAGAATAAAATGTTAAAAATAATAAAAATAAATAAATTTTATTGATTTTTTTTAAAAAACGTAATTTAAAAAAAAAAATTTCAAACCAATATTTACTAAATGAATAAAGTATAAACTAATTATTATTTTATAATATGAATAGGACCATATATTTTTCTATAACTTTTATCATCTTTTTATTGTTGTTTTCTAAAATGTGCATAACTTATGTTACCATCTCATCTTATCTCTTATCATATTTTAAATAAAAATAAAATTTTATATCATATTAATATATATATATATATATATATATATATATACATAATTTTGTTTTCATTGTATATCAAAATTTTGAGATCATAAATGAATTGAAAAATAACCGAACGAAAGAATAAATTATAATAAGATGAAACAATATGAATAAGAGATAAAAATAGAAGTATATAAAAATAAATCTCTCGCCCTTTGTTTTACATAGTCACTTAAAAAAATTTTAACACGTAAGAGCCATATTTCAATTTTTTTACAAATACGCGTTCATATATAAATATTGGTTGTACATTAGTTGAAGTCACATGCGAACTTTTTTGTGCATTTATTTTATTAAGATTGATTACAGTCTAATTTTTATTTTAAGTATTATCCAATTTATATTTTTTTAAAAAAATCATTATTATTCTAAGTGTAGTAAAGTGATTGGTATGCCCGCATATGCGTGCCAACCATCTATCCGCTCTTAAAAATAAGTAAAAATAGTAAAAACTATTTCAGTTTAATTTCTAATAAATCAAGAAAAATATATACTTAAAATATATTATATATGTATTTACAAACTCATATTATGTAAGACGCAAAAAAGCATATTGTAGATTGTGTAAAGAGAAATAAAGCATTATTATTTAACATAACTTTTATATTTGTGATTATATACTATTACAAGTATTATAAAAATAATTTTTTTAAAATACATTGATTTCAGAAAGAAGTTTGTGAAATATTAAAATAATATATATATATATACAAATATACAAATGTTTAGAATTTAAATATTATAATTAACTATGTATATCAAAAAAATTATATCCGCACATATGTGCGGGCCAACCATCTAGTTTCAATACTAAAAGAAGATAAAACCAATTAGAATAAGATATATGTGGTAGAAAATATCTCAAGTGTTGGAAACCGTTTTTTAATGAGAACTTATGAAAAAAATTTAAAACTCTTTTTTCTTTTTTTTTATATTTTTTTTCTAATATTAGAATACTTTTACTAAAATACTTTTACTAAAACCGTTTTTCAATTGAGATGGTTTTAGAACCGTTTTTCTTCTCAAAAAACAAGGTGTCATCATTTAATTTATTCAATTATTTAATATTTAAATTTTAATGATATTGTTAAATTATATTAATTTAATATATTAAGATATCCAATTTAAAATAGAGTTGCTCTTATCATCATCAAACTTAGATGTAATAATGGCTAACTCTATTTTGAGGAGATTTATTTTCTTTGAATGCTAACATTAACCATAAATTACTTTGGAAGGGGGTGTACTGAAACTAAAATTTTAGAGAATTTGAAAAGATTTGAGTTTTAATGAAATTTTATATAATTTTATGTGGATGAGAGAAGTTGATATAATTTGATATTGAAATTATATGAAATTCCACATAAAACAATGAGATTTGGTTTTCTATATTTTTAACTAACAAACTCTACCAAATCATTTAAAACTACTTAATATTTTGTAAAATTCACTATTTAAAATATTTTCAATAACAGTGAATTTAATTTAGTTTTTACAAGTTCTTTATTTAATAACATGGATATTGAAATGATTTTAATTGGTTTTATATAAATTTTATGTTCAATAACATAGATTTTGGTAAGACATTTAGAAATCATTAGTTGAATAACATGCAATTTTAAAATAACCACAAAGTCTTCTAAACTTTCAGTTTCTACACCCTCCTCACCCTCCTCCCCCCTTTTGACTATCTTAAGATAAAAATCTTGCTATCTTTTTTGTTTGGTCAAAAAGAAAAACTTACTATTTTTAAAACTAATTAATCCATATAAAACCCAAAAATAGATCCAAAGTTCTCCAAACACAAATCTTCAAGTTGAATATCTTTGCATTACGAAAGAAAACAAACTGAAAAAAATGGCGTCATCAAGATTTCAACTTGTTGCCATTCTCGTTATCTTCTCTCTCGTTATTACTACCCAATCTGCAGGTGTTCAATCGTTTCCGTTCATCTTAATTATAGGCTTACGTTAATAGATATTTTTGTTTATGCTAAACGTTTTTAAACAAAATTTTATATTATCAATAAAAACATGCATTTGAATATGAACGGTAGCCTATATAGCGAACGACAATATACTATAAACCAATAATCCTAATATCAATCTCTTGAATTTGATTGACAAAAAAAGGAACACAAGATGAAGTAAGGGACGGACCGTGCCGCTTGAGAGGAACGTGCAAAACCGACAGTGACTGCGACACACATTGCCACAGGAGCACCGACCCAGCGGGCATGGGCGGCCACTGCCTCTTCGACAGACCCACCGGTCCCGTTTGCTGCTGCCTCTTTGATTAATCCGATCCTTTTTATTCTTCACTTTTCTCATCATGTAATTCTAAATTACTGAAATGATGTAAAACATAAAAAAAATGTTTACGTCGCGATTATGTGAAGAATAAAATAAGAGATCTTGGCTGTTGAAGAAAAAATAAAAAATAAATAAAAAAGAGATCTTGTTTACCATATGGACCCACTTTGAATGTCATGAGAGCGTATTGATGGTACGAGAATGGATATCTGTGAACAAATATTTACTCCCTCAGTTTTCATTTTGACACTTTTCACACATATTAAGAAATTTAATAAAAAGTCTTTTCTGTCATTTATAAATATACTAAACAGTTTTTTCTTTCTAATTAATACACTAAAATAACAAGGTTAAAATTGGATTTTTAATTAAAAATTTGCATTGGAAATACAAAACGACACTTTTTGTGAAACAAAAATAAAACTCTAAAACGACACTCTTTATGAAACGGAGGGAGTAATAATTTTGAAAAGATTGATCCATAGTTTTGTTTCTCCATTTTATCGTTAACAACTCACACACATTCAGCTAAACTAATGTAAACTACCAAGGTATTAGAACGTATCCTCGGCTTAAGTTCCAGTTTCATGACCAAAATAAGTTCTGTAGGGTGCAAATACAACATATCCTGCGTAGGATAATTGCAAACGACAACTTCATAATCTTCTTTGAATAAATGTATTCTGTAATGTAATAATTTTTTAAAATAAATATTTTGTCGAATGAATATCCAACATATACTTCTTAAGTAGTAGCAGTTTTCCGATTAAAAACTTTGAAATAAAAAAATGATTGAAATGAAAACTTACAGTAATTATTTCATCTAGGCAAATACAAAAGATAAGTTTCTTCTCTTTTCCTATCTTGCTTATCGTAGAGATTTAGACATTGTTGAATATGGTCCAATACACAACAAATAGATATATACACATATATATCTTCTCTCACTCTCAGTTTCAGCAAATGATCCATCCATCCAAATCACTACGAATTTATTCATCAGCCACCCGCGGGTCGACCCAACGACCATGTTCTTTGATCACCGATCAGAGCATCCGTTGCCTCCGTCATGGCAATCCCACGCTTCACCACCGTCTGTCCACAAATTTGAAACCAAACTCTTTTCAACCATATGAACATAAACTACAGATTCAGTTCACAAGATCAAGAAACTCAAGTTTAAAGGTGTCACCTTTCCAACGTAAAGGTCGATTTTTCCGGGAGAACCGCCTACATAACCGAAATCAGCATCTGCCATTTCTCCTGGTCCATTTACAATGCAGCCCATGATTGCAATCTGCGCCATTATTCAAACCATTCATTCCAAAACATTCCCAAAAACAGAAAACTTTCCTTGAAAAAAAGAAAAGAAAAGGGTTTGGATTTTTTCTTAACCGAAACGCCAGGCACATGTGAAGTCTTTTCTCGAATCTCGGCGCTGATTTCTTGCAAGTCGAACAGCGTATCCACTGTGCCTGATGATTCTGTATGATGTTCACAAAACATGAAGAATCCGTATTAAGTAACAGTTATGAAGACTTGAATAGACTTGAATGAACAGTGCTATTGTCTTGATGAACCGTCCAATTAGAACAATATAGATGTGGTAGAAGATATCTCAAATGTTTAGAACTGTTTCTTAAATGAGAACTTATGAGAATTTTTTAGAACTATTCTTCATTTTCTTTGCAATTTTTTTCTTTCTTTTTTAATGTTAAAATACTCTTACTAGATATCTCAATGAAAATGGTCTTGGAGCCGTTTTTCTTATCAAACAACAATGCACCATCATTTAATTTGTTTAATCATTTAATATTTAAAGTTTAATGATATTGTTAAATTATATTAATTTAATATATTGAGATATCCAATTTAAGATAGAGTTGCTCTTATCATCACCAAATTTAGATGTAGTAATTGTTAACTCTATTTTGAGGAGATTTATTTTATTTGAATGCTAACATTAACCATAAATTACTTTGACTATCTTAAGATAAAAGATTTACTATCTTTTTTTGGCCAAAAAAAAAACTAACCCAAAAAAACTTACTATCTTTAAAACTAGTTTTTTTCATATAAAACCCAAAAATTGATCTAAATTTCTCCAAACACAAATTTCAAGTTGAATATCTTTGCATTACAAAGAAAACAAACTGAAAAAAATGGCGTCTTCAAGATTTCAACTTGTTGCCATTCTCGTCATCTTCTCTCTCGTTATTACTACCCAATCTGCAGGTGTATAATCGTTTCCGTTCATCTTAATTATAGGCTTAAGTTAATAGATATTTATTTTTTGTTTATGCTAAACGTTTTTAAACAAAATGTTATATTATCAATAACAACATGCATTTGAATATGAACGGTAGCCTATATAGCGAACGACAATATACTATAAACCAATAATCCTAATATCAATCTCTTGAATTTGATTGACAAAAAAAGGAACACAAGATGAAGTAAGGGACGGACCGTGCCGCTTGAGAGGAACGTGCAAAACCGACAGTGACTGCGACACACATTGCCACAGGAGCACCGACCCAGTGGCCATGGACGGCCACTGCCTCTTCGACAGACCCACCGGTCCCGTTTGCTGCTGCCTCTTTGATTAATCCGATCCTTTTTATTCTTCACGCGCGTCTCTCATCATGTAATTTCAAGTTACTGAAATGATGTAAACATAATTAAAAAAATGTTTACGTCGCGAGTATGTGAAGAATAAAGTAAGAGATCTTGTGTTTCCTATGATTTAATTTCTTGTTTACCATATAAACACTTTGAACGTCATGAGAGCGTATTGATTGTACGAGAATGGATATTTGTGAACAAATAAATATATAATAATTTTGAAAAGATTGATCCAAAGTTTTATGTTTCTGTTTTTTACTCACAGATATCAGCAAAACTAATGTAAACTACTAGGGATACGTTTTAAATAAACATTTTATCGAATAAAAATATACAACATACTTCTAAAGTAGTAGCAGTTTTCCGATTAAACACTTTGAAATAAAAAAATGATGGAAATTAAAATTTACAGTAATTATTTCATCTAGGTAAATAGAAAAGATAAGTTTAAGTTTCTTCTCTTTTCCTATCTTGCTTATCAATTTAGAGATTTAGACATTGTTGAATATGGTGGTGCAATACACAACAAATAGATATATACACATATATATATATCTTCTCTCACTCTCACTTTCAGCAAATGATCCATCTATCCATCCATCTCCGCCGTTGAAATCACTACGAATCTATTCATCAGCCACCGGCGGGTCGACCCAACGACCATGTTCTTTTATCAGACCGATCAGAGCATCCGTTGCCTCCGTCATGGCAATCCCACGCTTCACCACCGTCTGTCCACAAATTTAAAACCCCAATTCTTATTCACCCATATGAACATAAACGACACATTCACTTACACAAGATCAAGAAGCTTAAGATTAAAGGTGTCACCTTTCCAACGTAAAGGTCGATTTTTCCGGGAGAACCGCCTACATAACCGAAATCAGCATCTGCCATTTCTCCTGGTCCATTTACAATGCAACCCATGATTGCAATCTGCGCCATTATTCAAACACATTCATTCGAAACAATCCCAAAAATCAGAAAACTTTCCTTGATAACAAAACAAAAAAAAAGGGTTTGGCTTTTCTCTTAACCGAAACGCCAGGCAAATGCGAAGTCTTTTCTCGGATCTCGGCGCTTATTTCTTGCAAGTCGAACAGCGTTCTTCCACAAGATGGGCACGACACGTATTCCTGCAGACAAAACAATTTCACAAGCTATTGCCTTTCTCTGAGGAAGGATTTGAGAAAAAATATACAGAAACAGAGATTCTTTGTGCTAATACCGTCTTGGTGTTACGCATTCTGCAGCCTTGCAATAAGTTGAAGGAAGTATTTCTAAGGAAATCGAAATCTTGATCAGGTGCTTCTAGCATTACACCATCTCCGAGTCCATCCACAAGAAGTGCCCCAGCGTAAGTCCCTGCGTGAATCACCAATTCGTCCCTGCATTGTGCGCAAGAACAAATAAAACCATAATACGATCAAATATGATTTTCCACTCACTGCACAAAGCTTTGAATGTTTAAGGTTTCAGTGGCTATCTACCTGTGAATTCCGGTTGGGAACTTAATGTGGTGAATAACAGGAAAGTTGACTGAATTCTCAGATAGGAACTCGAATAGTCTACAAATCCAGAAGAAAAAAGAACATCCCTTAGCTGATTAAGGTTATAACTTTTAACACAGGAAAAGATTAGTTAGCGAGAAATTTCCGATTATTACCTCCTAGCTGCGTGTACTCTGCTGACTTTGTCTTCATCGAAGGGTACATCATGAAGAATCATAGTAGCATCGATGTTCTTGAGTACTTCAAGCTCCTCGTATGGCTCATCGCCTCTAACAGAGACAACCAAGCGTGTACCTGAAATAACCAAAGCTAAGAACAACCGAGAAAAGGCAGTTTCTCTATTGTGAGTTTTGTTTCAGAAAGTTTCGACTCACCTTCAGGGAGAAGCTTGTAAGCACCACCAGATAGTTCCTTGAGGTTGACAAGAACCATTGCATTGGGTAATGGCTTTGTGAGTTGCTCTGATAAAGGTGCTATAACTCCCATACTGACATCGATCAATCGTTTAAGAGCCAAACGCTGTAAAAATGTTTATATTCATCAGCCATGTCAAATCCTTAGAGAAAATGATATGGAGAAGAGTAGAATGATGATTCTTACAGCAACTTGATCATCTACAGGAGGTAGCTCTCTCAATAAGATTGAATCCACTGTTGCCAGATCCTACAAAAGCATTACTCACTCGATAAGTAAGAATCGTTAACCAATCATGATGAGACTACGTCTCTAATGAAAACAAAATGACCCATATCCCACCTTGAATGGCATTCCCACGATAAGCTTTGTAGCGAGCGATCTGTAGAGGAGTTCAGGTGCCTAGAGAGAAAGCGACATAATGAAAGGAAAGACAATTGATCCGTTCTACATTTTGCGTTAATATAGAAGAAGAAGAGTATTTATAAATGCTCACCTTTAGTTGATCTAGAGAAATCGACATTAGAACAGAACCATCACGGTGAAGGACGTTTCTGTAATCCACCTCTTCTCCCTATAGTTTTCCAAGACGAATCATTTCAGTTTCTTTTGATACTTGACAACGAAGAAACCCTTTTTTGTACAGAAAGTCTTACCTCTTTTTGTACAGGTAAATCACCAGTCCTACGCTGAAAATCAAAGTAATGCCTATGCTTTTCTTCAAACGGTGCCTAAATACAAAGCATTGTATTAGTCTCGTAAAGTGGAAACTAAAGTTAAAGAAGCATCTGAATAGGAATCATTCATACAACGCCTTGTTGAAGTTCAGCAGCTTTTGTCCCGAGCTTGGCCAATCGCCTACACGGATCTATCTCCTCTTCTGGTGGCTCAGTCAGCGAAACTCTTATTGTGTCACCTAGTCCGTCCTGTGATTACAACAATCATCGCGTCAATATAAGTTATCAAAGGAAAGATCTTTATACTACATATGTTATGTAACGAGGTTACCTGAAGAAGTGTCCCGATTCCAATTGCAGATTTCATCCGTCCATCTTCGCCTTCTCCTGCCTCCGTGACTCCCAAATGCAGAGGATAATCCCATCCGTGAACATACATCTCAGCCACTAGCAAACGGTACGCCTGGACCATGATCACCGGGTTGCTCGCTTTCATCGAGAAGACAAAGTTGTGATAGTCTAGTTTCCGACATATCCGTGCAAACTCGAACGCAGATTCAACCTGAGTCACAAAACTTAAAATCAGACAAACAGTACATATGTAAGAAGAGATACTTTTTCAAAGGCTTTCAAGAGTTTTCACCATTCCTCGTGGAGAATCCCCGTAATAGCTCATGATACGGTCAGAGAGACTTCCATGATTTGTCCCTATACGCATCGCTCTCCCGTACTTTTTGCATTTCTCAACCAGAGGAGTGAAGACCTAAGCAAAAAAGGGTTTAGACCGATTCATACTTAACAGTGAAGCAAATGCTTTCTTCTACCTGCTCGATATGTTGAAGTTCTTTCTGGTACTCATCTTCTGTATAATCTATAGTCTCAAACTGAGCTCGTCTGTCCGCTGCAAAGGCAATAAAACCATTCATGCTCGAGTTAAAGAAACAAACGTACAAATGAGAGAGATAAGAAGAAAAAAAACGTACCAAAATTTCCGGGGTTGACACGGATCTTGTCAAAGCATTCAGCTACTCGCAAGGCTACAGAAGGAGCAAAATGAATATCCGCCACTAGAGGTATATTGTAGCTGTAACACACACAGTAAAACAACAGCAAATCAGTTTCATACTACTCAAACAACCACATCACAACAACACATTGGCAGAATCCTTGGTACGGCCATCGACTTACTTAAGCTGAACAAGTTTATCTTTGATTTCAAAGCATGCGTCTGCCTCTTTCTTCCCTTGAACAGTTATCCTAACGATATCCGCTCCTCTATCCGCTATTCTCATCACCTACAATCACAAGAACGTCTCTATAACGTCAATGTGACATTCATAGGCTGAAAAATGCAACACAATTCAAAGCATCTGACACCAAAATTTCATATATTGATGCATTATACACAATGCTATAAGGATCACATATCTCGGGAAATCAAAGCAATATGCAAACATATTTTAAGGACAGATGCAAAAACCTCTTCAACAGTTCCAGCAATATCCTTTGTATCGGATGTAGTCATCGTTTGAATCCTTATCGGATGTTCGCTTCCAAGTGCGACATTGCCAACCATAACGGTACGAGTCTTCCTTCTCACCGTCTTATGCAATGACTCACAATATTTCTGTCTTGGCACTACAAAACCAATATAACATACAATCGCTCACTCTAAACAAAAACTTGAAAAAAAAAGCTAAGAACATGATAATCTGAAAGAATCTCTTATGCATACCTAAGAGAGGGCTTCCTTCTGAGGCAGGTTGAAGCTCGGCTAAATCGGAGCCTTGATTCGAATTCCGGACAACGGAAACTCTCCTTCTAGCAGATCTTAGACTTGTCAAATCACAAATCCTCACAAAATTCATGCTTTTACAAAACCCGAGTTTCGAGTCCGGGCTCTTGACCCCGGAGAACGGAGCTGGCAATACTCCTGTCGCCATTTCCTCACTGAATCAAAGCAACTGCATAGTCACAGAGCAGAATTAGCTGATTCTGATTCTGAATCCAGTTTGGTTACAAGGAAGATCATGGAAAATTGAAATAAAAACCAAAACTTTTTTTTGCTTCATTTCTGATTCTGAAGCAGAAATTAACAGATAAAACAGAAATCCCCCAGAACTACCCCAACTAAATGATCTTCGTTCCCCGATGAAATTACACATAATTATCATACAAGAACAACACTTTCCTTCGTTTACTCGACACCCGACAAACTAATTCAACCAAACTGAGAAAACCCTTCTAAGGCATGAAAACAGTACCTGAAGGCGAGCCAAGAACACGCAATTGAGAAACCACTGTTGAAGCCAAGGAATCAAAAATAGAGAAGAGAATGTTCCAGAGGAAGAAGAAATTAGTGGTGAGAAGAGTTTGAGAGGGATTGATTTTTCACTTGGGGGGAGTCAAAGAAACTGAGGATAAACGTTTTTTAGAGTTTAGAAAACAGCCAATAACCATATGACATTTTAGATTTTACAGTCCAATTTTTAGAAGAAGAAGAGGAAAAAAAGAGCACGGAGACGTGGAATTTGAAAATTGTGGCCCTGCATTTATCTCCTCTTTAACTTTTTAGCCTATAACTTAAAATATCGACAAGAATTTCCTTTTAAATTAAACTTCTTTCATTGACACTTTTGGCTTAAATTAATGAAAGAAACAAGGGATGGAATCTGAAAATATCAAGAAATAATTTCTAAAAGATTTACTAACTATTTTAGGAGATTTCTAAAAAAAAATTACATGAATTTTAGTAATACCATCTCATATCTTCGATTTTTTTTTTTCCAATAGGATCAATAGTAGATTCAAATGAAAACTACACATACATGCCACGGAAAATTGGAGGTAACATATACGCTCAAAAAGTCAAAATACAATCTTCTACACATACATAACTGATATCTTAGACCAATACCAAAAATCGAGTAAGAACCAAAGCAAAACCTCAAGTTCTTCTTAGAAGCCATATCAGAGAGTAAAAGCAGTTTTCTTCTATCAACGGTCTTCTTCTTCCTCCAGCAAATACTTCTCAAGAATCGCTATAGTTGCTTGCTTCGCGCTGAATTTAACCACCAAAAATAACAGCTTTAGCTCAAGAACTTCACAAAGTATCAAACTTTACCGCATTGATTGATCTGATCAACAAAATCTCAACTTCATACCTTCCAGGTCTAATGATCTTATACTTTCCGACTTTAGTAAGATCGACTATTGTTGATCCTGCACGACCCGATGGAAGCAAACCACCATCATAGACATAAGCACAATGCTGCCAAAGATTCTCGAAATCATTTACGCAGACGCTGCTCCTATCACCGCTTAGATTAGCACTCGTAAGAGCCAGCACACTGCCTGAACCTCTCGACACTTCCCTAATGAATTCACAGTCTGGAACTCTTACGCCAATAGTATCGATCCCCGGGTTTAAGGACTTTTCAAGAATGCTTGATTCACCTGTTTAAACACTACAAGAACACTTCTCACATAAAGAATGATCATACCGATGCAACCACATCAAGAAGGAGATGCTAACCTCGTTGGAGGACGAGAGTGACTGGACCGGGCAAGAGCGAGTCGAGCAAACCGTGAGGTAAGTGGTTTGTGGTAGCAACTCTCTTGATATCTAACACATCGCCAACGCAGATAGCTAAAGGGCTTGTAAGCTTCCGGCCTTTGATCTCATATATCCGGTTAACCGCTTCTGAAGAACTGTTAATGTTCATATAATTCCCAATTTAGTTTGGTAAATGTAAAGCTTATTCAGCTAATTAGTGAAAGGGTTTTATAATGTTACCAAGCGTCACAGGCGAATCCGTAAAGCGTATCGGTTGGTACAGCGATAACTTTCTCGGATTTGATAGCTTCGATAGCTTCTTGTGCATAGGCTTCAGTTGCGGGATGAACAATGCATAAGTTGCTCACTACACAGAGTTCTGCTCTCTGCAAACTCCAGACCATCTTCTTCTGCAGTCCCCATCTCAATCTTTTACTGTGGTTAGCAATCGAAAAGGATCTTAACTCGTGGACTCCTACTACACAAGAGAATTGATGAATACTCATTAGCTTTTGATCTTCAACTAAAAAGCAACCAAAAGGCATAATACAGACAATGTGAAATAGAAATTGGAACAAGCTACAAGACCTAACAACAGAACCGAAACCTAGGAAAGATGATGATGGTGAACACGAAAGTTTCCTTCGTCTCTTAGAGACAAAGAGCAGAAATTCAACTACATACAACAAACGCAGAGAACCCCAAAAACATAATTTTTCCTTCGATTCCTTATTCGTTTCCATCCAATCTCATCAGAAAACAAAACAAACAATCAATACCCAAAACCAGGAGGAGGTCACAGGACGAAAAACCAAGCGCAAAACAAATAAAACAGATTGAAAAAAGCAACCTTTACGCAGGAGAGGAGAAGACGGCACCGGTAAGATTCCGGGAAGTTTCTCAGCGAGCCTCGTGGAGAAGTTCATCGCTGTAATTTTTCACTTCGACGTTCACCGTTGTCGAGAAGAAGGGCAAAGACTATGCCTAAGTCCAGGAACAGAGGAAGAAGAGTCTTTCCTCCGTTTTGCCACGTGATTGTCACGTGAACCCAATTATGGGTTTATATACTATAGACTATTTTGCTAATTTACAAAAGTGTATACTTAATCTGATATAACATTTAAGCATAGCTACCAAATTTATTATACATGAAAAGTTAACCAATACTACTACAAACAATTTCATTTGCAGAGATTGAGGAATCAAAAGTTACAAACTCACAAGTTACAACAATACAAAGAAGCAAGACCAACAAAAGAACAATCTTAAGCATTCCTTCATCACTCTCGCTTTTTCTTTTGTACAACAAATCTTCACATAACATTAACCAACAACTACTTTATAACTGTAAAAATGATCTTCCGCTTCCTGGCTCTATGAGGCATTTGGATGATGCTGAGAGGTTGTTGCATCCAGCGGTTGCGGTGGCTGCAGCGTCTGAGCATGGTTCAGCTGCTGCTCGAGCCTTCTTGCTCGCCATCTTCGTTTCCATCTCACAAACTCAACCATCACTGAACTTCCGCATATGCAGACTCCAAATCCAGCAAATGTTGACAGAAGAACCGACAGAACTGGTTGCAACTGAACCTGTTACAACCAAGAGATTAGATTTCAACAACAACAACAGAAGTTTGCAAGTCCTTCAGCTTTGCCTCACACAACGTTTAAAGAATGAAGAGTACTAACCACAGAGTAAAATATATGGGCGAAGAGAACCACCAAAGCAAACTGGACAGATGCGTAAATCCAGACAAATCTTCTCATTACTGAACAAAAATGTAATGGCTAGTGGAATCAGAAGTGGAGAAGTGTACTGTGTACATTGAAAAGAGCTATTTTTCTACCAAAAGAAGACATACCCATTGTTGATGCGGTCATGGATGCAAGAAGACCAAGAATACAAGAAAACGGCAGTGATATTGCGATTGCACCTGTACCCATTTTCTCAACCTGCAAATGAAGTCTGTCTGAGTATTTCTGTATAGTGCATGTCTATATCCGGATGCTTGTTGATGTTAAGGTTGATTATAAAGAGTAGAGATGAATTACCAGGAGCTGCTCGAGGAAGCAGAAGTAAGCGAGCATGCTGATGATCACTAGAACCGGGACCTCCTGCCAAACCCTGTAGAGATATAACGCAAGAGTTTGAATACTTTGCAGAACATTTGTACGAGAATGAGATATATATGAGTGTTTTTACCTGTAACCAGTGACATCTAGCTGAGGAACACCAGAATTTCGCATGCTTTGTATCCGTAGGAGTGTTACAGGCAAGTTTTTAACTTCTTGCTTGCAAACCTCACAGGTCTTGTTACCCTTTATGGTGAACCATTTAAGAGCACAGTCTTTGTGGGCAAGAGCAAGTTCACCTTTGCAACTACACTCCATTTTTAAGGTTTCCCCTCCTTCACAGAGCTCTACCAAACAAATCCTACAAACTGCTTCATCCTCAGGTATGTCTTCTCCATCAGCATCACCTGTCTCTGTTGGATACATTAAGATAGAATTGTACTGAGTAAACAAATATCTATGAAAAAAAAGAAACCATATAACCGATTGAAACATGAGCCTACCAGTATTACCAGCCTCTGATGTATTTGGGAAAATGTCTCCTTCCTTTACTCGAGGAGTCGAAGGAACTACTCTGAAGAACGAATCCATTCCCTTAAGGCTTGCTTCCTTGTCATTAACAGGCACAGAGCGAGAGCGAGCTATCTTCACCCTCCCTTTGCTCTGCAATACCAAGTATAAGTACCTAAACGACCGTAAGAAAAGGATACAAGAGAAAGCTTACTTACACTTGGAGTTTGAGGAGCAGCAATGCTTCCTCCGTGAGCTGACTCTGAGCTTGAAAGAATAACGGGAGTCACAGGTAGAGATGAAGTTCTCTTGATCCTAGGCGTAAACAGCTTTGAAAGTGATAGTGACCTCGAAATCGAAGCCTTCTCCTGCAATGCAGGAGGAGAGCATACATCCCCTTGTCCCTTCTCGATATCGGTATTAGAGGTTTTTGGTTTGAAACCAACTTTTGGGATTAGATTCTTCAGGGATGATTTGCCCCGCGGAGGAACAGCAGCAGCAGAAGAAGAAGAAGAAGTAGTAGGAGCATGACCAGGAGAACTCGAAGTCAAAGCAAAGTTTACTCTTCTTGGAGTTGGACTAGGCGTTGGAGCTATTTTGATTACAACCGAATCTTCAGGAGAGAGACCAGCTTCTCTGGAGGGTATCTGCAAAGATAGGTTCTTTCGCCTCCATTGTTGAACATTTCCAGAAGTCTCTTCTGTTATAGCAGAGGATCCTTCGGCCTTCTTATCAAGAACAAAAACCATGGTAACAAAAGAGTTCTATGAGAGCTTAAACAATAGTCCTGCATTACGCCTAACTAGTAACTAGACCACCTTATCAACAACAAGACAATTCCTCAAGAGAAGTGTTCCCTCGGCTGAAACTAACAACAGTAATCAGATATTCAGGTTCCTAGCACAATTTGACTAGCTCCAAAACTCTAGGGAACCTGAATATCAGAAAATTCATGTTTGATAAAACAGAGGATCCTTCTGGAAATCTTCAAATTCCTCTACTTACCAAGCAATTTTTTTGGCAAGTAGTTACCACAAAAAGCTCACATCTTTTCAATTCAATTCAAGAACCACAACTCCTCTTACAGACATATCTAATTCACCTTACATATAATTCATTCAAAGATTAAAAAAAAATAAGATACTTGCATATGCTCGATGAGTATGTGTTTGTATATGTACCTGACTTGAAGCAGGGGAAGAATCACCATGGCTTGAATCAATAGGATTGAGAGGCTTCTCCTCGGTACCCATCACTACAAAAAAACAGCGAGAGATTGATTTCAGGCACACAAAATTCAAATAGTCTCCACCAAGAGCAGAAGTAAGAGGAAGAGAGAAAACGATGCCAAACCTTAACAATAGAAAGAAAAAAATGGAGACTTTTATTAGAAGGCCAGACAAAAACTCAGAATAATCATATACTCGTCACAAGCTTATCAGCTAGAGAAAAGCGTGACACAGTAGCAAGAACTAACTAGAGACAAAACCCACAACTACAAGAAACACAGAAATTAAAGAAACGTTCCCCAAAAGAGAAAAATACAAAATTTCCTGAAAACCCGCCCAAAAGGAAGAAACTTTGAAACGCAAGGACCAAGAGGGAAGGTGAGAGAGAGAGAAAGAGAGAGGTGTTTCTTTATCTCCTCGAGATTAGTGCTTATGATGATGATGAAGATAGTGGAGTTGGGCTGTAAATGAGGAAGAAGAATGAGATAAAAGGAATGGAAGAGGAGAGAGAAACTCAGAAAAGCATGATTCTCATTATGGAGAGAGAATGGGCCTACCTCTCTCTCTCTCTCTCTCTCTGCTGTTTCTCAAACATTTGCCCACTTCTTAATTCTCATTTTCATCATTTTCTTGCCTAAAAGGCTAAAAGCATTACGAGTTTTTATTTGTTTTGTTCTTTTGCCATTTGATGTAATTTTTTCAAACTGTTTTCTGGATAGGTCACAAGTGTTGGGCTTATAAATTTCATTAAATGTGATCCTATAGCATCTACCTATGTGAAAAAAAACCATGGTTAAAGCAATCAGGCTTCAAATATTTGAGATGCTGTAAGATACTAACAATTGTATGTTTAGTGTAGTTAATGCAATTCACTAACTTGTCCTGATAATTTATACTTATAATACTATACAATATTTTGGAAAAGAAAACTATTCGGTGTGTGTGATGCGGTGTTATTTTGATGCGGCGCGGCCCAATTCGATAAGACGAACGAGATTTGGTAATACACATTTTGTGTGTAAGTATGACATGTGTACTATTTATAGTGTGGCTTTTCTTCTTTTCTTTCTTATTTCAATTAAATCTCTTTTTGATCTTGCTTTTGGTATCACCCAAGTTTGATGTAACACCTGCATTTGTATTAGTCATAGAACCGTGTAAAGGTTTCATAAAAGATATTAGTTTTGACTAAATTTTTTGTTTCCGGTAACAGGTTGAGATGTATTTAAAAGACATATTAGATTAGAATTAACATAGTTTTGAAGTTGTTCGACGAGACAACTAATTAGGCGGATTAACCAAATTCCTTGGTTTATTAGATATGAAGTAATTTTTAGTGATATTCTATGCTCTAGAAAACCTAATTATTTCTGTAACTGCTTACCATATTTTGCATTACAGTGAGGTCGTGATATATTTTTCTACTAGATTCCAATTTCACAGTTCACACACAGTCCTACTATTCTTTCTCAATATGTTTCCTTTGTTTGGTGTTAACTGTTAAATTATGTGTTTTGCTCAAGGTTTATTAAATTTTTTTTTTTTGAAAAAAATATTAAATTATATTCAAACAAAAAAAAAACATTTTTACATCAGGAGCAGCTTTAGTTTAGAAAGATCAAAAGAGACAGAGAATTTTAATATACGTTTTTACATCAGGTTTATTAAAAATTACGTAAGCATGAAGTGAAAATTTTCAAGCTCAGTGTCTAGTATATGAATTAAGTTTACAAAGATTAAAAAGAATGTATAACATCACATGGCTATATATTATTAGATAAATTCTGGCAATATTCATAAGTATTATTGAATGTAAGATCTTATTATATTAAAAAAAAAAAAAAATTGCTAGTGATCCATTAGGACGTTAATCAAATTTTGAGAATGCTTGTTTGGTGTTAAGTACTGGAAGGCCGGAGTTTTCATACATCACGATCATGATTCATGAGTGAAGTTTGTGCTTCGTTAGGTGGCGCAAATAATACGTTATCTCATTAAAAATATTCTTCTATACGACAACTATATAAATGATAATATATTATGTGATTTGACATTTCTGTTTTATTTTTTGTTTTCAATAATTTACGTTAATATGCTCCAAGTAACCACCTTCCGTAAGTCCCTTTTAAAAATTTTAGTGACAAATTTATTTTTGACAATTATCTTTAAATATATATGCCAACAGAAAAATTGTCGTCCATTTTAATCGTTTAGTATATGATGGAATATACATTTCGACCAACTCCAATAGAGAATTTGGGTGTAAAAGTTTTTAATAACAAAAATAATCTAAAATAAAATACTGAGTATCTAAAATAAAATACTTTTTTGAGTTAAGACACTTAGTATCTAAAATAAAATAATAAAATATTTTTAAAACTTTTTTAATATCTTTTTAATAGTTCTTCATTGGAATTGGTCTAAAAAATACATTTCGATATGCAGTGCCCCCAAACAAACTGAGTTGGCTATACATTTAATTTGTTCCGCTTATTTTTTGGTGACGCTGTATATAATAATTTGTTTGAACATAATCGGTTTCGAGTATATAATAATTTTTGGTAATAAATAACTATAAATATGATCAAAAAATATAGTTGGATGGTTTGTGTGAGTGTTGTTGTTACTGTCTCACAATATAATTTAAATCAAGAAAAGAAAAGATAACCACAAGCATACGCATATGTAACCTAAAAATGTTAGTCATGTATTTTGCGTGTTTCTACAAATTAACATTTTGTAGTTGCTGATTTTTCAATGCAGGATAAAGTTGATATTATATTTGAATTCGGCTTTGGAATGATGCCCACAATTAAAGTGACTTTATTTTACATATTTTGCTTCTCACGAAGAAGAATCTCTGCTTTTTACAACAGTGTAGAGTAATCACTTAAAACTTGTATTCAAAATCAGCCAATCTTCGCTGGAGGTGTTTGCTTGAAGATTCTATACAGTCTTTTTATGTTTTTTTTATTGAAGATTGTGTCTCTTTATTTGTATAAAAATCATCTCACACATTCACTTTTATTTTGTTTAATAAATTATGTATGGTCAACAAAATTGTATTCTATTTTTTTCAAAAACAAATTATATGCTACGTGCAAAAGTACCACATATCAAAAACATGAAAGATGGAAGTCGTTATACATTCATTGGTTGAAAAATACTAACTAGTTAAATCCAGGAGTATGGTTTTGCTAGATATATAGAAAGGATCTTTAAAATTTATTGAACTAGCACTTCAATATATCTTTTGAACCTTATACAGTTATACGTATGGTGGTATCATACTATCATGCATGTATATATGTACGTAGCCAAATACCGTAAGTATAGGGATAAAAAGAAAACCAAAGTCGTAAACAAATAAATTAGAGAGAAATGAAAAAGAAAAAAATCCAAATGGAGTATATATTTGGATTGGGATGTATTTATATCTGAATAGCCAAACCTACCGATTACGTGAAAGTTGCATACAAAAGTGATCCAAACCAAACACCAGAAATGGCCGACACACAAAAGGCTAAAGCATATCGGTAGGCAAGCACTCTCTCTCTCTACACATTTACGTACAACATTATAGGATTATGTTTCTTTTGGGGTAATGATATTGGGATTATGTTTACATGTATGATGTATCACACTGTTGAGGAGAACGAATCAACTAGGAGATCCCTTAGAATATTTTTATTTAGAATAATTAGACTTAAATAAACGTGCATTACAGTGACCTTAGTGGGTTTTTTCTCCATACAACCATAAAATGTTGTCTTTTTCTTTTGGAAAATCTTAAATATACATACTTGAAGATTATAACGTTTGACAAAGTTTCACTGGACACTATCGTTAGCGTTAGCATTTTAGTTCTTATTTAGGAACAAATCCATGGAAATTCAACAGACTACCACCAGAAATTTCCATGACACTACATAAGATCCACCCATATCATATACGTAAACTCATGTGCTGTATTAATTACTAGTGTGTACAAACTCGTTCACGTGTTAACTTTCTCACGCATGCAAAAAGCATAACTGAAATTGAAAATACTAGGTTCCTTTGTGAACACATGACCACATTGGAAAATTGCAAATACAAGGCATGTATGTGTTACAAAAATCAAATTCATTAGATCCGACACGTCAGTATATAGCTTATCTTTTTGGGATTACTGCGAAGTTGGGTCATAAAAATGATAGGTTACATATACGATCTAGTCTACTCATACAGTCAGTACTTGTCTCTTGTACTTTTGAAGAAGACCTGTCAACAGACAAGTTTTAGATGTATCATCATGTATGATGTATGCATCTTAATTATGTATAAAAATCTCAAAATGATACCTTTTAGGCTTTTATCATGATAAACCCTAAGTATAGACTGTAGATGTTTAAGATCCTAAGTCCATAAGGCTGATAATAATATGCAATCCGCGAAGCCCGTTTTTATTCTATTTTAAATGGGCTAAACCTATGAATCATGAAGCTCATCACTTGCAAGTGTACTGGTTCACTTCAGAGGAAGTTCATATGTTTTCTTTTGTCGCTAACAGTTTTCACAAAGTAGATATCCCAATGAAAATTTTCGACCGACGCCAGGATTCGACACGTGTACTGATGTCTGCAAACAAAATAAAGGATCACATGAACACCTTTTCACTCGCTGAAAATGTTAGTGTACGTAATTGATAGGGTGGGCGCGGATCGGATATCCGATAATTTTTTAGTATTTATGGTTTGCTCTGTTTTTAACGGATATTTAATTTTATGATTTGATTTGCTCCGGAAATATACGGATATCTAGATTTTCGGATATCCGAAAATTTTACAAGTATTTGCGGATATTTATGAATATTTAGTTTGATTTGTTTAATATACACAAAACTGAAAGTACATCAATTTTTATTATAAAAAAAATATATTTTTCATCTAAACTATTAAGTGAAAATAACTAAAAGAAAATATTTTATTTTATAAAAAAATCTATAAAAAATAAACTTACAAAATTAAGATGAGAAAAATGATATTTTATATTTAAAAATAATATTAGCTATTTGAAACTTTAATATTAAACTTTACTAAAAAACTTTTGTTGATATTTATTTACTAATATAAAATAAAATATTATTTATTAACATATTTTAAGTTTAAACATATTATTTATTTTTTATAATTGGTTATTTAGTCATTTATTTTATATAATCAAAAGAACAATTGAAAATTTAGGAAAAAAATTGAAAATATATTAATAAAAATTTATAATATAATTGATATATACATGATAATATATAATAAATTTATAAAGATACGGATCGGATCAGATATCCGGTGTTATCTAAAAACATATTTGTGATTTGCTCCGTTTTGTACGGATATTATATTTTGCTATTTGCTTTGCTCCGAAGCTTTACAGATATCCGAATTTTTCAAATTGGATCAAAGCAAATATCGGTTCGAAGCGGATATAACGGATATTTTACCCACCCAAGTGAAACAGATACCTAAAACTGTTTGTAAAAAAAAATCGTGACTACATTACATTTTCAAAATAAAAGTGGATTCGTAAAATCGTTATTCGTCGTCTCCCCTCTTCTTCACTAAAGCCAACCTTCGATATTGCTTTCACTTCTTCCATATGAAAAGACTTAACACAATGCAAATTACATGTTTATACTATTCACAACAATCCAATTTTGAAGAGGAATGAATTTTCTCTTTTTCCATTTTACCAACAAATAAAATTACAAAAAGAAACAGAACAGACACAAAAGCATGGTAATCCCAAACAAGAAGAAAGAGCAACAAAACTAGAAAAAAAAAAACTAAAGACATGTCAAGAGAGAAGAAGAACAAGAACGAAACCAGAGACAAGATTTGATGTAATAAAAAAAGAAAAACCGAACTTCAAAGGTGAAGAAAACAGAGATTTTGGTTTCTTCTTTTCTTTAACAACCCATCACTGCGCAGTTATACACAAACACACCAACATTCTCCTTAACTCCAAGCACTTTCCAATCCAAGTTCCCATCTTTAGCTCCCGATTTCGGACACCAAGAATTCACAACAATGCCCTCTCCATTAGCTCCTCTCTGCCCACAAAACACCAACAACTGGTCACCGCACGGTTTAAACGCCAGTCCCCAACCGTTCGACGAGTCCACCATCGGAGGCAGCCTCCCCATCACTTCCCACTTGTTCTTCCTCTTATCATACTTCTTCACCATATTAGTCAAATACTCCAGCGTGAAGAGCTCGTTGTTCACCACCACAACAAGCGGAGGAGCCTGCGCTGCTCTGTTCACATTCGGATACATCCCTTCTATCTTCCTCCACTTCCTCGTCTCCAGATCAAACTCCTCCCCGCAAGTAACCGATTCATTAGGACTCGACATCCCTCCGATCACATAGAACTTCCCGTCCATGAAAAACCCCGAGCAAAGCCTCCGTGGTGAATGCATGTTCGGAAGCATCTCCCACCTCCCTGAAGAAGAATCGTAAAGCTCAGCAGAGGCTAGTATGTTCCCGTTCATATCTGTCCCTCCGGCGACAATAGCGATCCCTCCGAGGCTTCCCGAGGCGAACAGGCAACGAGGACGATGCATGCCTTCGCATTTGAGCCAGCGGCGAGACCTCACGCTGTATTTCCAGATCGCGAACTGAAGCAGTTCCCTCCCGAAGACAAGAAGCTCGTCGTCCACAGCCAAAGACTCTTTGTCCGCGTGGTTGAAGCACTCGTCGCAGGGCATTTTGGGTAGCACCATCCATTTCTTCTTCATGGGAGAAAACACTAGCCAGCCTCTCGGGTCACAGACCATGAAGACAAGATACTCAACTATACCGAGTTCCTTCCTCAGACCAAACAGAGTCCCACCGTTGATCAAGCTGTTGTACTTCTTGCTTACGCAAGATAACGAAGGATAGTCCGATCTCGGAACCCAAGCTAGACAGTTTAGAGCCACGTCATCGATTAGACCGGGGAGAAGCGAGTCACTTGATGCCAACCTCAGGCGTTGACCATCGTTCTCTCCTACCCTCGAACTCACTATTACAGAAGCTGAAGCAGAAGCAGAGGCTTCTCTGCTCTCAGGAGAATGTTCTTCCGCCGCCATTAATGTTAAAAAAAGACCTATTTCAATACAAAGAATCACCCCAAAACCCAAAAACAAAGAGAAGGAAAAAACAAACAACAAATTTTGTCAAGACTCTTCTTCTTCTTCTTCTTCTTCGAGTATCAAACAACTATTTCTCAATTGAGAAACTCTTGTCCCAGTATACAGAGACAGATTCCGATCGTTGCTCCATCTCTTTATTTGTTCCATCAGATTTCAAACAATCAAAACAATGACAACACACATCCTCCAAAATCTTGTTTTTTTTTACCCAAACCAGTGAGTTCCAGAGTTGGATAATCTTCAGACCAATGCAAAACCCCAATTAATCTGTAGAAATTACCGAAATCATCAGAATCTGGAAAAAACTTTAACCAAACGAAAAAAATAGAAAGAATTTTAAAAATCGTCTCTTTATTCTTCGGATTTAACATGAGATCGATCCTTAAAATCAGAGCTAATCAAACGGACAAAATCCCAATCCCAATATGATTACAAACAAGAGAAAGCAGATCCGAATCAGAGAATTAAAATCCCAAAATCCCATTATAAAAAAGTAAACTGGAATTGAAAAATACGCCCAGATCCGAAAACAATGATCATAAGGATCTCACCAAAGGAGCAGAGAACAAGGAAAATAAGGATTAGCAAAGTCATGCAATAAAACGAAGAAGAGAAGACTAATCCAGTATCCACATGCTTACCCAAAACTTTCAATGGTTGGATTAGATCTCGTTGTATCGGGCTATTCCGGTAACCTCCCGGAAATTATAACCCGTGGAAAATTTCGCCGGCGACCGGCATAGAGTCAAAAGGTAGAGAGAGATTAGAGTGAGAGAGAAACAGAGAGAAACTGAAAACTGGTTTTAGGGGAGAAGGTATGGGTTATAAAGAAGTGAAGCCAAAAAAGAGACAGAACTACAGAAGCTTACGTCATGTTTTTTTTAATTGTAATCCTAAACTTATAGATATTTCTATTTTGACCCCAAAAATATTTAATGTCTAAATTTGTGGATGAAATAAAATAAACGAGTTGAAAAAATTGTCAAATTGTGGAAGTTTCTTGGTGTAACCGTTGATTTCTTTTTCTCTTTCAACAATTCACACATCAGGCGGCGACGAAGACGACATCTTTATTATTATATTTATAAAGCACAAATTAACTGGCAATTGTCCATTTGACACGTGTATTTTTTACATTTTTTTATTTTTATTAATTTAAAATATTTATCAATTTTTATAAAATATGCGTCTAAAATCCTTTTTTCTTTCTCTAGATGGCTATTCTTTAGGTTAAATGATATTAAATTAGTACTTTTAATCTTCAATTAAAAAAAAGGAAAGTGTGATAAATTAAACAACAAAAAGTTTCACGGTTGAGATTTACTCGCTTTCAATCCACGATCTCCACCTCTTTCACATAACTGTTATAAAAAAGTTTTAAAAAAACTGCTTAGAACTAATTAAAATTGGATATACAAAAACTCATAGATCTACAAGGGGACTTCGGGTAAAAGATACCTTGAAGCTAACTTTTCATGGCGAATAGCAGAGTCGACAACGTATGAAAAAATATGTATTCATATTCAGATTCATATGACAACATGTTGTGTCTGGTTTTTCTAAGATTTTGGATTTCTGCTTTAGGTATTTACAGAGAAGTCTCAATGAAAATTCACAGAGAAGTTTGACGTTTGCTTATTCGGCGTTGTACTTTTGGAGCTAATAGCCGGACGTTGTGAAAACAATGCCTATGTAGATGATAGCTTGACTGAGTACGTATTTACTCCGACTTCAAATAATCTAACTTTCCATGAATTTTTAACAATATGACTGTTGAATACAGCAAATGCTCTGTTTTATAACTTTTTCTTAACCGAGCATCTGCAAGGAAACTTTGAGGATTTGGCTGATATAAAGATGAATAATGACTATGAACGAGAGGAGATGACTCGCATGGTTGGTTGTGCTTCGGTTTGCGTTTTCTCACCGTATATCTTGCATGATCCAAGTAACTTAATTTTTCCCCAATCTTCCTTTTCTCTAAGGGTTAGCATTTGGTTTTGAAACTAAAACTAAAAAGTTCAGTTCTAATAAATAAAAAATTCAAGTTAACCTCAGGTTCAGATTGCGTTGTTTCTTTTACAAACAAAGAAACAGAAGAAGCTGTAAACAATAAAGAAATGTAAGAAGAGGATATAGGCGAGGAAGAAGAAAAGAAAAATGATGAAGATTTTTCTTTATATTTTAATTGTTTAGTAAATTTAAAATACAGATGAACACAGTTATATTCGATAATATGTAGTATGTTATTAGAAACTTATGACTTTAGATCTATATTGTTTTAAAAAATAAAATAAAATAGACAATAATAGTATTTGCATATAGATGAATAGAATAACATATCGATAAACTGCATATTGTTGGAATTGCATCTTTATGTAATCGTTTTTCAAATACAAATAGTCATTTTAGCCTGTACGAAGTGCGGGCACAATACTAGTTATTAGTATAAACTATTAAACTTTAAATTTAAAATGTATTATATTATAATCAATGGTTTTAACTTTTATGCTTTATTTTGTTCACATTTATAAGAATTTATGTTATCAAAAGCAATATCTTATCGATAAGACTTAGGAGAAGGTTTGTAGTGATTTTGACTTGAAGTTTTGATAACATATATTATTATATGAATAAAACTGAATATAATTTACTGATAAAAAGATTTAATTTCAAAATAGAATAAAATAATTTATCAGTCAAAATGAATTACATTGTTCCTACCCTCCTACACAACAACACGTACGACCCTGTCCATATCCAGAAGGAGCCAAAGGCAAACACCAAGCTTGTTTCTTTCCACATTTCTGGAGACAATCTTCAGTTTTGTTACAAGATACCAATGGAAGAGTGCTTCCACAAGCTTCCCCCTTAACAAGGATCTCAGGAGTGGATTGTACACGAGTGGATTGTGCACTGTTAACAAGGAGAGAAGCAATGACGAGAAGCGCAACAAATTGAATTTCCGACGACGCCATTTTTTCCGATGACCTTCTACTTTATAGGTTAATATAAAATGTTTTTTTTTGTTATCCACTGCATGAATATTTGAGGGGGTAATGGTTGCTTTTATAGTTAAGATATTTAATATATCTATATAATTGTGTAGTGGCTTTTAAGATTACACAAATAATTGTTAGATTAAGTACATGCATTATACTTTATACTTGGACATGTAAGTTATTACCATTAGATACGTGTACCGGTGTACGTCCATGTACATGCATACATTAGTATATTAACGTTTATACACAGTTACACTTACTAACACAAATAGTTATACATGTATATTATCATTTATAAATGCACTGGTGCACATACAACCAATTACACAAATGGTAGTTGCATTCATAATAATATCATTTAGGCACACATACACTTGTCAACATAAATAGGTAATATCAACAGCTGTAATGTTACCAGATCGACAATCAGTCACATCTCATTTCTCTGACATACTGCATCCGTCAATTTAATTTTGATCAACCAATTTAACAAAATTTACAAAACAAAAAATATATTAATTGATTATACATATATACAAAGTATGTTTAAATAAATCATTTCTCTACTAGAGTCTAGACATCCGCAAATGTTACCTTTAACCTTTGTGTCTTTTGATCCATGGATAAGCAATTGTGTACCAATATGGTTAGGGACTCTACAAGAAATGAATCTTTGTTCATAGAAAAAGATATTCAAAATCAGAATCGTAATTGTTCCAAAACTTATAAACAGTGCACAATAACATGACAATTCTAGTATTAAAGAAAAAGTTAGAAAAAAACAATGACAGCAAGCGAGATCAAACGTGTACGTTTAAGGAGATGCGATTGCCTGATGTTAAACGTGTGCATCTCTATTCTTCAAGCTGTTACATTTTTAAAACGATCAAAAAGCTTTCAAAGTTTTTAGCTAGAATCTGAGATTTCAGAGATCCTATTAGCTTCTTCTTCCTAATCAATCTTTAAGGCAGCTATTTAGCAAAGGATTAGGGCTCTTCATAGGGATTTCTTAAGACACAAGAAAACCATTGATCATTATGCAAATCCCTACCTTGTCGTATGTGGGTATTGTCCCAATATCATATAGTACAAAGCAACTCCCACTGCCCATGTATCCACTGCTCTGTCACTATACGTTATATCTGATACTGATTCTGATCCAAAAACATAAAGATATTCGCTTATTCTCTCTATACACGAATGAGTTAGGACCAAGCTCAAAGAAATTACAAAGGAAGCTAACATAAACAACATTCTGGAGCATTGGTCGACGCAGCTGATCATCATCATCCACTAACAAAAACGAATTCAGATGCTCACACTATCAGGCTACAAGATATCAAGTATTAATGAATATCAATGATTCAAATCTCATCTATTACCTTGAATACTTGGCTGACACTGAAGTCTCCTATCTTCACTGTACCGCTACTAGTAACCAGCAGATTGTCGGGCGTAATGTCCCCGTGGATTACATTCTGTTTTTTTTTTGTTTCCATAGAAAAGTATCAAGACAGTATAAGGTGATGAACCATGAAGCCCGACAATAAAACGAAGAAGAGAAGACTAATCCAATATCCACATGCATATCCCAAAACCTTTAATATAATGGTTGAATTAGATCTCGCTGTACCGAGTTTCCGGTGTCCTCGGAAATTATTACCCGTTGAAAATTTTGCCGGCGACAGGCATGAAGTCAAAAGGTAGAGAGAGAGATTAGAGTGAGAGAAACTGAAAACTGGTTTTAGGGGAGAAGGTATGGGTTATAAATAAGTGAAGCCAAAAAAAGACAGAACTACAGAAGCTTACGTTATGTTTTTTATTCTAATTCTAAACTTGTAGATATTTCTACTTTGACCCCCAAAATATTTGATGTCTAAAACTGTGGATGAAATAAAATAAACGAGTTGAAAAGAATTGTCAAATTGTGGAATTTTCTTGGTGTAACCGTTGATTTCTTTTTCTCTTTCAAGTCTCAACAATTCACACATCAGGCGGCGACAACGACGATATTATTAGTATAAACTATTAGATTTCAATTTAAAAAATGTATAGATAAAAAATTAGATTTTATAATGATTCGAAACCAAATTTAATATATTTAAAAAAATACAATTTTATGAGTATATTATTTTTGTAACAAAGCAAAATAAATTATTTATATCTTATTTTTTATATCTTTTATATCCGATAAATACTTATATGTATGTTTTGTTGTTTTCTTGCATTTATAAAACATGATAAATAATTCTCTTTTTTGATGTAAATTTGTAGATTAAAATTAATGAAATTCAAAGTTTGCATAAATAAAAAACATAGCAATCCAAAATGAACAAACCTAAAGATCATTGTTTCTTATCAACTTAACATTAATTAATATATATAGAGTTTTAAAAGAATTTAAATGATTTAGGGATTTACTTGTGGTCGCATAAATCAATTAGGTTATTCAAAAATATTATTAGGTTAAACAATCAAATTAGAATTAGTTTAGTGAAATAATTATGATTTTTTATTTATTTATGCTAGTTACCTTTTTTAGTAAATTTAATATTTTTATGATATAAACTCGAATTTGGAAATTTAAATTTTTAAAAAATAAAAATTAATTAAAAATTAGATTATATTAATTTGTTAATTTCATTAATAATAATTAAAATAAATTCACATAAAGAGCAAAATGTAATCAACCATCATAACTCTCAATCACAGCCCAACTTGTTTCTCAATTAATAATATGATATTATATTTTTTATATTATCAATGCTATTTTTTTGGTCAAATATTATCAATGCTTTTATGCTTAATTTTGTTCACATTTATGAGAATTTATGTTATCAAGATATCGATAAGACTTAGGAGAAACGAGCCACCTGATCTCAACCTGACGCGATGACCATTTCTTCCTCTCCCTACTCTCAAATTCACTACTACATAAGATGAAGCAGAACCATAGACTTATCTTCTCTCATGAGAATGTTCTTTCTCCGGCCAAAGAAAGATAAGTGTTAAGGATCCATCATCTTTTTCAAGCTCTAGTTATTTCACAAGTTTGATGCAAAGGTTTGTAGTGATTTTGACTTGAGGCTTGATAACATATTATATGAATAACTGAATATATTTTATTGATAAAATATTTGATTTCAATATACAATATAATAATTATTCAGTCAAATTAAATTACATTGTTCCTACCCTCCTACACAACAACACACACGACCTTGTTCATCTCCAGAAGGAGCCAAAGGCATGCACCAAGCTTGTTTGTTTCCACATTTCTCGAGACAATCTTCACTTTTGTTACAAGGTACCAATGGAAGAGTGCTTCCACAAGGTTCCTCCGGATCAAGAAGGATCTCAGGAGTGGATTGTACACTGTTAACGATGACAGAAGCAATGACGAGAAGCGCAACAAATTGAATTTTCGACGACGCCATTTTTCCGATGTTCTTCTACTTTTTTTTTTTTTTTTTTTGTCAACATGTTCTTCTACTTTAATGGTTTGCTTTTATAATTAGATATTCAAGATATCTATATAATTGTGTATTGACTTTTGAGATTACAGAAGTAATTGTTAGATTTTGTACATGCATTAAAATTTAAATTATTACCATTAGATACGTGTACATGCATTCATTAGTATATTTACAAGATAAAGTATAATATATTAATTGATTATACATATATATGGTAAAGTATGTTAAGAAAATCATTTATCTATTAGACGTCCGCGATTTTGTGTCTTTTGATCCATGGATAAGCAATTGTGTAGTCAATATGGTTCGTTAGGGATTCTACAATAAATAAATCTTTGGATGCAAATAGTTGTATATTTAGAGAAAAAAATCTGGGGGAATTACAAATTCCTCTAAATTATACCATTTGAATTGAAAAGAGTCCGAAAAATGTTGAACTCACCACCGAAAAAAGTTGAAAAATGAACAAAAAAAAAAATGTTCAACTCATTCCTCTACTATTTTGGAGAGGAACCCATTCCTTTAAACCATTTGCACCCTTTGTTGACTTAAACAAAAAAGAATCTTTGTTCATAGAAAAAGAATATTCAAAATCAGAGTCGTAATTGTTCCAAAACTTATAAACAATGCACAATAACATGACAATATTATCTAGTATTAAAGAAAAAAAGAAAAAGAAAAAGAATGACAACAAGCGAGATCAAACGTGTACGGTTAAGGAGATGCGATTGCCTGATGTTAAACGTGTGCATCTCTATGCTTCAAGCTGTTACATTTTTAAAACGATCAAAACGCTTTCAAAGTTTTTAGCTAGAATCTGATATTTCAGAGATCCCATTAGCTTCTTCTTCCTGTTCAATCTTTAACGCAGATTTACGTTTGCAGCAACAAAAATGCTCAGGTACATGCCCCTCTTCTCCGGTTACCCATGGATGCTCCGACACATTCTTCAGTGTCATTCTCTCGCTCGGATCTGCAACCAACACGTGAATTACACCATTATTAATCCACTATAGCATTAATTCAGGCTTTAATAGTTTACTAAACCAAAAGTATGGAAAACAAACTCACTTTTGCAAAGGAGACCTTCGATCAAATCTCTTAGAAGAGGATTCAATCCATCCGGGATTATCAAAGGGTTGTTAACAATCTGTTTAAAGATATAAAAAAAACCAGAGGATTAGGGCTCTTCATAGAGATTTCTTGTCTCTCAAGAAAACCACTTATCATTTTGCAAATCCCTACCTTGTCGTATGTGTCTTGAAGAGTATCAGCAAGAAAGGGGTATTGTCCCAATATCATACAGTACAAAGTAACTCCCACGGCCCATGTATCCGCTGCTCTGCCACTATACGTTATACCTGATACTGATTCCGATCCAAAAACATAAAGATATTCGGTTATTCTCTCTATACACGGATGAGTTAGGACCAAGCTCAAAGACATTAGAAAGTAAGCTAACCTAAACAACATTCTGGAGCAGTGAAGACTGGAGTCCCCGGAGATCGACGCAGCTGATCATCATCATCCTGTAACAAAAATGAATTCAGATGCTAACACTCAGGTTACATCAAGTATTAATGAATATCAATGATTCAAATCTCGTTTATTACCTTGAATACTTGGCTGACACTGAAGTCTCCTATCTTCACTGTACCGCTACTAGTAACCAGCAGATTGTCGGGTTTAATGTCCCCGTGAATCACATTCTGTTTTTTTTTCCCCAATAGAAATAGAATCAAGACAGTATTAGGTGATGATGAACCATAAAGCAAGAGAAGCACGCTAAAAACAAAAAAAGATCATACATGAGCATGAAGGTACATCAGGCCAGCAACTATATCCCGCAAATACTTTCTAGCAGTTTTCTCTCCCAGAGCACCGGGCGGTCCAGAACCGTCGTACACCCACTTTCCATCAACGTATTCAAGAACTAGGGAGAAACCAGAAAGACAATCATTCTAAGATAAGAGGCTCTTTTCACAGAGAGTAGATATTGAAACAAAAGAAAAGAGGAGAGGAAAAATAAGTACCCATGTAAAAATGATCAGTTTCGGGGTCATCTATCACCTCAATGAGATTAACGATGTTAGGATGCTCCAGGATTTTCATAATCATAACCTGGAAGCGATGAGATTAAAAGAGCGTAAAAACACAACTTCTATAAAATGAATCCAATACAAAAAAATATGCAGAAAACGTATGATATACCTCACGAAGAACATCACTCATAGCCGTCTCTGAAGGTGCAACCCTTAGCCTCAACAGATGCGACTTGTGAAACGCCTGGAAACACAAGTATCAAGTCAATATACATGTCAGAGAGCTTTAAGCCCTATAAGTGATCACTCACACAAACTAACTTAAATAATTTGCACTATACTGAAGGATCTACTTCAAATGAATAACATCACACACATCTTCATGAGGGAAAGAAAACAATAGCTTACCTTGATAGCATAATACTGGCCATCTACAGTGCTCCGATATAAAACCTGTTGTAAATGCCAAGAAAATAACGTTATGGGATGCTTTTGAGGGATACAACACTTAACAAAAGGAACTGATAGTGATAGTATTGTACATGAGCTTCACACTTACCACTTTACCATAGCTACCGGATCCAATTTTACACTCGCGAACATACTCATTGATCATCTTGTTACCATCTTCATCCTGAAAACGCAAACAACAAACAAAAATTGGCACAAATACACTTGCTAGGAAAGAGAATATGAGAGAGACGTCGCTTCACCTCTCCACGGATAAGCTCATTAGTTTCTTTCACCGGAAAGTGCCTGCAGATCAATCCATTATCTAGTCTATATTTCAAAATTTCCTCAGATCGTTTAGAGCGGCTCTTCTGCTCTACTTCTTCTTCATCTTCTTCATCTTCTCCTCTCTCAATGCTAGTTACATCACTACCACACGAGTTTGTCTCATATTCGTCAGGCTCGTGTGTTTGTCGGGTTCTAGCAGAAGTGCCAAAGCATCCAAAGCAACCCATGGAACGGGCAAACAACAAACTATCACGAAACATGATCTACTGAAACTAAAAAAACTGATCTTCAATGCTGTAAATAACTGAGGAACCTGTAAAAAAGTGACAACAAACTTAAATCATGACTTGAGTATCCAAATAATCAAACACACAAAAAAAAACTCTTTACAAATCGAAATCTTACCCCAGCGGTAAAAAGGGGTTTTAGAGGGCTTCAAGCCCGGTGAAACTTCTCTATTCCAAAGGATGCCATTCAGCGAGATGAACAGAACAGCTTGAGATGTCACAACCACTGCATTCGAAATGCGACATGACTACAAGATTGCAACCTTATGACAAAAAATGTATATTTGATTTCTCAATTCTTGGTGTCCTTCACGAGCAGCAACTCGTTGACTGCATAGCCAGCCCCTCAATAATTAAGAGCTACACAGCTATTCAACAACCGCCAACAAAGTCAAGATGAAATCAAGTCTTCTGCAGAAATCAAAGGGTCAATTTTCTCATTAATTTCTCTGATAACAACAGCCACTACGGCTGGTTTATGAAATTTAATAATTTTGTGTTGATAGGTCAGTAAACACGAATTCTAATTCCATTACATTCACATTGTAAGATAAATATGATTCTGGCGTAAAAGGTTACACTTTTTCAATCCAAGGGTCAACTCGAATGAACAAAAGAAACGAAAATGATCGCAACCAACTAGTCCATCTCAAATATTGTAAAATCGAATAAGGGAAGATATAAGAGGCCAAAGAGGAACACAAAAAAAACTTGATATATATATCACAATCCAGAACCTCCCTAAAATTAAAAAGAAAACCCTAATTTCGAAATCAATGGCAGCAGAAAAAAAAAACTCAATGCCAATTTAGAAGGGCAATGAAAGGAAAACAAAACCCAGAGAATATCAAAGTAATTGAAGGGGGAAAAGCGAGAATCTTACATTCAAAGCGATTTGGAATTCGATCGGAGAAGACGAAGACGAAGAGAATATGTTAGGTCGAAAGGTTCTCTCTCTCAGCGTCGTGCGTGAGATTAGGCACACAAAAGGAAGGGCTTTTGAAGCCTTCGATCGATATTTCTCTCCCCTTCAGTGTCTTTTTATTTTTTTGGGTTTATATTTTTCTTTTCTTTTTTAAAAAGATATTTATTCAAACTTTACCAGCTAATGTGACAAACACTTAAAAAACAATAATTCATTTGTTTTTTTTTAAAAAAAAACCACCTACCTCGAGAAGTTTTGGTTTTTGAACGTGGAATCATGGAATGATCGTCTAAAACACCTAATTAAACATTCCCACCAATATATATATTAGAAATACAAATATATTAGAACTACTTCTTGTATAAAGAAATCTAACCCATCATCATATGTTTTTCTGCTACTCGTATTTCTGTTTTGAAGATGAAATTTAATCATAAAAGCAATATTTTTAAAAGAAATTAGACTGTTTTTTTTTTCAATGAATGTTAAAATGATTTTATCAAAAAAAAAAATAATTTACATCAAGTGTCTAACTGTTTTGATATCAAATTGAAAGCAAAAAACCAAAATCAAACTCTTGTGTCAAACCAAAACATGAGGTTTCTCTCATGACAACGAATCAAAAATACGATTTTGAAATGAGATGAGTGGCAGTGTCTCTTCTCAGTTTGTCTTTTTACATATGTTGTGGTAGATCAATGTTTTCAAAAGACCAGTAACATTATCAGGATAAAGTTCAATGGATATCAAATATATAAATAATGAATTATGATATGCTAAAATGTCTTTAACCAGTCAGGTACTGGACTCGTACCTAGGAGTCAACAGCTGATATTCAAGATTCGATTGCTAATGAAAACACAAAATGAATAATAAATGTGTAAAAAGACAAGTAATAATAGGTGGTTTTTTATTTTGTCCGGTCGACCGCAAAACAAAGAAGCTTTTGGTTGCAACCAATCTGTTTATTTAAGATTTCGTTGGCAAATGATTTATAACCACTAGTCACACGTTGAAAGACAAAATAAAAATGTCACGAGATAATCAAATTAGCCGATTTGACAATTATACGTTTTCAAAGATTTTACCTCATTCTAAGTTCTTGTTGCCGAGGAGGACAAATTTGTATTTTGTAGTCATTTTAGTGGGATATTTTTGGAACATGATATCTCTCAATTTGCTAGTTGATTGGGAAAATGTAAAATGCTCGTTGTTCTACCTCTATTTTTTTTTAAATGTAAATAGATTACAAATGTCATTCAGTATTTTTGTTCATAGAGATTTCCTTCAGTGAAAAATATACCAGTTATATAATATAATTTACATTTTAAGTTATTAATTTTAAAAACTATACAAATAATTACTGTACAATAGAAACTTGTGTTCACAAAAAATGTTTTTGTTTTTACAGAAAAAATGCCGGAATTTTTCAGGAAAGAGTCAAATTTCGAAATATCTGATTAACATTCCAAATCGTGGGCAACGAAAGAAACACAAAACAAATGGGAAAGAAATTGTCGCCACCCGCGTCGTCATAAAGGCGGTCTGAGTCATTGCAATACACACAGTTTTAGTGTTTGTCTGACACTGTCTCTCTCTCCCCTCTCCTCCCTTCTCTCATCACGCCGCCGCAATGGCCGTCGGAGTTTTAGCTTTGCAGGGCTCTTTCAATGAGCACATCGCGGCTCTGCGGCGGCTCGGCGTCCAAGGAATCGAGATTAGGAAGGCTGATCAGCTTCTCACCGTTTCCTCTCTCATCATCCCTGGCGGCGAGAGCACCACCATGGCCAAGCTCGCCGAGTACCATAACCTGGTCCTCCCTCTATCCTCTCTTTAGAATCTCTGGGCTTTGAATTTTATCGTTTTGGCGAGGACCCACTTGGTGAAAACTAGTAAAGGTTCATTTTTTATGTGTGTTTGAAACGAATCTGGAGTTTATAAAAAAAACAGTTCTCCAGAATCTAGATTTGACGAGAAATCTGACCTTGTGGGAGAAATGATTTATGTAATTTTTGTGGTTTGGTGGACTCAATTACATCTTGTTCAGTTAGTACTTTCCAAAGGAATTGGCTTTGAGATTGTAAAAACTCTTGAGTTAATCTACAAGTACATAAGTAAATGTCAGTTTGTGGTTTGTATCTAAGAGTCCCCTTAAGCATAGACGACGAAACTACTCTGAAGAAGTCACTCTATGATTAGATGATCCTATGATATGATATTTCCTATCTTTTACGGAAACATTTGCAGAGCTATAATCTTGAAAGGGCTAGCCTCCATTTATGTTTAGTTTAACTAAACTCCTTGATTAGATTTGATTGTTTATACATTTTTTGGTGGTGAGTTCGGATACTAAACAGAATTTCTTTTCTCTGTTCTAATTTGATTTCATTTGCTTGTATGAAGTTCCCGGCTCTACGTGCGTTTGTTAAGACGGGAAAACCTGTTTGGGGGACATGCGCAGGTCTTATATTCTTGGCTGACAGAGCGGTTGGTGAGTACTGAAACTTCATCTTCTTGTTGCGTCAAAATATAAGAAACTAAAACAGAGAAAATGTCGAAACTATCAGGTCAGAAAGAAGGAGGTCAGGAATTAGTAGGTGGCCTTGATTGCACCGTGCATAGGAATTTCTTTGGCAGCCAGGTAAAGACTTGCGTCTTTAACTTTTCACCATAACTCTCAGATATGTAAATCAAACTTTCGAAATGTCAAAAAGAGAGTGCTAAAATCGGCATGAGCTGTGATATAGAAAACTCGGTTCTATTGTAGTAGAACGAATCGCATATGGATTCACTCTTGGCAGTAAATAAGATGTTAACCATATGAAAAGCCTAACAATAGAAGGTGCAAAAAGCTTGATATCAAAGTTTTTTTTTTGTTGATGTGTAGATTCAAAGTTTTGAAGCTGATATCTCAGTACCTCAACTAACATCTAAAGAAGGTGGAGCTGAGACATTCCGTGGAGTGTTTATACGTGCTCCAGCTGTTCTCGATGTCGGCCCTGATGTCGAAGTCTTAGCGCATTATCCTGTTCCATCAAACAAGGTCTTGTATTCAAGCTCTACTGTACAAATCCAAGAGGTTTGCTTAGTTTTGCACAGATGCTCTCATGAAAAGTCTTAACGTTTTCCATGAGGACATGCATATGATGAATTTCTTCTCTTGTTGATTTCATTTTTTTTTTCTTTCTCAGGAAGATGCTCTTCCAGAAACTGAAGTCATTGTTGCTGTGAAGCAAGGAAACTTGTTAGCAACTGCGTTTCATCCCGAGTTAACTGCAGACACGCGATGGTAATTAGTTAATTCTTATTCTTGTTCTTCTGATTTCTCCAGCGGTTTATGATCTGATGATATGCTTTGATTTTTACTCTTTCAGGCACAGTTATTTCATAAAGATGACGAAAGAGATCGAACAAGGAGCTTCCTCAAGCGGTAGTAGCACTGTTGTTTCTGTTGGAGAAACCAGCGTCGGTACTGAGCAAGCTAAGCCTGATCTTCCTATATATTTCAGTAACTGAGTAGAGACAAGAACGCTTTACTTCTCATGAAATAAAATCTATAGAAAATGTCAAATTCTTTTTTATTTGAAGATGTTTTGGGAAACAAATGCAAGCTAGTTTGCATTTAGCACAGAAGAATGTTTCACAGGATTCATCATGTACTTGTTTCTTGATACAACTTTATATACCGTTGAATCAAACCGGTTTCCTGGTTCAGTTTTGTTTGTGCGTTTGTGAATTGTGACATGTCGTTTTTGAGCCTCGAATTTGAGCTTAAGAAAACTGGCAGTTTTGCAGACAGAAGAGAACTTCGATACTAATTAGGGTCATTGCGTATGGTTGGTTGTTTTAGTTCAAGAGTTAAGAAGCTACACCGGTTTATAGTAAACCGGTCAACTGTTTTGGCGCGTTTGACTTTTCTTTGATGTCTCCAAAAGGTGCAAGCTTGTAAGTTGTAGTAGTGGGCGGCTTGTGGACCAGTGAAAGTCAAAGAAAAGTTTCTTAAAATATACACATTTACAGACATGAGGGCTTTCTTCTCCATTTAAGGCATCCTCACGTTCTAGCTAGCTTGTTCCTTGCACATAAAGGCATCGAAAACAAACAATTATATTCTCTTGTTCATAAACAGTTTGCGGAAATGAGATTCGGATTTCTATATAATATTAGCAAGTAACAATGAGAAAACCAGGCGAGGAATTTGGGTAACATAGAAGTAATACATAATAAAATTGAAGTGGCCTATCTAAAACCTACAACTAAAACTAATTTATCACAGGATTTCATTAATTTTCTGTTTATTATTCATAACTTCGGATCAGTTTCATGTTAAAATTAAGTTTTTACCAACTTTCTATTGGTTAGATTTATATACAAATTGTTGCGAAGAAATAAAGTAATTTATATATATGCTTTGATCATGAGGCATTAAGAAATGAGTAAGAAAGAGTGTGAAACAACTTTTCTAGCTAGAAGTTTGATTTTGAAGCTTCATGGTCAAGCTAAGTTTTTGTTAAGAAACCATAGAGACGACTTGGGATGAACTCAAAGAGTCAGCTTCTTTCTTAAGATGAAGCAAGGGATATTATCATATGAGGTTTTAATAATTAGTCAACTCTTCCCTCTTCACCCTATAAAATCCCTCCTTCTGCAACAACATTTCACATCACCTAAACACAACAAACATCTTGAGAAACCAAAGAAGAAGAAGAGGCGAAAGAAGAAAACTTGAACTTGAGAGATGGAGCGCAGAAAGTCATATGTGCTTGTCGCGCTCTTCGCATTGCTTCTCTTGACCGATATTGTCATTGCACAGAGCGATGGCGGCAAAGGCAACGGAAAGGGGAATGAGGGACAAGTAGACAAGGGTAAAGGAAATGACGACAAAGGCAAAGGTAACGGCAACGGTAACGGTTATGGCCCAAAGGACAAAGAGAAGGATAAGAAGGAGAAGGAACAGAAGGAAAAGGAAAAGAAGGAGAAGAAGGAGAAGGAGAAGAAGGAGAAGGAGGAGAAGGAAAAGAAAGATAAGGAAAGGAAGGAAAAGGAGAAGAAGGAGAAAGAGAGGAAGGAGAAGGAGAAGAAGGACAAGGAGCAGAGTGAAGCGGCTGCGAGATACAGGATGCTTTCACCGTTGCCTTCAGGACAAGAGCAGGCGATGTGCCAGGCTCAGGGTGCATGTTATTACAAGACTCTTGTTTGTCCTAGCGAATGTTCCAAGAGAAAGCCCACGAAGAACAAAAACACCAAAGGTTGCTTCATTGACTGCACTAGCAAATGCGAAGCTACATGCAAATGTAAGTACACTCTATTCAATTGGTCTCCCTTGTTTGAGAGTTAATTATCGCACACCAATTTCACAAGAACATATATTTCAGCAATGGATTGTTAACTTTCGGTACAAGGAATTGGCTTGCTTCTAACTCAAGATACTTGGCTTAATTCCGGTTTTCTTCTTTCTTACAGGGAGAAAAACGAACTGCAATGGCTATGGATCTCTATGCTATGACCCTCGATTTGTCGGAGGAGACGGTGTGATGTTTTATTTCCATGGATCTAAGGGCGGAAACTTTGCGATCGTTTCAGACAACAATCTCCAGATCAACGCTCACTTCATCGGTACAAGACCCGTTGGAAGAACCAGAGACTACACATGGGTTCAAGCCCTAAATGTCATGTTCGAAAACCACAAGCTCGTGATCACAGCCAATAGAGTGACTCAGTGGGATGAAAATTCTGACGCCTTTACCATTAGATACAACGACGAACTCATCACACTTCCTGAAGATGAACAATCCGAGTGGAGGGCAATTTCGGGACAAAGAAGAGAGATCGTAATCGAAAGAACCGACGAGAGAAACAGCGTAAGAGTACTTGTCTCTGGTCTTGTTCAGATGGACATCAAAGTGAGACCCATAGGGAAAGAAGAGAACAGAGTTCACAACTATCAGTTGCCACAGGATGACGCTTTTGCCCATCTTGAGACTCAGTTCAAGTTCTTAGACCTAAGTGAGCTCGTCGAGGGTGTTTTGGGGAAAACCTACCGTCCTGATTACGTCAGCTCCGCCAAGACTGGAGTCCCGATGCCTGTGATGGGAGGTGAAGACAAATACCAAACGCCTTCTCTGTTCTCGCCAACTTGCAGATTATGCAGGTTTAAGCCTCAAGAAGAATCACTCTCTGCTGATTTCTAAATAAAATTCAAGAAATATTTGTATTTGTAACTGTTTTGTTTCTCGAAATATTTATATTCATAAAAGTAATGTAATAAGAGCCAAGAAGATAATGTTTGGCCAGTTTGTGATGTTTTTGAGGGTCTAAGAAATGCAAGACGTTTCTTGCACCAAAAGCAAACCCTTGATTTCTTATTTTTTCCCCTTGTTCCTCAATTGTGTTTTGAATACGAATATGTTTACATAACAATTAAAATTAAAAACTATTTTGTTTGTATAACTAATGCATTAGAATCTGACATTAAATTTCGTGGATCCAGTTTTTTGTATGTACTTCACTTTGAAAGCAAGTGTCTTTTTGGGAATTATCAAGAACAACTGGAGATGCTTAAATATCACTCATTTCGCTAAAAATTAATAGCAAAAATCAGATTAAAATAATCAAGTAAGCCAGTCCAATAAAAAGAAGCTTGCAATTTTCTAGGCATAGTTTCATGTGATCCAAGGAATATAAATTATGTTATACACATGACTTCAAAATACTATCCAATTACAAAAATATAATCATATATATGAATCTAATGTATAATGTCAACTTCCACAATAATGATTAGTTATGCAACCATTCGTGTTTTGAATTTTGTTTTATCATCATATTACATGTGTAGATCCGTCTTCAATGGTTCTCATCAGATTCTCGTCCTTAATCTGCGACTATATATTGTGGGAAAACATAATCCACGGCGTGCAGAGAATGAAGTTAAAAAAAAAAAAAAGCTAAGCTGCTATATTGTTATTTGTTATCATAGATGATCAAATTGTGCTAGATCTAGTAGATGAAAATGTTAAAAAGATATCCCAAAGTTATTTTGAAAATGTGAAATAGTTCTAATTTTGTTTCATATAGCTAGGTTTGTTGACTTTTCCCTAATAATTAAGAAATGCAGATTTTTCAATTAAATATTCAGATCAAGGTTATTGAACCGAGTGGGTGGTTCTCCCAAAGAAGCTAATTAACAAAAGTCGAAGCTGTTTCTTACACGGTCTTCGATTCTTCATGTGATTTGATCAAATCTGGACCGTTAATTAAGCCGCTCTCTGCTGCTTGCTTCAAGCCTCTCTGATCTATAAGAACACTCCCTCCACTCCAAAAATCAAAATACAAAGAAACCTAAAACAAAAGACTGCTTCTTCTCTTGAATCAAAGAAAAAAATAATGTCACGAGTCCTCGTGGTTATCATCGTTCTTGTCTCCGCTTTGTCGGTTTCAGCGGCAGAGAAAGAGAAGAAAGGTGCTTATGACGCGGCTTCAACGAACTACAAGGTGCTGTCACCACTTGGATCGGGCCAAGAGCGAGTTCAATGCTTGGCCAGAGGATCCTGTAACCAGAAGATCCTCACTTGTCCTAAGGAATGCCCCGAAAGGAAACCGAAGATGAACAAGAAGGAAAAAGCCTGTTTCATCGACTGTAGCAGCAAGTGTGAAGTCACCTGCAAATGTAAGTCCCGAATCTCAACATTCTGAAACATTTTTGAAGCTCCAAAATGTATATACTTTTTGATGAAGTTAGTGTTGTTGAGCAGGGAGGAAAGCAAACTGCAATGGGTATGGTTCTTTGTGTTACGACCCGAGATTTGTGGGAGGAGATGGAGTAATGTTCTATTTCCACGGAAATAAAGATGGGAACTTTGCCATCGTCTCTGACGAGAATCTTCAAATCAATGCACATTTCATCGGTACAAGACCCGCTGGTAGAACCAGAGACTTCACATGGGTTCAAGCCTTCTCAGTCATGTTCGATAGTCAGAACCTCGTCATCGCGGCCAAGAAGGTTTCGTCTTGGGACGATTCTATAGACTCTCTCGTTGTGAGATGGAATGGAGAAGAAGTCGACGTCCCGACAGGAGGTGAAGCAGAGTGGAGAATCAATCTTGAAGAAAGGGAAGTTGTTGTTGAGAGAACAGATGAGAGGAATAACTTGAGAGTCACGGTTTCTGGGATTGTTCAGATGGATATTAAGGTTAGACCAATTGGGAAAGAAGAAGATAGAGTTCATAACTATCAGCTGCCTGAAGGTGATGTTTTTGCTCATCTAGAGACTCAGTTTAAGTTCTTTAACCTGAGTGATCTCGTTGAGGGCGTTTTGGGGAAAACATATCGGCCTGGATACGTTAGTCCGGTTAAGGTCGGAGTCCCGATGCCGATGATGGGTGGAGAAGACAATTATCAGACTCCTTCTCTGTTCTCACCTCTCTGTAATGTCTGTAGGTTCCAAGGCAAACCTGGTCCTGGTATCGCTAAGTACTAAAAATCTTCAAAGTTTTGTACGTTTTTATTTATCGAGTTGTGTTTAAATTAAGGTTCTAATTGTAGTGTTTTGTGTCTTTGTGTTTGTTATCTGGATCCAATACATAATAAAATGTATTTCCTTATGTTTACTCGTTTGGATTTATTGTTGCTTATGCCACAAGAAACATGTAAACCAAACATATGGGTTAAGAGTTATATTCTAGGGCTTAACTTAGAAACAATTTAGTCGAGCTTCTGCTTCTTCTGCAAGTAATTTTGCATCCTCTGGAATTTAAGAATAGCCCAAACCATATGCCAGAGCCCTAACTCCGGCCAAAGAGCCGCCGTGGTATGAAGGAGGGACCCTGAAGTCTGCCACGTCATGAAGTTACTCAGCCGATTTCGTCCTCCGGTTCTTATTAGAAGATCCGGATCCGGAGCAATCGTTGTATACATACACTCTTCAACATCACTCACCTCCAAAACTAGAGGACCATCTCCATTATCACACTTTCTCAAACAAGATTCTCGAACAGCGTGAACAATCTCGTGACTTGTGCTGTAAGCAACGCAAACCACAACCGTCAGACCTCTATTGTCCTTGGTGACTTCCATCAGTCTCTGCGCCGCGACCCTAAGAGGCTCGTTTATGGAATTCATATCACCGGCGAAGATAACTCTCACGCCTTTTAGATACCCGGAGTTAGCTTGATCAATCGAGAGCTCAACTTTCTCCAGCATCAGATCCATCATACACTTGACCTCTTGAGCTTCTCTCCTGAAATTATCGACAGCAAACGCGTAGATTGTTACGTACGGTACACCAATCTCTTTGCAGTACTGCAGGATATATGTCACGGATACGAAACCGGCTCTGTGTCCTGCGTCTAGGCCTTTAAGTTTGTGTTTCTTAGCGAATCTGCGGTTCCCATCCATGATGAATGAGATGTGATTTGGGATTGGACCGACGCATAGAATTCTGAATATGAATCTCCTCATTAGACCCATTAAAGCGATGAAGATTTGAGTGAATTCGCCTACTTCATCTCGGGTATTCATCTCGGAAACCTGGATTTTTGTGGTTATAGGAATGAAGAATTCAAGAACATTGTGGTTTTTTCTTGGTTTGTTGTGACTGAAATATAACCAAACTGATTTATATAAATAAAAAAGAAAGAAATATAAACAAGAGAGACAAAAAATTTTCTTTTTAGAGGGAATGCAAATACAATGAGCATATGATATGGCTGATTTTTAGGGGAATGGAGAAAATGGCTGATTAATATCTCTCTTCTTGGTATAAACAATCTGCAATGTCTACGGTTAAAACAATATATAGCATGCATGTTCACTATGTTTTTTCTTTCTTTCTTCTCTCTGAAAACTACAAATTTTAAAATGTTTTTTTCAACATCTTTTAAATTGACATTTTTTGTAATCTATATAATAAAGATAATAACACAGATAGGTAATATGTTTAACTTAATCTCTTTGGTTAACTAAATTTCTGGAATATAAAACTCAGAAAGCTCCTAAGTTCACACAACTTAGAACAAAGACTGTTCTAATTAAAATTGAATGTAAGGTCAACCAACACACAAAGATGGTTGTAGGATTTCTTTATTTCTATTTTTTTTTAGTTTCCACAATTATATCCTTTTTCAAAGCTCGAATTAATAATCCAGTGATCCATTATTTTTATTAACAAAAAAAAATGAGCCATTATGTTTTACAGAAAATGCAACTAATTAAAATTATGTTACATCAATGTAAAACTATTTATTGCATCCATATATAGGAGGAATCTAGAACTGTATTTATATATGCTAATATAGATTATATAGAAGGCAGATGAGAAGATGCCAATCAAAATCAGATCTGATTAAAGCATAAACATCATAGTGTTGTTTTCATTATACCCCACTTTCACTTACAAAACCAATTCACACCCACCTTCCTAAATCTCACTCCCTCGAAATAGTTTTCTAATTTCTAAATTATAAAATTTTATATGTACGCTTCTTTTTCAATCGTGTTTATTTATGTTGTCATTAAATTACGATTTAAAAGTTTAAAATACAATAATATTTTTGTGTTGTCATCAAATATTAGTTACAAAATAAGTGAGTCTTGAGCTATGGCGAGGTTTTTTTCACTAACAACGTGAATGGTATGTAAATACAGTGATGGTATTAGTAGAAACCGCTAACTTTGTGTAAGAAAAATCTTAAGATCTTAAAAGGTGAAATATGCTTAAAATTTGAAGAGAGCCCACCACATATCAATTTCTGTTTGCTTTTTCTTAATTCCCAAGCAAAGTTGCAAGTTGCTCCTTCCATTATCATATGACACAGTATCCATTATTCCTCCCACTTTTGCATACACAGGATTTGATAACAATGTAATGATTTTATTTTACTTTTTGCACACACACTGTGAGTAAATTCTAAATACATATACATTATCACCGTCATAACAGCTACTGCTACTATTAAAGCAAGGCACAAGTTTTTTATCACGATAGTAGATGTTGTAATTTAACACTAGAATTATTAGCTCTATTTGTTAAAAGGTACTATCAACTTATATCAGTTAGAACTTGATTAATTACATAATTAGTTTTTATTTTAAAAAAGAAAACCTCATCATTACAATAAAATAAACCAAAATGTAATTATCTCTTTTTATCAACGGCTAAAGTCTACAGCGATATATCCAATAATTTTGGTTGGAGGTACAACATTTCATCTGATAAGATGTGATGGACATTTCGTAACAAAAAATAAAGAAAGAGAAATTATTAATTATTATCTATAAACTTAGTTGTAAAAATGTAGACCTCTTAACCAATATGAATTTTCCTCAGTTTAATATAACCCTTACAACTTCCTATAAACCCATACCTCACACAAACACTAAACATCAACTCTCTCAAAGACAAAGATCCGCCATGGAACATTCTCCCATCTTCCTCCTCCTCTCCACCGTCCTCCTCCTCCTCACAGCCATTCCCGGAACCCTATCTCAGCCGGCCGCCGCTCCGGCCCCACCAGGACCCACAAACGTCACCAAAATCCTCGAGAAGGCTGGCCAATTCACAGTCTTCATCCGACTACTCAAATCCACCGGCGTCGCTAATCAACTCTACGGCCAGCTCAACAACTCCGACAACGGAATCACTATCTTCGCACCGAGCGATTCTTCGTTCTCCAGTCTCAAAGCCGGAACCCTTAATTCCTTGACCGACGAACAACAAGTAGAGCTAGTTCAGTTTCATGTCATACCAAGTTATGTCTCTTCCTCAAACTTCCAAACAATCAGTAACCCTCTCCGGACTCAGGCCGGTGACTCCGCCGATGGACATTTCCCTCTCAACATTACAACCAGTGGAAATACCGTAAATATTACCTCCGGTGTAACCAACACAACCGTCTCCGGCAATATCTACAGCGATGGACAGCTCGCTGTTTATCAGGTCGATCAGGTCTTGCTTCCTCAGCAAGTTTTCGACCCTCGTCCTCCCGCGCCGGCCCCTGCTCCATCGGTCTCGAAATCGAAGAAGAAAAAGGACGACGACGGTGATAGTTCCGATGATGGTTCTCCGGCGGACGCATCGTTCGCTTTGCGTAAAGTTGGTTCTGTTCGTAACGCGGTGTCGTTTTGCGTCATTAGCATATCGCTCGCATGGTTTTATTTGTGATGATACGTTGTTTCTATTACTATTATTATTACTCATGAGTTTTCGTCCATGTGGTGATTTTGGGGTATTATTTCTGTGTTGATTTTCATGGATTTTGTATTGATTTAAACCCATCTGTTTTTATATTTTTCCATTTTCGTACGAGTGAATTTTGTTTTTGTTAATATCTCATTGATCTGTAGATTTGTTTTTCCCCTTTGATCCTATCTTCACATTTTTTTTCCAATGCATATATACGGTTCCTTAAAGGGATTCTTACCGAGCAAATGCCACATTGTTTTTTTAACTGTAGGAGATGCCATAACACGTAAAAACTTTCGTCTCATGGCAATTGTCACCAATGAAGAAAATAGTACTTTAGCACAAAAACGGGGGAAAAAAATAGTAATACTAATACACCCCTTATGGCATCGTTGAGATGAGTATTGGTGTGGCATAGACCTAAAAAGGTTATGGACGAAATTTGAGTTAGAGTAAACCAAATTTAATTGATGGACCAAAAGCATCTTTATAACGATAAAACATAAGTCAGTTAACAATTCTGGGTTTGACACGTGTTTTTATTTTTAATAATGAAAATACTTTTTATTTTATTATTTCTGTTGAAAATATATATTTTTAGTTAAAAATTATTAAACAAAATAACGATGCTTTTTGCATCCACAATCTCCGAAATTGAACATCCCACTATTCACCACCATCTTCATCTCACCATTATATCTCATAATCCTTTAATTTCTGTTGGTTACTTTTCAAATACATAATTTATTTATTACCGGCTTTAGGTTCAGCGTTTGTAAATCAAAAGTTTGAAACTATTTTTCTCAATTTCATTTCAGTTACTAATTGTGAGACTATAGCAGTCTTTCCTTGAGTTCTCTAATCGGTTTCAGAATCTTCACATCATCTAAAATCGCCGGCTCGCGTAGTGTTTTTCCGTCGAAGAAGGTCATAAACGTGATCGAAGTGAAAGTTCCCAAGAGTATAGCTTTCGATCCAGCAGAGGAAGGTCTGTGCGTTGGTGTCTTCGAGGGCAGGTCCTAAAATGGCGCAGAGAATCCCTTGGATGAGGAGATTTTGCTTACACATCGAGTAATAGGTAGCCCACATTTTTCAGCGAAGATTAGACAATTTTTTTTACTGTAGTTTCTCATTTTTTTCTCTTGAAAATCTTTTGATTATTCTGGTTTTTGATGGTAAAATTAAAGTGATTAGTCATGGTGTGTCAAATTGTTGTCATTGTATAAGAATTGTGAAGGATTTTGTTCAATTTTGATCATAATTAACATAGTTTATTCTTTTATTAACTTTGTTGACCTCTACGCTAGCAATGTGCTTTTATCATGTGCCTCTCAGAGGTTACTGTGACAGCAAGTTGAATCTAACATCAAAGAACTCAGATTCTGGAAAGTGTCAACCATTTTAGTGTTTTGTGCAATTCAGTATGTGACATAGATATAATTTGTTAGATTATCTCTCATCTTTTACCATGTGCATCTGGTTTATGCAGATGTTCGTTACCCGTTTGTGCCAGAATTAGAGCATGTGTGTGGAAGGCCATTAGGAATGTGTTTTGAGAAGAAAGCCAAAGATCTTTACATTGTGGATGCCTTTCTTATTGTAGGTTTTGCTGGTGGTTACAGAAGTTGAGGGGCCAAAGTTTTGTTTCACTAATAAATTGGACATTGATGAGCAGGAAGATGTAATCATATGATTACTTCACAGTTACTAGCACCAGATTCCAGAGAAGATAACATGAATAGAAACAGCTTTCTTATTATGTGATTTTCATAAAAGAACAAAGCTATTGACTTTCTTACTTTGATGCATGAATCTGAAATTCGCCTTTTCTATTGGTGATGATGATTTAATTTCAAAGCATTGTCAAAGCAATTCTGATAGCCATAATATCCACTTGCAAGATCTTAAGGCTTTGTCTCTCTGGTCCAAATGCAGGAACCAAGACATATTTGCTCAGCTTTCGGGTGAATCTGAGTGAATTATGAAAGGTTTTAGAGGTGCTTGGCGATAAAGAAAGAAAGAGATTGAGGTTTATAAGTGAAGTGAAGTGGAAAAATGATAAGCTTTTGATTGGTTCTGTTCTCATGCCATTTCTTGATGTTTATGATTTGTAGTTTTATACTACGTTGTTGAGATTTAATTGTCTTTGCGTTGCTATAATGTTGAATGCCAAGTTAATGTATGTCTTATGTGAAAGATTTGGATTGGTTATGTTCTCATGTCGTTTCTTGGTGTTTATGATTTGTAGTTTTATATGTTGTACATTAAGTTGTTAACTCTCTTTTTTTTACGTCCTTTTTGTATTCAAAATTAGTGTTGGCAGTATATGTATTTAGACTGTTAAGTACTCTATCACAATATTAAAAAAACATGAAAAGTCTATAAATAAAATAAATATTATAACTGGTGAAAGAGATAAGGATATAGTGTACGGTTCATAAATAAAATTGAGAATTACTCCTTTAAACAATGTAAATTGAATGTAAATTAGATTAAATATTTAAATTAGAGTAAATATCAGACAAACATATATTTAAATTGATTTTAATTATATACATATAATGTCTTTAAAAGAATTGTGCAATCATTTATTAAAAATACAAAAAAATCTAGCATGCACTAAGTGCAGGCTAAAATACTAGTATATGATATATTGCTATCTCAATATCTCATAATGAACTAAAAATATTTGTGCTTGATCAAATTCTATTAAATGAGGAAATTTTTTTTTTACAAAACTTGGAAGGATTCGGACCAAGATCCTAGTCTGGGATCAGTTTTTTCTAATACTATTTTGACGTAACTCATCTTTCTCATCAGAATTCGAACAACAAACACACTAAAACCAATCCATGTACTTAAACCACTAGCCCAACTCATCCAATGATAAAAGAGAAACACTTCATTATTTAACTTGTGTCTGTATGTTGTATTACACAAAATGTCCATACACAATAAAGTTTAATTAAGATATTCTTATTTATATTACAAAATGTTCTTAAAAATATATATAAACATTTAATTTACCAAATTATAACAGCTAGAAATTGACCCGTGCGTTGCACAAATTTATTTGTTAATTCATATAATTATTATGTTTTTTTATTTTATATATTATTTTAGTTTTTAATTATCATAAATATGTAAATTTATTGTGAAATATTCTCTCTAATATAAATTGTGATATGTTAATTGTTTAAAAAAACTTTCTCTTATAGTTATACGCTATCATAAGTATTTATGTCTTCATATTAAATATTTTTATCTAACTAACTTATTTATGTAGTTTATTTCTAGTATGATAACTGAAATGATTTCACAATCGATCACACACTCTCTCTTTATTTTTTTATTCGAATTAATTTTTTTTATTTTGTAAAAAAATTGTAGTTTTGTGATTTGTAGATTAAGTTTTCTTTTTTTTTATTTTTAAATTAATTTTATGGGAAGACTCAATTTATTGTCTCTCTTCTGTATAATTTAAAGTCGTTCAGATGTATATTTATTTAATGAGAGTATGCATTTTGTTTTTTTATCAATAACATTGTTGATAAATTTTAATATTTTGATATGCGCGTTGCGCAGACTTATTTATTAGTTTAATTTTAAATTTTAATATTATTATTATGTATATTTTTATTTTATATTATAATGTTGTCTTTTAAAATGTTTTTTTATTTTTTTGTTCAAAAATATTTATATTTAAATTTTAAATTTCTTTTTTTAATATAGATTATGATGTATTATATTAAATATTAAAAAGTCTCTCGTATATTTATACGCTGCAATAAGTGTTATATATGTCCTAACTGTTTAACTGTATTCAATTGGTTTTTGACTTTTTTTAAAGTTCATTTTCACTGATAAAGTGAAATCATTATCGATCATTCCTCACTCTAAACTAAATGTTCTATTAATATTTATTAGATTTTTTAAAAATCTAATTCATTTTTATCATTCATTTTGTTTTTTTCCCCTTTCCTAATGTTCTTAGTCCTATTATTCTGATTGTAATCACTGATATGTTCTTTATTTCATGTAAGCTTTCATCTCATTCAATTATGTGATTGGTTGTAACTCTAAATGAGGAGAATTATAAGTAAAGTTGGCGAGACAGAGCAAGTGATCTGTTTATATGTTACATAAGTTTGATATGTTTTTATATATAAAAATTATGCTTACTAAGTAAAGTTGGCGAGACAAAGCAAGAGATATGTTCATATGTTACATAATTATGATATGTTTTTATATAAAAGAATTATGCTTACTTGAGAAACTTTTGATTTTAATTGATTTCAAACATTTGTCTTTTTTTGAAAACAAATTCCGATGTGTTCATACATCTGATGATGATGAACTACATGACTATATTTATAAATGTGTGTAAAAATATTCTTATCTATTTTCATGTCATATGGAGGTAAAAAACTTGACTTTGTTAGAAAATATAATCAATAATCTTGTTATAGTTTATTTATATACTTCATATTAAAATTCATAAATTATCCGGTTGATGAATAAACTCATCGAATATCAATTTTAAATTGCCATCATTGCGAAAAAATGGTTGGTAAGTATTTGCTATTTTTTTCTATTTCGTATTAATCAAACTTATTTCTATACTATATAATTAAACATGTTAGTTTTTCGTTCATAAAAAAACATTTATTCATTTTACATAATAAAGTAGATATGAATGATTTTTATTTATTTTATGCATTAATCTTTTTGAAATTTTTTTAAAAAAAGTTTGATAACTATTCTTTGCAAATTTTTTTGTCGTTTTTCGTAATTGTTTGCCTTCCAACTCTTTTTCGCACTCTATTTATTTATTTTCAAAATAACTCTTTTCAAATTCTATTTATTTGTATTGAAAATAATATTTTGAAATTTTTATTTAATTGAAAATTGATGTTTTATAATTTTTAAAATAAATATTTATTTTATATGAATGATTTTACTTTAGTTTTATACATAAA